GCCCTGAAAGTAAAGTAAATGTTCGATCCTTATTTGCTAGCAACAATAATCTTAAAAACCAATCTCTCAGACGAGGAAAGCTGAAAAGTGCAGCTAACAACATTAATACACAAACTCGAACAGCAGTACCTCGGGATGGGATTTGAAGAAATCCAAAAGCCGGTTACGGAACACTTTCCGAAGCTGTAAAGTTTTACTGGATGATGTGGATTGTCCATCAATTGCATCAACATTCAATGTGATGCGAAGATCAGGCTTCATACAGGCAGTCCTCTCGTCGTGCCGCAGGACCTTTTCTACCACAATGGCCTCTGGCATGATGAACTTCAGCTGTGCCAGATGACCGTGTGTGAACCTCCTGATAATTTTGCATTAATTCGATTAGTTTAGAAACAGAAAGACCAAAGCCAAACGAATCTGCTGCGTTAGTGAAGAACGGTACCTATCAGTAAGTTTTTCAACTTGGGGGCTAATATTAGTAAACGTTGTTGTGTATCTCTTCAATTGGAGCAGCCTGATTGAATTGTCTAGACTGTTGAAGAACTCGTTCAACAACTTGTATCTGTAGTAGTATAAATGCAATGGATCAAAATTTGATAGGATTTGACTTCGATTCATATTTCAGAAATTAACCACAGAATCCACATAAACCGTGAAATTCAGAAATAGATCTAATTACTTATGAACAACCGATTTTCAAGATTTGCAAGAACGTGAAAAACAGATCTACGGAAACAGATAAACAATGAGATTCTCATAAACAAATGAACAATTTCTTCAAAAAGCTTTAAACAACAAAATCAACAGCAGATCTGCTCGCAGACGGATGTTTAGAGAATCCTAATTCCGAAAAAGAAACACATCGTTAAGTTAATTCAAACATAAATTCATAAAACGTACTGTTCTGGAAGAGCAGTCTCGGAATCAGCTGATTTCTTCTTAGGCTTGGGAACATTTCCTTTCTCCGAGACGATTTCCAGATCGCTGATTGAAGGCCGCGCAGATCTGCTTTCCCTGAGCATCATAGCCGCCTCTCTAACCTCCTTAATCGACATCGCCGCAGAACGATGGCGCATCCGGCGAGGACGATCGGACGCCTTCGCCGGAGTTGTCACGCCGCACGCACTCGCGGATGGAGTAGAAACCTTCCGCGCCTCCTCGTCCGGCGAAGGCGCCCGATCATCCTCCTTCCCCACGTTGCTGTGGAGCGGTTTCTTTGATTTAAAGGACGGCAGGAGCGAGAGCTTCTTGGCATCCATGGCTGCTGTAACTGGAGACGTGAGGAAAGTGATTAGCGACTAAGTTCATCTTATATAGGGCAGCGTGAGTGTAGGTTTTTTTTGGCGGGTAGGATTTGGCGCCAAATCCTTTCGCGCGGTTTTGGTCAACCGGTCAACTCAAAGGGGTGTAATTGTCATTTCGTATTTAAAGCTTTGTTTATTTTTTACTGTAATTATATTTACGAGGAAGAACATTACCGGATAAAAACTCCGGCGGTGACTGTCGCCGCACCTCCGGCCTGTTTTAAATTATTATTTATTTTTGTTATATATTTATAAAAATAATAATAATACTATTATTTGTAAAAGATAGTTTTAAATGATGTACGTATTATTTTAGTATTCTTATTTTTATAAAACATTTTTATTTATTTTAATTCTATATATAGCGGCTTATTACATTTATTACATTAGCTATTTTAATACTCTCTTTGTTTGGATGAGATGACCGTTAGGCTAGTAGTATGGTAATATAATTTACTAGGTTAATTATAGTAGTCATGATATTATTTTTATTATTTTTTATATGAATAATTTTATTTGAATTTTTAAAATATGAATTAACATATATATTTTAAAAATTTATTAAATTATAATTGATAAATATATTTAATATTAATAAATTTACTTAAAAATATAAACAAATGATATGTTTTAAAACGAACTTAAAAAGAACATCTAATCATTTATTTCTAAAATGATGGAGCATAAGATATAACTGTGTTTATGAAAATGGGCTATATGGGCTTGGCCCAACAAGTTCAGCCCATATTAAAATTCCATTTTATTTTGAATTTTATAAAAATTATTATACTTCAATTATATTTTTCATTTATCATTTTATTCGGTTAAAATCAAAACTTTAGCATCTTATTTTTTTTAAAAAGAAAAAATCATTCTTGACTATTTAAAATATTTTTAATTTTTATTTATAAGTAAAATAGATATCATATTACTTTATTACACTATATATTTATAAAGTACTAATTTAATTTAATCCGTATGAAAAAGTCAAATATAAAAAATTTCCTACAGAACAAATTAATATATTTTATGCTTATATGCCTCCATGGCTCCATGGTCACTTTTTCTTTTCTATCCATCTATTAAATTTATATTATTATTATTATTCTTTTTGTTCGTCAATCAGAGTTATATTTATATTTTATATAATTGTATTTAACATTAAAAATATTATTATATTTATATTATAAAAAATTAATAGAAATATTTTTATTTTTTTTCCTTTAATTTATATTACATTTTAATATAATAAATAATATTTAAATATCAACATTTAAAAAATAAATATAAATCTTGCATGCGGACGAATGGGGCATTATAATAATAAATAGAGATTTGTTTGTTTAGTATTTTTTATTTGATATATATATGTATATATATTATGGGAAGTATAGAGAATTGTAATTGTGATATAAAAAAAAGAAATACTTTTTCCTTTCAAATTTAACTTATATATATTTTATCATTTTTGTTTATTCTATTCAAAAATATTATTTTTCTATTTTAATAAAAGTAATAGTATAATAATATTAAAACACCTTTAATTTTTACTTAAATTACAAAAATATCTTACACATATAATTATTTTATGCATGAAGACAAACAACAAAAATGATCAAAATCTCTTATACATTTGTACTAACCGATGAAATATAGTATTATATTGTAATCTACTACAAGACCCCAAAACACTACTTTATATTGAGACGAAGGAAATAGTATTTTATATTGGATGTTAACTTTTGTGGAAAAGATAAAATATATATCGAGAATTGTATCAGAAAAATCTAAGAACAAACAAATTTAGTGTGTTTGATCACTTTGATAGATTATATATTCAAAGTAATATTCTCTCTATTAGCTTATAATTATAACATTTTTTTTTTTTGTCCGATAAATTTATGTAGAATTTTAATAAATAACTTTATTAATTTATAATTTTGTTATATCTATTTTAACACATAAAAATCAGTTTTTCATTTTTTTCCCTACTTAACATATTAGTTTTTTATCAATTTTTTCATAAATTTAATATGACACTTCAATTTTATTTTTTATCTATCTACTTTTCAATAGGCGGAAAAGTAGTTTTTATTTAATATTGTTAGGGTGTGTTTGTTTGAAGGATTTGTTTGGATTTCCATTATTAATCATATTTCTCACTCCCCAAAACATCAAATCAAAACACTTATTTTTCATTTTTTATATTATTATTAAAAATTAATTTTACATTCAAAATATCATATCAACACCTATTTATATCACATCATACAACTATTCAAATTCAAAATTTTTACTATTCAAATCCCAACTCAAAATCCAAACCCTCGAACAAATACACCCTAAAAGTATTATCTAAATAAATGATTTGTTTGTTTAAAAATAATGCTTCATCCGTTCAGTTAAAAAATATACATATTCCTATTTTTTTACGTCCAATTACAAAGTAACCATTTCATTAAATACCTCATTTTTTCCACAAATACTCCTACTTTACATCACATCATTACTATTATAGCAAAAAAAGTAAGGGCAAAAATATTATTTTACTACTTTCTTCTACCCACTAATCTCCGCACAAAAAATAATTGTATACTTTTAGCTTGAACGAAAGGGAATATTTTTTTTATAAAAGGAATTTAATATATCATACATATTCATTATTTTATATTTCATATAAAACAACGCTATATATTCAAATCAATAAAAAAACTTTTTTAGGATTGATTTGGTTTTGAATTTAAAGTGAGATGATAATTTAATTTCAATTTAAATACTCCTTCTGTTCCGGTGTAAGATTGCCGTTTATTTTTTTAAGTAGATTTTTAAATATTAATATTATATTAAATTATAATAAAAAAGACAAAAATATCCCTATTAATATTGTGTAATATAAAAATAATGACATTTGTGTAATATAACGTAAATTTGGAAGGATATTTATTACGTTAGTAGATAGTATAATTACTAAATTAGGAAATAATAACTTTATTTTGAGAAATGACAACTTTTTCATGGGACTAAGAGAGTAATATTTTATACTAATAGAAATAATATATTTTTATTTAAAATTGCAATGAATAACAAAATTTTATTTTGTTTGAAACTTAAAAAAAACACACCCTTAATTAAAAAAATAAAAAATCAAATAAATCACACCCTATTGATATAGTTCTGTAATAAAGAATCAATTGGGGTATGTTTCTCCAGGGTTTGGTACCGTGCACATTAAAATGGGCGTCAAACCGCCGTTTTTTTTTTTTTTTTTTTTAAATTAAAATTTTATTTAATATTTATTATAATTAAATAAAATGCAAATAAATAAAAATTTAAATATATATATATGTTAGATATAATATAAATTTATAATTAAATTATACAATATAAATTTTATCAATTAAATTTAATATACATTTATATTATTTTATTTATTATCCATCAAATACACGTCAAAACTCTCCAAATTTCAACCAAATCCAAACACAAAAACAACATAATCCAAAGTAATCCCAAATTTCAAATAAAAACCAAATCCAAACCATAACTTTCCCCGAACCCCTAAAGAAACCCCTAAAGAAACATACCCTTAATAAATCACACACTATTGATATAGTTCTGTACCTCAGTTTAAAGTTTGAACCTGTGCTGATAAATTTAGCCCAAAAACCAAACCCTAGATTAACCCTCCTCGAGAATTTCACTGCGGGGGAGACGAGACGAGAAGAGACGAGTCTTGTGTGTTAAGCAACATATATACACACAGTACAAGTACAACACCACAACTCCCTCCTCTAGCCGTCCACCCTTAAAAGACCAAACGGCAGACGCATCGTCTGCCCCCACGTTTCCTCGCCATTATATAATACTATTAATATTCTATCGAGGTTATCATAGCAAGAAATTGGGGAGGACCCAACATAACCAGACGAGATTCCAAGAAAATTCGCACCGAATTGTTACTGGGGTTACGCAATCCGAACCTTCCTTTCGTCAATCAGGTTTTGCCCTTGTGGAGGAAAAGGGGAATTTGTCTCAGAACAGTAATTAGCTTTCGATTTTTACTAGTTCTTGCGGGGATTGGTGTTTCGAAATTGAAGTGGGTGGAGGTAAAGATTATTGTGTTCTTTTCGACGGTTTGCTTAATTCGTTGCTCGAAGAACATGTGGCGGAAGGAATTGTTCTTTCATTTTCTGAAATTTGTGTTCTTTGAGGTGTTTGGATTGTCGATTTTTTAGGGATTTCTTGAAACTGAGCTGCCAATAATTGTTTCTTGATGAGAGGGTAGAGATTTTGGCGATTTTGACAGCGGTCTTGGATGTGAATTTATGATTCGTTTCTATTAGCAAGAGTTATAATTTCATATGTTTCTTTGTTTGCGTTTTGATTGTGAGGATTGGTCGTTGTTCTAGGGGTGTTGAAATTTATGCTTTCTTGCAACCAGACGTGGATAGGAGATACTTTGGAACATTACATTTGTTTGGTGATTGGTTGTGAATTTCGATATGCTAAGGATTTTACACACATAATAATGTCAAGATTTGGGAATGTTACTTGAAGGGTTCTAGACAGATTAATTGCAAAATAGAATTTAGATTATCCCATCCAACATTAGGACCACATCCTCACTATCTGAATTTTTGGGTTACTTTAGTAATCGTTGATATCGAGTTTATTCATTGAGCTGGAATTGTTATTGTGTTGCAAATGGTTGTAGGTTCGGTTAGAGTGTCTATATCGTGCTTAAAGAACCTTGATGTTTGTAAAAGGGTTTATCAACTAAAAGAAGAAATTTCATGTACTCTCATCTCTTAAATTTTGTGCAAAGAATTTTATTGGTTTACAATGTTTTGGCTGCATATGCCACGCTACAATGAATATGGTTATTGTTAAAATATCACCTCTTGCCTGCTTAATGAAAGGGATAATTTGAAAGGGATAATTTGTATACAGAATTATCATTGAGAATCTTTTATGGTAAGTCTTGTTTCTGTTATATTCGCAGGACAATTAGGTTTTCACATCAATGAAGACTTGGGAAATTGGGTTTGGGATGAATAGTGGAATTTCAATTTGAACTGTAGTTTAAATGCAAAATGGATAGATTAATTTGAAGTTTTTGAGGGGAAAAAGTGACAGAGTAGTGCAAGACCTGATACAAACCTACAAATAAGCGGATCCAAATTAGTTATTTGTCTCACAATTAAGTTTCTACGGCTGTGGCATATTTTGAGTGTTAACCGTCTTTCTCATCTTGTGAGCTGCATTTTGCACGTTTAAAAAATGATGGTAATGATGTTCTTTGTTCTTTAACAGGACGATGTTCTGATTAAGGTGCCCGGGTTATGGACTGGTTGCCTTCGTATTCTGTCAGTGTGTGTGAGTGATGTTCAGAGGGCAAAAAGGCGTTCATGCTCGCGACATATTCAAGTGGAAATGGAGTAGCTCGCCATCTCTGACGACTGGGCTGCTTGATGATCAACCTCATGAAATTGAATTGTCTGATTACCATCAAGCTCCAAGCCATGGTAGTGAAAGCCCTTCAGGTCTCCTTGATGGTGAAACTTTGAATTCCGAGCCAATTGATGATCTGGATCTGTTTTTCGAGAGGGTTTACACCTATTACTGTGCAAAAGGCCTTTGGTGCATAATTTTCAAGTGGATATTTGAGCTACTAACCTTGGCTTTTACTATATGCTTTTCTGGATTTTTTTTGCTCTTCGTCGACTGGTATGGCCTCCGACATGCAAAATGTGGCATGGACGCTGTGGAATCTGGGATCAAACCGTGCGATTTATCTCAGGAAGCATTACATAAGCATCCATTGACACCATTTACTCTCACCAAAGGCATAATTGTAGGATATTTGGGAATCTTTTCGATCTATTGGATTTTCTGCTTTCTAAGGTTCTTTGCACAGTTAAAGGAGACTCTTAAGATCCGTAAATTTTACTACAACAGGTATGGCTAGAACTTGCATAGCATTTAGTAAGGTTAAATGCCATATAGACATGTTACACCGTTATCTCTACCTTGCCGATTCAATGCTTGATTTATAATGTGACTTTTTTTTTTTTGAGTTCGGCTTAGCTCTTTTAGTTAATTACTAATTTCTTACGATTTAACGATGTTATGCAGTCTCTGTGTGACGGACAATGAGATACAGACGATGCCATGGTCATTAATTCTTGAAAAAGTTGTTCAAGTGCAACATTTTCAACAGCTATGTGTTGTCAAGGATCTCTCTGCTCATGATGTGGTCATGAGATTGATGAGAAAAGAGAATTACTTGATTGGGATGCTGAATAAAGGGGTGCTTGCCTTCCCTATATCTTGGTGGGTGCCTGGTGCTGTTATAACTACAAATGTTGGTCCCGACGGCGTTCAACGACGCCTCGTGTTGCCAAAGATTCTTGAATGGACCTTGAATTGGTGCATACTGCAGAGCATGTTTGACAGGCAAGTTCTTTATCCCCTTTCGCAAATATTCTAAAACACAATGTAGGGATTATTTACAAGAGATTACCTCAAAATGTTTCATTCTCACGTCATTATAAGAATATGGATTTATGAACATTTCTATCATGAAGTTTGTATCTTTATGCTTTACCCTATAACTGGTTTGGTGATCTTGATTTTCTCTGTGCTGAACAAGATATGATTCTTCATAAATGATTCGAAGTTGACACACAGCACATTTATAACGATCATAGAAGTCTTGCTGTCCTTGATTTATGTTGAAAGACACCTATCAGAAAATAACAATAAAGAAATAAAGACAGTGCACTTCTTTTAATCTGCTATATGTCAATTATGTCGACTAGCTCCCTGTTCTACTTGTGTAATTTCAATTTTCTTCCGGTACAGGACAATAACAAAGAAATAATTGTGTTTGAGCATATTGGTAGCTACTTTAAATGAATGATTTATATGTGTTCTGCTCTGCTCCAATTGCGTTCTTTAGTCAGTTCTAACCAGTTGTTAGGAATTCCGAAAGCTTATCACAGATTGTCTTTATTCTATATTAAGTCGCTCTCGGAACTTATGTAATTAATATGCGTATCTGATCTTATTCTTCCACAGAAACTTCCGGGTCCGGATAGATTTTGTCTCTGATCCTAAAACTTTGAAGAAAACTCTTATGATTGTGGGGCTGGCACTGCTTCTACTCTCACCGTTTCTTGTTATTTTCATGCTGGTATATCTCTTTTTGAGGCATGCCGAGCAATTTTATAATCATCCAAGCATGGCATCCTCCCGCAGATGGTCAAACCTCTCGAAGTGGATCTTCAGGGAATTCAATGAGGTAAGACTCTGGACTTTTAACCTGACTAAGAATACTAACGGAGCTTTTACTGTCTATGTTTTTCATTTATAAGTTTGGATTTTGTGGAAATGAAATTTTAATATATATGTCAATAAGAAGTCTAATAAGACTCGGCTTAGTTAGATAAAGTTTAACTAGTTATTCTTTCAAATGTATTTTCCGAATTTTCTCTAAATTGAGTGCATCTTTACTTGGGAATGTTTCGTGTTTGTTTTCCAGGTTGAACATTTGTTCAGGCACCGAATGAATAGCAGCGTTGAACATGCTTCTGGTTATCTAAAACAGTTCCCGTCGCCTATTCTGACTATTGTTGCAAAGTTCATTTCTTTCGTTTCTGGAGGTTTTGCTGCCGTACTTATAATCATTGCGTTTCTAGAGGAATCACTACTGGAAGGCCATGTAATTCTCTGAACTTTTACACAACCCTTGTAATTCTCGACTTTTTCCTAACCTAACCCCTTATGTGCTTTGGTTCAATGTTGCAGATATTTGGTCGAAACTTATTCTGGTATGCTGCAGTTTTTGGAGCAATAACAGCTATTAGTCGAGCTGTAATGATAGATGAGCTTCTGGTCTTCGACCCACAGGGGCAAATGTCTCTCGTTGTACAACAGACGCACTATATGCCAAAACGTTGGCGTGGGAGGGAGAACACCGAGGCTGTGCGCAGTGAATTTGAGACTCTATTTCAGGTATCGACTGGAATGTGGTGAGACTGCTTGTAATTATTTGCGGAGATGACATTTTTTTTTTTGGTGCAGTACACCGGAGTTATGTTGTTGGAGGAGATGGCATCAATCTTTCTTACGCCATTCCTACTCCTATTTGTTGTCCCTAAGGTTCGCTGATTGATTGATTCGCCTCATATGTTCATACGTATTGTTTCTGAAACTTTGTTCGGTGTTGCAGCGGGTGGATGACATCTTGCAGTTCATTAAGGATTTCACCGCAGATGTTGAAGGTGTCGGCCACGTTTGTAGGTATGTTATATACCAATTATCCAAAAAAATCGTAATTTAACTTTAGCATACACAACAATGCATCCTTTTATTCCTGGCAGTTTTAGCCTCTTCGACTTCGAAAACCACGGCAACAGAAAGTATGGATCGCCGTCTGATTTACCTCCCGATCGGAGGAGTTCGCAGGGCAAAATGGAAAAGTCGTTCTTGAGGTACGATTAATTATTTGATCAGAGTCTGAGTCGAAGAATTCTAAAATATAATCGATAAATGCAGCTTTCATATCGCGTATCCGTCGTGGGAACCCAACGCCGACGGGCAGCGATTCCTCGACTCGCTGAAAGTATTTCGGGATCAGAAACTGCAACGGCTCGGAATGCCGATACCCCGTGCGACATCCGGGACGCAGCGTCACAGTCCGAATCTAAACAGCTTCTTGATGCTGCGGAACAGCAACAACTTCGAATACTTTCATATGTTGGATTCAATGTGGCTGATCAACGGCGAGCAGAGGAACTGCCCGTACATTCTTGACTGGTATTACACGTCGAATAATCACGACAGAGGCGACGATCCGCGGCACGCGGCATCGACAAACCACGGCGAGGACACGGAGGACATGTGGGTCCCTTCCAACTTGCCGAGACACGACGCGGCGTACGACTACGACAAATGGGACGACACCATGTTCGATGACCGAGTACGGTCACGACTTGAGGAATCTACGGCCGCTCCTCTTTTCCGGGAAAGCGTTCTGCAGCACCACGACGGAATTGACTCCGTACGCCCTGTGAAGAGCGAGTGGTGGGCAAGGACACGGCACCGCGCTCCCAATCAAGAAACGAGCTTCCTCGAGCCACCAAATTTCTTCCGCGAACCCACCCCGGAGTCCAACGACCATTTCTCCGACAGAAGCCTGGAGGATCGGCAACTACCGTTCGACGATTGGAGAAACTCCCGGGCCTTGTCCCGGACTTTCTACATGGACGAAACGGATGGCGGCGATTTCAACCTCCCGTTCGACGACATCTACCAGAGTCCCCCGGGGAGCGTTGCGGGTGATGCAAATACTCCAGCCGATCGATCGTTTTCGTCGCGGCGGTGACGGTAACATTTTCGGGTTTTTAAGGACTATTCTTCTATGAACCTCAACCATGGCATGAGAAAAAAGAATGGAAAATTCTTTGCTGTACAACATATCATCTGTGTACATAATTGAATCCTAAAACCTTTCCCTCACCTTCGTTTTCGATGATTTCTAAATTCTCACACGAAAAAAAAAAAAAAAAAAAAAGGAAAAATGTGTAGAAACGATCGATTGTTTTATCCTTTTATATCTTAGTTTGAAGCATTTAATGTAACATGTGCAGGTTCGTTGACATTTTCGATTGTTTTTTGTTTTGGTGTTTGAATGCCCTGAAAGTGGGCATGTGGTGCTTCGACTGGATCACGTTTTGAAGGTTTTACACAAAGTCAAACAATGGAGATCTGGGATTTTTTTATTTTTTATTTTTTTAATTAATGGCAAGAAAAAGACATCATCGTCGTCATCGTCATCCTTTTTTCAACTGTGTTGTAAGATCTGAAACTAATTGACTGACTAACAGTTCCTAAAATCTGCAAAATCGATCAATCTGTGCAACGAGAAGTAATTTTGGTAAAAAATTTAAATCGGAAGAACTGCGTTTCTCGATCCTCTTCCATTTCCGAACGAAAAAATCGATCTTTTCATTCTGCTACTGCTGCTGCTGCTTTCTTCAATGGATAACCTATTTTGCCTCGAAATCTCCTGACCGGAAAAGTACACGTGGCGGTCGGCCGCCGAATCCATGGAAAACGATCTTCTGATCGGCTGGATGTCGAACTGTTCGCCGGCGTCGATTCCTTCGTCTCCCATTATCGAGCTATGGTGGAATTTCTGAGGTTTCGATTTCCCAAATTTTCTAGAAGAACAGCTCCTCGCCGGCGCCGGAACAAGGAATCTGCTCGAGCCATCTTCCCCACTGATTTGTAACGTTATAAAATCGCTCCGGCCGGCTGGAAGCAGCGATGGCGGCGGCGGCGGCTCCTGCGGGGAGGAATTGGGGGCGACAATGGCGTCGGCGCCGGCGCCGTCGCGGTAGCGGTTTCTGCCGGAAATAGTAGATCGGCAAAGAGGGCAATTGGAATTGGTCGCGAGCCAGACATCGATGCAGTCTAAATGGAAGGCGTGGCTACATTTGGGGAGAATTCTTAGTACATCGTTATCGTCGAATTCATTCAGGCAGACGACGCAGCGTCTCGCCGACTTTCCGGCGCCGGCGCCGGCGGGGTGGAGCTTGGTGTATTGGACGGTGGGGATTTCTCGTATTAGGAGTTCGTCGAGCCCTCGGGTCTGCCAGGATTGGGGAGAATAGGAAACCACGCCGGAATCTTCGTTACTTTGGAATGCAGGCGGGGCGGCGCCGCCGGTGAGGCGGCGGAGAGGGTCGATCTGCTGCCACCGGAAGCAGCATTTGGTGACGAAGATGTAATAGGTGATCATTATAAAAGCCGTGACGGCGATTCCTAGCACCGCGACGGCGAGGACTGGGAATCCGGCGGCGGAGGGCGGCGGCGAGGTAGGCATTAATGGAGGTGAGTTGGAGAATGTAATGAGAGGGAAATAAGGGAGAGTTAATAATGGTGTCGTGCAGGCAATTATGATTGGGAATGACACAACTGAGCTTCTTCACCAGGAAGAAGACGATGATCATCTCCTAATATTTTATTCTTAAATTTTAGATTCCATTTTAATACAGTATTAAATATTTTATAATTTTATAAATATTTAAATTATGAGTTTGTTTTTTTACATCCCCAACTTCAGTAAATGGTATGTTTTTTTTACTCCTCAATAATTCAGGCTGTGTCTGCTTGTGAAATTTAGTTTTTTATTTTACTATTTTTAACTCTTTTTTTTAAAAAAAAATCAAATTAAACATTTATTTTTATTTATTTTATTAAAATAAAATTTAATTTTACATTCAAAACATCACATCGTATTCAAAACATTTCTAATTATTTTTTGCATAAATATCATTATAATAGTATTACAAGACACTAATAAAAATATTTTGTAATTTTTCATTAATTTTTACTATATTTTTATGTAATAATTAATATTCAAATATCAACGCACTAAAAAAAATTAAATAGAACCCTTAGATATTTGTTTTTACAAAATATTTTATTATATATGTGGGATTTGGATAATGCTTTTGATCAGACGATGAAGTTTTGATTCTTGAGGAAAAATCTAAACATATTTTCTTTAGTGATTAAAGATCAGTCTCTGACGTTTTATTGAGATTTATGTTTTCACCTCTTTCTGTATTTGAGAGTGATTAGTAATTGTTGAATTATAATGTATTGCCATATAATTGTTATAAAATGGTGATTGTTTAAAAAAAATAATATTATTATACATTATTTTAATACTAAATTCAAATAAAAAATTCTCAAACCTTATTAAAAGGAATACAACTTATATATATATACGAACATAGGATTTGTTTTTATTATAGATTTGAAAAATATTTAGTTTGAATTTGATATTAAAATAACGTATTATAAAAAATACAAAGTCTAATAGAAAATTTAAGTTTGAAAATAAAAAGAAAAAAAAAATCTTATACTCTGTTTACAAATAATTTTTATATTCTCTCAATCCTATTGAAAAGTTATATTTTTTATTTTCGTCCGTTTTAAAATAATATTACAATTTTCTAATTTAATAATTGTATTATCTAATTAACATAATAAATACCTTTTTAACTTACAATATATTACACAAATGTCATTGCTTTTATATTACATCAAACTAATAGAAATATTTTTGTCTTTTTTACTACAATTCAATATAATACCAATATTAAAAAATATCCTTAAAAACACAAACACTATCCTTACAACGCGACGGAGCGAGTATAATATTATTTATTTATAATAATATTTTAAAAGCTACCGTCTAAAGAGAGCTTTAACTTTTTGATGTAGTAGAAAATTTTACTTCGTATTTATTTATTTTGTCCTTTTCTATACAAACCCTAAAGTGTAGTAGTATAAAATTGCGTACACACATGTATTCATGTATCTATGTTTGACCGATGGATCTCACTGGCAAATCTGAACCGTTGATGGCAGCAGATCCACGGTGTGGATGCGTTGTGGAGCATTGATGGAAAATGAGTACGTGTTCTCACTGGTTGACTTTGAATATTTTGTGAATGCTAGTTTTCAATTCAAAATTTATTTTATTATTTTTTTAATATTAAATTAATTATTTATTTATTTATATTATAGTAGAAAAAATAATTTTTGTATTTAAATATAATATTAATACCTATTTATTATATTAAAAAAATATTCTAATTCAAAATTTTAATATTTTAAATTCAAACTTAATTTTCAAACACACAAACAAATACACTAATTATGTAGTATACCTATGTACATTTAAAATTATAAATATTTTTAAAAATGTATATTTGATAAATCTTGTGCTTATATTTTTGTTACTATACAAATATAATTATATACTCCCTCCGTCCCAAGGTTGTCGTTTATTTTTTGCACATAAATTTTTGAATATTAGTATTATAATATGTTATATTGGAAAAGACGAAAATACCCCTATTAGTATTGTGTAATATAAATGTAATGACATTTGTGTAATATAGTGTAAGTTGGAAGGGTATTAATTATGTTGATAACCTTGTTTTAGGACGAACGAAAATAAAAAATGATAATATTTCAATGAAAGGGAAGGATAATAAAATTACAAAAACAAATTTGCTCTTTTGTGGATCTACAAAATAAGCTACATATTATTAGACAGAAAAAAAAAAAAAAAAAAAAATTGCCTATGTGAGAAGCGTGAAAGAAGAAAAGAACAAAAAAATTAATAATAAAAAACAAATAAAAAATTAAAAGAAAACTAAAAAAAATAGTTGGAACGTATTTTAAATTAATTTACTGTATTTTAAATTAATTTACTTATTTAGTATTATATATATATATAAACAATAATTATTAATCTATTAAAATATGCAAGCGTGGGTGGCCTCATGACAAGTATTACTTTATGGTGTTTGCATGTTTCTAACACCAAAATAAGAATCATTAAGGATGTTCTATTACTTTCTACATTTTTATTAAATTAAATAATATTTCCTTTTTTTTGGAATAATTATGTCATTTTATTTATATAAAAAATTTAAAATAATAATATTTTAGTATAAAATTAAAATATATATAAAAAATAAAGTAAAAATATATAGAAATTTTATTAAAAAAATTGATAAAAAAATTATGTGTTAGGTAGAAATAAGTAATGATAAATTAACTATTATTTATTAAAATAAAAGTAATAAAATTATAGATAAATAAAATTATTCACTATAAATATATTGTATATCAATGTAATGAACAAAAAAGAAATCATTATTATAGCTAATTGAGAAAATATATATCTATAAAAGAGATTGTATTATTTTTTAAATCAACATATTGAACTTATTTATTAATATTTTGTTTAAAATGAAAATTCTAAAAGATACTCAAAAAACATATTTCATCCGTCATCGAAAAATACTCATATTACCATATAATTGGGTACTAATTTTAATAAAAATTGATAAAAATAGTTAATCTTTCTTTTTATAAATACAAAAAAGATAACAATAAATATAAATTTGAATGACACAAAAAAAATACTTTATAATTGTGTAACATTAAAGGAAAATGAATTATTTGGATCTAATTAATTAATATGGCTTGCTCTTCTTCTTCTTCTCTTTCTCTCTCTCCTTTTTCTTTCTTTCCTCCTTCTTTTTTTTTTTTTTTTTTTTTTTTTTTTTTTTTTTTTTTTTAACTCGTAAGAATTGGTCGAAGTAATGTGGTATGATGGTAAGTAATATAGAAGTCACTTATTTGAATTTCAACAATGTGTTTTAGACCAAATTTGACATCGAGAAATTCGACATTAAACATAATCTTTGTCGAGCTTAGCGTGTGTTTGTTTGGGGTTTGGATTTTGAGTTGATATTTGAATAGTAAAAATTTTGAATTGGAATAGTTGTATAATGTGATATAAATAGGTGATGATGTGATGTTTTGAATGTAAAATTAATTTTTAGTATAATATAAATAATAAAAAATAGATGTTTAATTTAATATTTTTGGAGAGAAAAAATTGAATGAATAATAAAATTTTTAGACTGGTAAGCCGAATCAAGTCGGCCCAAGTCCAATTCAGCTTAGATTTGAATAATATTGAAATGGGCTTAAGTTGATCCTTATTATATAGTACATATGTTTTATAAAGGACAAATAAATAAAATATAATAAAAAATGGGCTGAAATGATACCAACCAATTTTCATTTAATGAGCCCGTATAAAACCTGCATTAAGGCCCATGATTGGATCAAAATCGATCTTATTATATTTTCTCCATCGGCTAAATTTATTTATTTATTTATTTTTTTGTCCACCCGTTACTATATTTCTTTTTTATTTTTTTTTAAGTATTACCATCTATTCAACATTTAGTTATAACAAATATCGCTATTTTTCTTTTTAATTATACTAACTCTTTTATTTATTTATTTTTTTAATTACTAACTCAAATTTAAAAAAAAATACATTCGATTACCTTTTTAATTTTATCATATTTTTAATAACATATTTGTATTTTTATTTTTTAGTCTTCATTTTGAACCCAAATGAATTAAATACGATGAATGAAAGGAGTATATCATAGGCTAGACAACTTAGACTACTAGACATCGCTTGCGGAGACGAATTTGGCAATAATGAAATAATAGGCTAGACAACTTAGTTTACTAGACATTGCTTGCGGAGGCGAATTTGGCAATAATGAAATAATGAGTAGTATAAACTTCAACACTTCTCTTTATCTTTGACGGGACCAGCTTTTAGTTGGTATGCAGACCTCTAACCGAACTCCAAGGAATATTTAAATTATAAGTTATATAATTATTTGTTGAACCTTTATAAATTAAGTAACGAGATATTTTTAACTGGGTTCAAATTCAGGTGGGTACATGCGTGTAGGATAATATATATGTGTATATATACATATGTAGTATAAAAGTCTTCAAATCCTATGCAAAATTGATATTTTCTGGATTTTAAAAAATTGGTTTTGTTGTTTGATTTGATATAAATATGTGTTGAATTGATATTTTGAATGTAAAATTAATTTTAATTGTTATATAATAAATGAAAAATATATGTTTGATTATATATATATATATATTTATAAAAAATTGAGTGCTTGCTCTGGTACAATAAATTTCGACCGAACATTTTAATTCAAGATGTGATTTGTATGTTATTATAGCTTTTGTTTGACATATTATTACGAGTATAATGTAAATAGCGAGATGATTTGTTATCTCAGTTTGGATTTAAAATCCTACACTGGGATACCTATTATGATTGAATTTACTATCTCAATTAAAACCATAGATACAACACAATTTTTCTTCTCAAATCCAACTCAAATCACATCACGATCTCTCGACTTAGAACTTAGAAACCCTACACACAAACCCGGTGTCTCTATTGTTGTTTAGATTCGTCTTTCACAAGACAACTCTTCAATATTGTAACATCTGAGTCTTTGTCTCGATTATCTAATTTGATTTGCAATATGAAAGTTCTGAACTAGATCTCTAATCTCATTAAATCCAATATCAAATTCACTCTCAAGAACCATTACAGAATCATTCTTATACCAAGTTATTAATAAATTCTCAATTTCGCATCTAAATCTATGACTGATAAATGAAAACTATGTAATGTTGGGACTCCCGTTTGCGGATATATGAATAATGATTTAGTTTCCCTAATAGTTCGAACTAATTGTTTGTTAATTACTTCATATGTTGTTGGATGGATGTTGTAATTTTTCCACAACTTTTTTTTTTATAAACTTTTTGTCTAATGTAACGACTTCGGTTTTGAACTAATTGGTTTCCCTTCGGACTTTTATTTGTCTTTCCGATTTTGTTGACAACTTTGCTAATGACCAAAGACAATATGCTTGAGATACATCAACACAAAACTAAGTTTTCTAACATTGAATATGAAACAATATAATAAACAATGATACTACTTTCGTTCGCTCGCAAGTTAGTCGTTTATTTTTTATATTTTATGTACGTAGAATTTAATAAATATTATCTTTTAATGATAGTTGTTGTTTCTTTTAATACTAAATACTATTTTATTCTATGTCTTAATTTGACATAATCATATTAATAAAATAAATATAATTTAAAAGTAATGAAAATATTTTGTATGGTCTACGCTACGTGTGACCAATTTAAAATAATGAAACAATTATCTTTTGAAATAATAGAGATTTATATATGTAGATTTATTATGTGGCCGGCCATGGTCGATTCTTTAATCTTGAATGGGTCTTTTTTATTTTATTTTATTTCTTTTAAAAAATTGATGATGTCTTTAAAAAGGCAAGTTGGGAAAGTTGAATTATTTTAATATTGTAAATCTTTATGTACAACACATATTTGATGTTATCTCGTTTCTTAAACAAACAGCAAATACCTAACCTAACTGCAGACCATCAATTTCAATATTCTTAAAATATTTTGGCATGTTTAGGTATGGATAAAATACCAAAAAATTTTGGTACATCGAATTTATCGTATTGAAAAAACAATAATAAATTTACTAATATTTATAATATGGTATGATTGTCGAATCCCGTTCCTAAAGTTCACGTAGCTAACGTAATTCCATCTCTAATTCCGTCTCTAATATCGTTAGTAACAGAAAAAGTGAATTTAAGAACGAAAAAATCTCGTTACAAAATTGATAATTTATTGTAGTGTATATATATATATAAAGTATTGAATGTGCATAACTAATTCAGCATATACTATATAAATTAAAATTAATACTAACAATTTAATTTTAAAACACAAGCACATACACCTTCACAAGTCCTTATCATTATTATTTTATTATTATTTTTTTCATTTTAAAGTTCATTAATCATTTTAATTCTTTGATGAGGTATGTAATTGAAAACTATTTTATTTCAATGCCAAAAAACAAGACGTTATAAATAATCATGTTGAATCTTACACTTGCATGCAAACTCTTATTGTTCGCCAGGATGTGTTTGTTTTGTGAAAATAGTTTGAAAATATATTTTTTTATATGACTTATAAGAAATTATTTAGATAATATAAAAATAATGAATGTATATAATATATTAATATTTTTGAAAAAAAAAATTAGAAAACAAAAATAAAAAAGAACAAACCCGTCTTGTAGGGTTGTTTTTTAAAGGGAGGGGTAATCACAACATTATAATTAGACAAATGATACATTGTTTCAACTAGCATATATAACTGATTTGGGAAGCATGGCATTCATTTCTTTCAACCAGCCTACCATAAATAATCACTCGAGATATTGTTTCAACTACTACAACATGCTAGTTCATGAAACAATAAAGTGCGGTGTATGAATATATTTTATACGTTGAAATTAATAAAAATATATGTTATGTCGACAATTGTCATAAAGTGTCAATTCATATACTATATTAATATTATAATAACATAAATAAAGTTTGATATCCAGAGAGTAACTGCAGGCTTTTTGTAAGACTATATATATATGGGGATGGTTAGAAGCTATTTTTTTCAAATCAGCACCATGCTGATTTTTCAACTCAGCACAAGTTATATGTATAAACAACATACAATATTATTACATACAACACATGCTGTGTATAATAAAGGTATGTGCTGTTTTTTTTTTTTTTTAACAAGTGTGTTGTATAAGAGTATGTCATGTGTTAAAATCAACTATTATGTGTGATGTATGAGACTATAATATGTATAGTTAGTTCATGTGATGTATTTGTGTTATATTAACATACGTAATGTGTTGTCTGTAATAATATTGTGTGCTGTCAGACAACATACGATGTGCTTTTGAGACTATAACACGTGTTCTTTATTTATGTAATGTTTTTATAATATATTAATATATATGCTGTATATAGTAATACCATCTGCTGTCAAATAGCACCACCTATATATATTATATATATTAATGGTTACAGCAAAAAATTGAAAATTAGCTGGCTAAAAATTTGATATCATGGAAGAGGTGATGGAGACATTTTCCTAAATGAAAATCAATTAGGATTGATTGGACCATCATAAATATCACCATCACTAAATGAATCAATCCCATGCTTTAAATAATTTATTATACTATCCATCATCATCACAACATTATGGGAATACCACACAATTGTTACAATGCTGAATTGTGTTATTTTATTGTTATGTTGACTCCATATTATATATATAGACAATAAATCAAATATAAATTAACAACAAAATATTTATATTAATATAATTCAAATATGATATATGAATATAATTAATACAATGCAAACTATTATTAATTTCAGTGCGAAAGATATGTTTATACAACACACTGTAAAATATGAATTGTTAGCATATGTTTAATTTATACGATACAGTTTCACGTGCTACGTATTGATTAACCCTAATATATAATGCTTGTATTTCGACAGTTGTATTTGTTTGATTGTGAATTGAAATTGATTTAAAATAAATTATTAATTTAAATTTTGATTTAAATGGTATTTTGATGAAGTATTTTGTAAAATAAAAAACCCTCCAATTATTTGAATGATTCTTGGAACTCCTTCAATATATATATATATATATATAGCAGAAGAACCACTCTTTTGTTTTTTAGATTTGTTGGGATATAATCGTTGTATATAGTTTTGCAATTTTGAAAATGTCAAGAAGCTATAAGTGGATATATGGGTGTTATTAAATAGGTATGATCGATCTTTCTTAATTACAACATCAATTCCTACTCGAAGAAATTAAAGAAAGCCATACATACATCAACCTTAATTCTTTCCATGGCAACAATGGAGAATAATCATGTGTCGAAGTGGTTCGATGTTCAATCTGTGCCACAGAGCCACACTTACTCCATTGATCTCAGACCAGGAAATGATCCAATCCCTACTTGTAATAAAATCCCAATTATCGATCTCCAAAGGGATGATGAAGCAGTTCAACAAATCATCGAAGCCAGCCAAGAATATGGTCTCTTTCTGGTAATTTTAATTCAACTCTCAATTAACCTTTTATCTGATCGATCTTTTTGTCCAAAATCCAATCTTTCTTTTATGTGCAAATTGACTGATTAATTAGGTGATCAATCATGGGGTGTCCGAGGATGTAATAGAAGAAACTGCGCAGGTGATGGAGGAGCTTTTCGGTCTCCCACAGGAGGAGTTATCGAAGGATGCAAAAGAAACCGGTTGGGTCTACTTTTGCAGCACCAACTTTGTAGTCGCCGGCGCTTATTTATGGCGCGACAACATTAAACATACATGCCATCCTTTAAAGGATTGCGTGCAACGTTGGCCGCGGCATCCCATTCGTTACAGGTTCTTACAACATATACACTATCCTATAAAAAAAATATTTTGGTTTCGCCACAGGGTGTGCTTGTTTTGTGTTTTGATTTGAAGATTTTTTTTTTTTTTTTTTTCGACGTTAGGTATAAAAAATTGTGTAGATAATATAGAAATAATGAGTGTGTATAGTATATTAATTTTGTGGAAAAATGTCTTAGAAATTTTTTTGTTAAAGAAACAAACTCTAAGAGTTGTGAAGAGCATAACACTAATATACTAAAATTGACGTTAATATTTTTGAGCTATGTCTTCAACACTAAGGGTTTGTTTCTTTACCCTTAACCTTAAGTTTCTACTATATGAATTATGCATTTTCCGAAAAAAATACGCATTTTTCTCTTACAAAATATCCCATAATATATTATTTTAATACCAAATTTAAACCAATTTTTTTTTTTTTTAAACTCATCAAAGGAAACATACCCTAAAATAACTTTTTATAAAATAATGATATATATATGTGTGTGAGGGGAGGTCACTATGTTGATTGGCATAGTGCTGAATTTTTTCGTCAACACATTATAAATAAAACGACAACACATAATTTCGATTAACACAACACACGTTATGTTGTTTTAGTTGAAACTTGATAGTTTTATTTAAAGGGGTGCGTTGTACTTGTATGAACATATTTTTTTATGTGCTAAAATTAATAGTAGTATATGTTGTGTGGATAATTTTCATATAATTTCAATTAAAGTACTCTATTTATATTATATTAACATAAATAAGGTAGCGCCTATTGTTATATCATGTGTTGCTTGTAGTTATAAAATATAAGTCATTACTTTGATGACTTAAAAAATTTAGTATAGTAACTGCCGTCATATATATATATATATATCAATGAATCATCATGCATTATTAGATAATCTAGTGCATGCCTCGACTAAAAATATATAACACGGTGTTTGATCTTTTTGACGGGATCCAGGGATGTGGTGGAAGCATATGTAAAGAATATTGAGAGGCTGAGTTTGAAGATACTAGAGATGATATGCCAAGGGTTAGGGTTAGAAAAAGACCACCTAGGAAGTATGAGTGAGGTCAAATTCTTGTCGGCGAATAACTACCCCCCGTGCCCGGATCCTAGCTTAGCCTTGGGAGTGATCAAGCATCATGATCACAACCTCATAACCATTTTGTACCAAGGGAATATTGAAGGGCTTCAAATAATGAAAGATGGCGAGTGGATTGGCGTCGAAGCTCCCCCGAATTCCTTTGTTGTCAATATCGGCAGCCAACTCCAGGTATATTATTTTTTGCGCACATAGGAAACAATTCAATTTTGTCTTCGAAAATAGCATTACTCATCATTTTGATCATTTAAATAGACTATATCTAAAAATTATCATTATATCTCATTTGTTGTCATTCTAATAATAATTTTCATAAGTATCTATGAATGTCACACACAAAAGTCTGTCACTGCGGGACCAAAATGGTAACTATATATGTAAGAATTATATCTTTTTTGCATCTATATACATACATACAAGAAAATTATATCTTTCATCGAAGTAAATGAACACTTTATCATTTTAGATATTTATTGAAATCATATTTGAAAATAATTTGATTTTTTATTCATTGTTGAGATTTGTTTTCCAATTGAGATAAATGTGTGCTTGATCGAAACATATGCTTATATTCATTAATTACTACTTTATACTACATTTAGATATATATATATTTATTTTTGAAAAAGTGCGTTGAGTTCTATTAACTGGTGATTATTTCAATTTCTTTATTACAAAACAAACGTATTTTTTTTTTTTTTTATAAAAATTAAATTATTATTTTTTTTATAAAATATATTAATATAAGTATAAATGTATATTTCTGCTATCAAATGACTAAAACATAAACATTATATTGAATAGCTATAAAATTATTTTTAGATTGGATTACCAAGAATAAAAAATTAAAATAATAAATAATTTACTTACATACTAAATGAAAAACATACTCCATCCATTCAGGTCCAAAGGGGCGTTTTGAAGTTGTACAGTAGATGAAAAAATAATAGTATTTTATTAGTTAGTGAAAGTATATAAGAAGTTTTGATAGTTTTGATTTTTTGGACTTTAAAAGTAATTGTATGTGTAATAGTATGTTAGTAATTTAGGTAAAAATTAATGATATTGGTATGTGTGTATGATTACTTTTACTAAAATAGAAAATTGATACTTTAGAATGAGACGGATAAAAATTATAAAAATAATATTTTGAATTGAGACAAAATGAATATAATTTTTATATATACTGTGAGTGATGGATAAAGATTGTGTGTACAGATTATCAGCAATGGGAAGCTAAAGAGTATAGAGCACAGAGCAGTGCCAAATTTGGATCAAAAAAGGATTACCATTGCAACCTTCGTTAATCCAAAGCCAGAAAGTGTGATCGAACCGGCTAAAATATTAGTGAACAAAAATAATCCTGCTCGATATTCTTCCACATCCTTCAAGGACTTTGTCGATGCAACCAAGCCCTTTGGCCCTTACACTCATGTACTTCAAAATGATGAGAAACATTGATATCGATCGTTATGTGAATGAACTTAGAGGTCTTTCGGTAAATAATGTTTTAGCGATATATCCAATCAAAGAACAACGCAATATAAATAAAATTAAAGAAAATTATTTTATGCTACTAGATGATTCGAAGAAGTTTATTTAGATAATTTTTTTTATGTATACAAATGTATTTACCTATTTTAATTAGTGTATATACATTATTACAGTAGTTTTTATATTAAAGTGTGTTTTTAATAAAAATTATATTTGTACTTTCTATGATTTTAAACATGACTTCTAAATTATTTTTATTTTTTTAAGTAAAAGAAATGCCATTATTTTATTTTATTTTTTTACTCTTAAAAAAAATTCTATTTTTACTCACTTTTATTAAAACTCGTGTCCGATCTAATGACCGCACATTTGAATGACATAGGTAGTATATAGTTTGGTACAACAAAAATAAATGATTGTGACTCGATCTGGTAATAAATACGAATGTTGTGTTTTCGCTAGCATTACATTCACTACTAGAAAAATGGTTGATAGTTGCGGAAATTTGTTGCAAATTTTAATTCGCGATAATTAAAAGTCACAGAAAGTAATTTCGTGACAAATTTATATCACAACCTTTTGTTTGACTGTTTTGTAAGTAATATTTGCAGAAAAAGTTACAAACAACTTTTCGTGACTATTTAAAGTAACGGCTTATGTAACGAAAATGTCCAAGATATTTCTATTCCGTATCTTTTAATTATTTCGTTACAAAAATTGTCACGAAATTTTTTCTTGACTATTTTAAGTTGCGGAAAAAATAACCAAAATACTTGCAATATTTTAAATTATTATAGATATTGTCATGGTATAATTTTCGTGACTTTTTAAAATAAAATGTCACAACATAAGTAACAAAAACAACTCTAAATTTTTCTTATTATCGTTCGTATCTATTTAAAGTAATAACAAAATAATAAAATCATCTTAAATATTTTTATTTTTTTTACTTGTATTGTAATTGAATAATATTTTTTAATTATCCATCACTATTTAAAATAATGACATAAGTACCAAAATATTAGCAAAATCTTAATTATATATTTTTTTTATAAAAAAATTCTACTACTATTTATGGTTACTATAAATAATTTTATTTAATTAATATATGTTGATTTAAGTTACTGCAAATATTAACATAAATCAATATTTAACTATTTATAGTTACCAAATCTACTATATATATATTTTTTTTAAATATAGTGTTAAATTTGAAATTTTATATGATAGATTTGTTTTAAAAAATGATTGAGTTTAAAATATATATTTATAATAAAACATAGATGAACATTATATAATTTACGATTGTAAATAATCGATCCATAATACAACAAATGAGTTTTGAGAATCTTGGGAACAAGTTGGCTAGAATAGCATAGCATTTTATTTATTTATTTATTTATTTATTTTATAACATGGAAGTCCAATGTACGCTTGGTAAATCGTCACTTGAATCTAATAATTTGCATTATTTTATTTTTGTTTAGTTTACATGGAGTTGAACTTAGTAAAAATCACGTAAAAAATTTTGAGTATGAATTTCATATCCTTGTTTAAGGGACAAACTCAAATTCCAATGAACAAAAATTTAAAATAAAATAATTTTTTTTTTGGAAAATTGCATCTATTTGTTCAATAAAACAAGGATAAACTATTTTTTTAATCATGTAATTGGACCCCTTATCATTTTAGTCCCGTAAGTGAAGCCTATCGCAAATTAGTCTCATAAGTGAAAATTTTTCGTTGTTTTAGTCCTCCGGCGCCGGAGATGGTCGCGTGGCTCGCCGGAGGTGACGTATCCGCCAGGTGTGTGTCCGGCCAGATCAGCGACACATGGCAGACATGTAGATTTATTTATTTGTTTTCATTTTCATTTTATTTATTTTTTTTTAAAAATTAGACTAAATAAAAAAATAAAAAAAATGCAAATAAAATTAAAAATAAGTTTTTTAAAAAATTTTTAAAAATGAAAAAAAAAAAAAAAAAATCCACGTGTCCGCCAGGTGTCGCGGACCTGGCGGATACGTCACCTCCGGCGAGCCACGCGGGCGTCTTCGGCGCCGGAGGACTAAAACAGCGAAAAATTTTCACTTATAAGACTAGTTTGCGACAGACTCCACTTACGGGACTGGGACTGAAATAATAAAGGAGTCCAGACTTAAAAAAAACAGTTTACCCATAAAACAATGGTTGGAATAAAAATATATCCTAGATTAAGTTAATAAAGAACGAGGATAAATATATACTTGCAATTAAACTTGAATTGATCATTAGGTTTTTTTATCCATCTTGGGCCTTAATGCAGGTTAGATATGGGCTTATTTAATAAAAATTGATCCGGTAATTTCAGTCCATTTTGTTATTACCTCCCTACATCCGCTATATTTAGCATATTAAGAGTACGCACGCATTCATCCACGATCGAACTCAGGACCTAGCTTTAAAAAACGAGGACATGTATGTTTAATATCGTCCCGACTCAGGTTGACACTATGCTGCTTCTTTCTCTACTACTTTTTTTTTTTTTTTAAATATTACATCATATGACATTCACTCAAAATTTATTTAAAAGATTCTATTAATTTCTATATCTTTCTTTAATAAACAAAACTATTTTTATATTTTCAAAACTCCTCATTTATTTTAATTAATTTATATCTATCATAAGTAAATATTATATTTTTATTTATTTGTATTATTCTTTATAAAATAATATCCATATTATATATTCTCTCCGCCCACTTAATAAATTTACATTTATCTTTTGTGTCATTGTATTTGACATTAAAAATATTCTTATATTTGTATAAATTTTTGTATAAACGTTCTTGTATTAGTATTATAAGACACGAATATAAGTATTTTTTTTATTATTTTTCATTGATTTATACTAAATAAAAAATAATAGCGAAATATTTGAAACGAAGATTGCATATAAATCTTAAGAACCACTAATCATACAAAATAGATGAAAAACATAAGTCTGATCCAAATAACTTTGAATCATATAATTATTTCAAAGATGGGACACAATGTCTCTCTAAATCCATCAATTTTTCCCGATATTTTGAAGCGCATTAGTGAAAGGGCCGTAAGCATTGGTTTTTTCAACAAAGTCCTTGAAGGTTGTCGCAGAATATCGAGCAGGATTGTCTTCATTCACTAATATTTTAGCCGGTTCGATCACACTTTCTGGTTTCGGATTAACAAAGGTTGCAATGGAAATCCTTTTCTGATTCAAATTTGGCACTACCCTGTGCTCCGGACTTTTTAGCTTCCCATTGCTGATAATCTACACACAAATTATATTTGATTTAAATTTTTATTATTTTTGATGAAAAAGTTTTATATACAATTTTAAATAAAAGTATGATATTTTTTTAATAAAATATTACATCAAACTACAATTACAAAAACCCAAATTATTTTTAAACAGAACCAAATACAAATGCGTATAAAATATTTTTTTTTTCAGAAGCAAAAATTAAAAGTCTTTGGCAAAAGCCAATTCAATCCAATAGGGACCTAAAAATAATTTTTCATCAGTTAAAATTGGGTGACATGATCAATTTTTTCACTGAAAATTCTATATGTAGAATTTTAAAAATATATATTGACATGATCAATTTTCTCACCGAAAATTCTATATGTAAAATTTTAAAAATATATATTTATATAAGTTTGACGTGATTTTTAAATAATATTGCGTTAGCGCGCGAGCTTGTTTAGGCGCATATGACGTACCTGGAGTTGGGTGCCGATATTGACAGCAAAGGTATTCGGTGGAGCTTCGACGCCAAACCACTCGCCATTTTTCAAGATCTGAAGCCCTTCAACATTCCCTTGGTACAAAATTGTTATGAGGTTGTGATCAAGATGTTTGGGCACTCCCAAGGCTATGCTCGGGTTGGGGCACGGCGGGCAGTTATTTGCCGACAAGAATTTTGTCTCGCTCATACTTACTAGGTGGTCCTTTTCTAACCCCAATCCTTTAGAGATAATCTCTAGTATCCTCAAACTCATCCTCTCTATTCCCATTATATATTTCGCCATAACTTTTCTGGTTCAGATCAAACAAGAATTTCAGCATGTATTAAATTAATAAATAATATATATAGATGTTGTAAGAACCTGTAGCGAATGGGTTGTTGTGGCCAATGTGGCATGGAATCCTCTAAAGGATAGCACAAATGTTTAATGTTGTCGCGCCATAGATGAGTCCCGACAGCTACAAATTTGTTGCTGTCGACGTAGACCCAACCGTTGGCTTTCGTTAAGTCCTCGGGCGGGAGGCTGAAGAGCTCCTCCAACACCTTCACTGTCTCTTCTATTACATCCTTGGCCACGCCGTGATTGCTCACCTAATTATCGAATTTATACATTATATCGAAATTAAAAAAAAAAAAAAAAGAAAAAGATTACTTAATTAATTGATTACCAGAAAAATGCCATATTCTTGGCTGGCTTGGATGATTTGGTGAAGTGCCTTAGGGCTTTGGAGATCGATGATTGGGATTTTGTTACATGTAGGGATTGGATCATTTCCTGGTCTGGCTTCAATTGGGCAAATGTGACTTTCTGGCACGTATTCAACATCAGACCACTTCGACACACATTTTTCCATTGTAATTGCTATCGAAATAATTTTATTTTTTGTTATTTCTTCTTCTACTAGGAATTGATTGATATAAATATGTGTATGTATGTGTATATATATATATATATAGGAGATAAAAATAAAATAATAATGCATATATAGTAAGCTATATAAAGGGGATTGGGATAAGGATTATCTATTGAACCTATTATACTACAAGATTATGGTAAGATTTTGAATACAATGGTAATAATACCTAAATACAATATAATGATAATAATAATAATAATTAAATTATTTGAATTTAAATATTGTTATGTTACATTTGTATGGTAAGTTGACTACTTTCCAATTTTTTTTTTTTTAACTTTTGTATATATTGGTAATAAAATATTTGAAATATAAATTTCAGCACTGCTGAATAACTATAATTAATTATATGTATTTATATTAATGGTATTAATTGATAATATAAATTAAAATTAATTAAAATATTAAATATTTAGCATTGTGCTGAATGAAATTCATTCAGCCAATAATCCTTGTTGTAAAATATATTCATAAATATATTTTCATATATATCCAGCATATTGATTTAATTGCTAATTTCAAGTTACTAATTAATCAACTTATTGTTGGTTTGCTTTATTTAAATTTCAAACTCAAATAAATATTATTCACTATTTTTAATAAAAAAAAAGGAAAAATTTCCAGAAAACAATTATATTAAAATATTATTCAAATAAAAATTCTAATTAATACTCATTTCAAATCATAATTAAGAAAATATTATTTTTATACAATATTAATTTAATTGCTAATTTAAGTTACTATTTTAAAATAAATGGGTCAACAATGATATTTTTAGATACTTTTTTCATCTGACAAAAACAAGAAAGAAAAAAAAAATGTAAATGAATATACCAAATTAAAAACAATAGCAAAATATTTGAAATGGGAGATATATAATATATAATATCATAAGAACATACTAGATAGAATAAAAAAAAAAAAAAAAATTGATTCAAATAACTTTGGATCATATAATTATTTTACCGATCATATAATTATTTTACCGAGCACGCATGGTAATTTTTTTATTGGTACGGCTCTTTTAATTTATTAAATATTGGTGCAACATTACTTATCGATAGAATTTGAAAGATGGGAGTCTTCCTCAGACATCCATCAATTTTTCCCCGGGAGTTTGAAGAGTTTTAGTGAAAGGGCCGTAAGCTTTGGTACCATCAACAAAGTCCTTGAAGGATCGTGTGGAGAATCGAACAGGATTGTCTTCGTTCACGAATATTTTAACCGGTTCGATCACACTTTTCTGCTTCGAATTAAGGAAAGTTGCAATAAAAATCCTTTGTTTGTCCAAATTTGGCATTGTTTTGTGTCCCACACTCTTTAGTTTTTCATTGCTAATAATCTACACACAGGTTTTGATTTGATTTTTCTTATCAGAGTTTTTCTAATAAGTAAATATATACTTATTAGCCAGACAATGAAAAAAATTTGTTCAAAATAAAAAAAATAAAAAAAATTGGACGCAATTTTTAAATCATGAGTAGGACGCAAGTACCTGAAGTTGGGTGCCAATAATGACGGCAAATGTATTGGGAGGAGCATCGACGGCGAGCCACTTGCCGTCATCTGTCAAGATTTGAAGGCCTTCGACATTGCCTTGGTACAAAACTGTTATGAGGTTGTGGTCGACATACTTGGGCACCGCCAGGGTTAGGTTCGGGTTTGGGCACGGCGGGCAACTATTCACCGACAAGAATTTTGTCTTGAACATACTTCCTAGGTGGTCCTTTTCTAACCCCAATCCCTGAGAGATCATCTCTAGTATGCTCAAGCCTACCTGATTCACCTCCATTACATATTTCGCCACCACGTCCCGGTAGCGAATGGGCTGCTGCGGCCAATGTGGCACGCAATCTTCTAAAGGATGGCACGGATGTTTAAGGTTGTCGCGCCATAGATAACCCCCGTAATGTTACATTTGTATAGTAAATCGGCTACTTTGCAACTTTTTAAACTTTTCTATACATTGGTAAATGAAATATATCATAAATATATTTAGGATTTTTGTTTGGTCAACATATTTTTTTCAATATGATTTTTAATATATATAAATACTATTCTCCGACAAAATTAACTATATTAAATATATATATATTTCAAAATAAAAACTAAAAAAGAAAATTCTTAATTAAAATATCAAATGTATATATCCAACACATGTCAAATGGTCAAATATTACTAAATATATTAATATAAAAATAAATAAAATAGTTAAAAAAAAAAACTTTATCAAATCTTTTTCGATTTTTGTTGTTTGCAGAAAATATGCATTTTTATTTATAATAAATTATAATTTTTACATTCTCTTTAATTTGTATTTTACAATATTACACTTATCGACAAAATTATCACAAATATTTATGCACTCAGTATATTAAAATATATAATCTCTCTTATTAAGTCACTCACATTTTGTTTTAAAATACTTGTAAAAATTAATTTGATGACTTATATTATTTGAGATGTATGAGTGTAATTTAATCAAGAGGGCTTTATATAATTCTTTCATCCTCTCAGGCCTTCAATTTTGGCGCAACAAATAGAATTTGCGCATTCAATTTTGGTACAACAAAAGAATGTACATGATATTGATGAAGGACAAGATCGATGGAAGCAGACAAAATCAAATTGCCCTAATTCTAACCTCATTCGATTGTTCACTAATCAACGGAAACATTGAAGAAATTAGAGTTATTGATTTTTTTACCTCCTTTGCCAATATTAGACCATAAATTTGAAATATATCAACCACATAACAAAAATCTGGACAATATATTGGATTTGATTTACTGGATTATTGTTTTTTTACAAAAATATGGAGGATAATTTATGAAATTGTGTGAATCTAATTGTCTTCATAGTTTCAAGATTTTTAGAGTAGTCAAACTATTAGGGTGTGTTCTTTTATTGAACTTTCTTTAAAAAAATAAAATTTACTATTAACTATTTTTTTTTCTCCTAAAATATCAAATCAAAATCAAAATTTTCTTTTATTATTATATTAAAAAAAAATAATTTTCCATTCAAAACGTACATAAAAACTTATTTCTATTTTTGTCCGTCCCAAATAAGGGTACAATTTTCTAATTTACTAATTATACTATCTACCTAATATAATAAATACCCTTACAACTTATAATATATTATACAAATGTCATTACTTTTATATTATACCATAGTAATACGGGCATTTTTGCCTTTTTACTATAAACCAATATAATATTGATATTAAAAAACTTACGTACATAAAATAAAATGATGCTCTTATTACGGGACGGAAATTGTATTACTTAATTTCTAACATAAGCATCCCGGATTACATAGTTAGCATATAAAAAAATAAGCAATAAGCATTTTTTAAATAAAATATTAAAAATACGTGATTATATACTCACATTCATTCCAAATCATCAGGTAACTTAAAACATTCATTATTTGAATCCCAACAACTTAATAGCCAAAAAGAAGAAAACAAAATAAAACGACCTTCAACCTTGCGGCGTGGTTACCTCAAGTCATTTAGCACCATGGGCTAAGCCAAAATCGACATCCCTGAGTCTCTGTTAAAAAATCGAAGAAGACGTAATATTAGTCAATCTATCTGTCGTTGTGCTATTGTTGAGTGTGGTCGCCGGAAATTCTAGAATTTAGTTTGTGCCTTTTGTTTAATTTTTATTTCGATTCGGTATTAATACTATTTTGAATTTTATTCAAATTCATTTTCACTAATTCAATTCATAATTTTGTATACAAGGTATGTTCGATAAAATCGAACGATCCGGGACTAAAGTTTTGAATAAGATACCATTTGATAAGTTTGGGGTGTGTTTGTTTGGGGGTTTGGATTTTGAGTTGGGACTTGAATAGTAAAAATTTTGAATTTGAATAGTTGTATGATGTGATATAAATAGGTGATGATGTGATGTTTTGAATGTAAAATTGATTTTTAGTATAATATAAAAAATAAAAAATAGGTATTTGATTTGATATTTTTTGGGGAAAATTTTTGGATGAATAGTGGGATTTTGTCAAAATCCATCAAAAGAACGCAGTTTTAAAAATATTAGTATTATATATACTCCCTCAGTCCTATATCTATATATCCATTTGTTTTTTGCACGGAGTTTTAGAAATATTAGTATTATATTGGGATAAGGTAAAAATAAATGTAAAAAGACTAAATTAACCCTATTAATATTGTATGATATAAAAGGTAATGATATTTGTGTAATGCAATATATTTTACATTGAAAAGATATTTATAATGTTAAATAGATAGTACAATTACTAAAAAATGAAATGAATACTTTGTTATGGGACGGACCAAAATGAAAAAATAAATAGATTGGTAATATTCGGAGGAAGTATAATATATATATCAAACATTTTAATAAAAATCATTAGCGTTGACAATGATTACATAGAAATGCTGACGTCATTACGAATGATGTCATCAAGACATCAGCATATTATACGTCATGGTGGTGGTGCACCCCTTATTGGCTGAAAATCTCGGTCGTGATTTTCTATTCACGACCTTTTTTGAAAAGGGGGCTTTCAAGATTCTGCCTATTAATTAAGAGAATATTAATATTAAATAAAAATAAAATAAAATAAAAAATACAAACAGTGAAACCTCTGTTGTCAGCAGCCCTCGTCAAAACGCAAGAATGCATGAACCTTTAATTCCTCAATTTTTTTACATTCACCAGAATTAATTTGGGCCCACAAATCCTATATATGTATAAATTCGGGGCAATCGAGGTTTAATTTAATTAATTAATTTTCAATTAATGGAGGAGAATTCGAAAAACAAGGCGGCGGACAAGGACGACGGCGACGGCGGCGGCGGCGGCGCCACCAGGTACAGAGGCGTGCGGCGGCGGCCGTGGGGGAAGTTCGCGGCGGAGATTCGCGACATCGACAATCACGGCGTCAGAGTGTGGCTGGGGACATTTGCGACGGCGGAGGAGGCGGCGAGGGCTTACGATAAGGCGGCGTACAGAATGCGCGGCGCCATGGCCGTCCTTAATTTCCCCGAAGAGTACCGCTCGCCGGCGGCGGGAGTATCTCCCGCGGCGGCGGCGGCGTCGACCTCGGCGGCGCGTGAAGGGAAGGAAGTGTTTGAATTCGAGTGCTTGGACGACAAGATGCTGGAGGAGCTCCTGGACTTTGGTCCTAAAAATTAACATTATAATTATAATTAAAATTAATATTAATGTTAATGTTAAAGCCCGGCCCGAGTGGGCAACTGGCAATGCTCCTAAATGAATGTATATTTTCTGGGTGATTAATGATAATCATCCCTAACTACTGAAAATTAGTGTTGCCCTAATAATAAAACAACAACATTACCAGTTTAATTTATTCTGCACATATGAATTTTTACTTAACAAATTATTTATATTCATATACTTCCTCCATCCCGGTGCAAAGTTGTCGTTTACTTTTTTGCAGGAAGATTTTTAATATTAGTATTATAATAAGCTATAATGAAAAAGACGAAAATGCCTCTATTAGTATTGTGTAATATAAAAGTAATGACATTTGTATAATATAGTGTAAGTTGGAAAGATATTTATTGTGTTAGGTAGCTAGTACAATTACTAAATTAAGAAATTGTACCTTGTTTTGGGACGGACGAAAATGAAAAATTACAACCTTTCAATGGGACGAGGGGAGTACATTAATTTTCTCCCCGTTCATTAATTTACGACTATTGCTCTGTTCACTCAGAGTTATTAGATAGATTAATTTTTGGTATATGATAAAGAAAAATTATGTTAAGAATATAAAATAGTAAATTATTTTAAATTGAATATTTTTTACTTTTAAAATTTTTGTAATGAACATTTAATTTTTTTTTAAATTTATTTTTATGTATATATAGAAAATTATGTAAAAAAAATATATAATATTATTTTTGAATAATCGTAATTCCAAAAAAGTCTTGCATGAACATTCTTGCACAAACAGACATATTTTTTTATAAATATTTTTATTTAATATTGCAATTAATAAATATAATACTCTCACATTCTAGTAATTTTATCCTTCTTTTCTTTGACGGAAACTAAAAAAATATGAATATTTTATTAAAAAAATTGATAAAAATATAAAAGTAGGTGGAGTAGTTATGAAAGTTTAAAGAGAATTAAAGAAAGAAATTGTAAATAATACTCCATAACTCTCAATACAATAGTCATATTTATCATTTTTTGTACATTCTAAAATAATAGTTTCATTTTCATAAATAATCATATCACTGTAAAACTACCCTTACTTTTTTTTTTTTTTATTATTATTACACAATTACCACTACTCTTTACACTAATATACTCGCAAGGGCAAGAAGTCTTTTACCTCTACTTTTTATCCACTACCAATATAATATAAATATTCTTTAAATGTCGTGTCAAATACAACCCTGACTATAGTTTTGAGACGGAGGGAATATATAATAGTGATAGTGATATTTATTATAAATAAATATTGAATTAGGGTAATTGTTCAATATTGATTTGTTAAATTTATCAAAATTAATAATAAAATAAATTTAATGAACGAAAAAAAATAAAATTGACGGACTGAGAAAATACTATATTTGTTAAAATTCATATTAAGTTCAAATGAACATATAATTCATTAGTAGATAAAATATACTCCTATTTAATTATATGTGTTTACTCCATCACCATAAATATGTTCGAATGAGTTGAACACCGATTTTAAATAATATAATATTATATTAATTGATTTTATATAAAATAGAAGTATTTTGAAAATTATAAAAAATAAATTAATTGAATGAAAAATTAAATAAATTAAATATGTAAAAAAATTATGACATATTAATACATAAGTATAATATTAAAATATATACATTATAAAGTATATAAAAAAAAATTATATAAATAAAATGCATATATTTTGTAAATAAATGAAAGAAAAAAAATTACTATAAATTTGATAGAGAAAAATAATACTCCTTCGGATTGAAACATTTAATATATTTTTATTTTTTTGTCCCAAACATATGATAATATTTTTAAAATTAAAAATAATTAAATATATTTAATATTTACTCATGTTTTATATCATCATATCATTTAAATAAAAATAAATAAATATACATTTTTTCTCTTTTATTATATTATTTAATTTTTAAATTATTCTATTTAATTATATTCATTTAAATTATCATACAAAATACTAGGTTAAAGTAACAAATTCTCCAATCCAAGTTGAAAGACATAGTGACAGGGAAGACACACGTCATCATATGACGTCATCAGGAGTTGCTGACATCAGCACGTAGGTGTCTGATGATGAGTTTAATGATTTTTGTTACGACCTGATTGAAGCAATTACAACGTCGTCAATGACGCACGCAAATGGCCATCACCGTTACAGCTTATTTAATTATGTTCTACTCTTTCTTTCTGTCTACTTTCGGTGTGTTTGTTTGAATTTTGAATTGAGATTTGAATAGTAAAAATTTTGAATTTAAATAGTTGTATGATGTGATATAAATATGTGTTGATGTAATATTTTGAATGTAAAATTGATTTTTAGTATAATATAAAAAATAAAAAATAGATTTTTGATTTGATATTTTTAAAAAAATAAAAAAGAAATAAATAGTATAAATCCAATTCAATTCTCCAAACAAACACATCCTTTATATATACATAACTTTTTTTAAAAAATATAATTAATAAATAATTAAAAAATATTTAACAAAAATAAAATTATTATATAATACAAATAATTAGAATTAGAATTTTTTTTTTTGAAAAATTATTGTTAAATAAAAAAGGTAACACTTTATCGATTCTTCAATTTTATATTTATACTATAAATAATACTCTCTTCGTAAGAAAAAATTAGTCCATTTAGAGTTAACACAAAAATTAAAAAATATATATTTTTTTTATTAAAAATAAATATAAATTTGATAGTATTATCAAACTTACTAAAAAGATAAATATAAATCTTATGTTTTAACAGACAAAATATTAAAATATAAGACTTTTGAGTGATATATGCATATTACTCTCTTTGTCTCATAAATAAATATCCATTTTTTTTATAAGTAGTTTTAAAAATATTAGTATTATATTGGGATACAGTATGAATAAAGTAGAAATGACTAAAATAACCTTATTAGTATTTGTGATATAAAGATAATGACATTTGTGTAATATATTGTAAGTTGTAAGGGTATTTGTAATGTTAGGTAGATAGTATAATTACTAAAAAAAGGAAATAGATACTTTGTTATGAGACGAACTAAAATAGAAAAATGAATACTTTGTTATGAGACGAACTAAAATGGAAAAATGGATACTTTGTTATGGGACGGAAGAGAGTATTATTTCTTAATATTCATGTCGGTCCGAATAAACATATATTATTATTATTATTATTATTATTATTATTATTGACAAAGTGAGAAATTATGATCAAATCTAATAGTATAAAATACTCTATTTGTCCGTCTCAAAAGATCATATTTACATTTCATTTCATTTCATTGTATTTAATATTAAAAATATTTTTATATTTATATAATTTTTTGCACAAATATCATTCTATTAGTATTATAAGACACTAATGAAAGTATTTTTACAATTTTTTATTTATACTATATTTTGATATAATAATTAATATTAAAAAATCAACACATAAAAAGTAAATAAGACCCCTGGAGCCGAACATGACAAATCAAAGTTTGATAAGCCAAAGGTGATGTTGAGTTCATGAATCAACACTGTTTCCATATTCCATATTTAAAATTTTACAGTATAAAATTCTCCCTACTTTGACCTAAAATTCATTTAATATAAATTTGCAAACTGCCCCACTTCTACTAATTATTCTCAATTAAGTGCATTTTATCAATTAATTAATCCACCCATACTTTTTCTCTAGTGCTCAAATAATTGTTGGTATCAAGTATCAACATTGCATTTTGTTTCAGGATAATATATATATATATATATATTTACATCATTTCTATTTTAATTCTTATACATTGCATTTTTGTCCTTCTTCTAGAACTAGTTGCATAATTTATTACTTCATCAAATATCCAATTATGTACTAAAATATATCTTTATAAAAGTGAATAATAATTTTTATTTTTTGTTTTTAAGAAAAAAAAGTAAAAAATAGGTATTTTTTTATTAATAAAAAACAAAAATATTTTTCGATGATAACAAAAAAAAAAAAAAAAAAGCATAGATTTAGCTGCCAGAGTGAGTATCATATTATTAAAATTTATACATGAAGCTTTTATATATTTATATATGCATATCAAATTTTGAAAGAATAGGTGTGTTCTTTTTTTTTTCTACATATTTTTTCAAAAAAAATTAATATATTACACATATTCATTATTTTTATATTATCTACGTAATTTTATATATTTCACATAAAAAATATCTCTTCAAATTACACCCTCTGTCCCAAATCAATTGACTCATTTCATTTGAGACACGGTATTTAAGGTAAAATAGTTTAGTTAGTTAATAATATTGAGTTATAATATTATTTTATTATTTATTAATATGAGTAATATTATTAGTAGGTTTAATATATATGATTAAAATAAATGTAAAGTATGCGTTAAAATATTTTAAATATTATATTTCAATAAAATATACGCAATATGGATTTCATTTTATAGTGAATAAAATTTTAAATAATACAAATAAACAAAAAAATATACTTTATTTATTTATAATTAAGATAAAATTATAAAATAGTAGAAAATTTAAACGTAGCTAAAAATATTTGTTTATTGAGAAAAGAGAAAAAATAAAGAGTTTTAAGTGGGTCTACATGATGTATTATATTATATGTTATTAAGTTAATTAAAATGATTTATAATTGTTAAATATTGATAAATTTAATAAATTTTGTTAAAAATAAAAATGTGTCAATTGAAGTAAAAAAAAAAAAAAAAAAAAAAAAAAAAAAAAAAAAAAAAAAAAAAAAAGAGAGAGAGACAATTGAAATAGGACGGAGGGAGTATTTCATTTAACAAACACATCCATAGTTTGTCTATATTCTAATATTTACATAGATGAAATTTTTGGGCATGTGTAGAAATAAATTACCCCCAATTTAATTACATTCAGTTACCCTAATTTACTCCCACCAGCCCGAGTCGACCCGATACCACCAGCTAGCTTTGGGTTCGGACATCATTTTTCGAAAATGTCGAATTCGACGTGAAATTAGAGAGATTTATAGGAATACTTTTTTTTTTTCAAAACAAATATATATATTAAAATTATAATAGTATATTTCGTTCATATGAAATGAAAGAGATCAGAAGTGATGAGAAATACTACTCCCTCCGTCCCATGTAATATGGGTGTATTATTGTAAACACGAGAATTTAGGTAAAGTATAATTAGTAAATAATTAAGAAGTGTATTAGTAAAAATAATTATTATTTATTAAAAATAATTATAGATTAAGATAAAGATAAGTAAATAGTTTATTAAAATCAAGAAAATTATAAAATTTAAAATTTAAAATGCGATTAAAGTGCATAATTATATTTCCAAAAATAGAAATGACAAGTTATATGAGACGGACGAAAATAGAAAATATGAACAAATTATCTGCGACGGAGGGAGTAATTTTTTTTATTTGATTAGGTAGGGAAAGAAAAGAAAATTAGAATAATTAATTTCACTATTTTGCTTTTATATTATATAAATAAAGAAAAATAAAAGTATTTAATAAAGTAAAAAAATATTTTATAAAGTATCAGAGAACAAAACATCATATACATAATGGCCAATTTACGTGTTTTGAGTAGATATTTAATAACTATTCGAAGTTGGTCTGAATTATTCATGGGAAAACAATATATTTGAGTCTAATGTGTTGTTTCAATTCTAAACTCTTTAATCAAATTTCAAGTGTCTTCTCCCGAAAGTAGACGTAATATGTTGTTCACTTGCTTTTCCATAATTGCATTATCATATTCTATTTTCTGCATCACTTCTTTTAAATCTTTCGTATTTTTTACCAAGTTTCTTGTCCGTTTCTTATTTTCATTTTGATTAGTTACTTTCAAAAATTGAGAAATGGTTCATATTATTGGTAGAAAAGACTTATTTTGAGAAACAAGATTGTCCATGTATTCAATGCTAAAAACTTTTTTTTTTCACTGACTAAATGTTGACGTCTTCTTATCATAAATGCAGTTTCAGCACCCTCTCCACTAACTCATCATTACTATACGGAGTTACCATTTTTTTCATATTTTGAAAAAAAAAAATGAGTATTTTTCCGATATGCAAGTTTGGAAAAAAATTTCTTCAATATATTCCAACGATTTTTTACATTTTCTTTGTCAATATTCATACTAAAAATAGTCTTTTAACTCTTTAACAATATTTTGTTATGCCTTAGAAGTGAAAGAACCATTAATTTTATTTCCTTTATTAAACTCGCGCAAAAATGCATCAATGAGAACACCATTTTAATTTTAATTTTAATTAAAAATATTTTAAAATATATAATATAATTTAGATATATGCACTATATGTTAATTTTTATCTGATATAATTAAAAATAAAATAAACAAATAGTAAAATTTATAGTGTGTTATAAAAATTTTAATAAAATATTAAAAGGTATAAAGATAAATAGATCAAATAAAAATTTAATGAAAAATCCCACTTCTTTCAAATTTTCTCAAATTGGAGGAAAAGAAATTAAATAAAAGAGATTACCTCACATTCCTCTCGCTCCTAAAAAATACTATTTGATCCGTCCATAAACTAATGTCCTACTTTCTTATTTGAAACGTCCAATAACTATTGTCCTATTTTTTTTAAAACATAAATTTTACATTTTTACCTTTCATTCATTTATTACTTTTAATTTCTACCATAAAATTAAGGGCAAATTTGTCAATTCATAACAAAAAGACAATTACCTAAAAAACCGTGCAAATATATTTTAGGGTAATATAAATTGGATAGAGGGAGTATTAATTATTAAGGTTGTGTTGGACAATTAGTTGTTAGCTGATTCGATTAGTTGGTCTGACTAGTTGAATATATTAGTTGTTTGTGTTGGTAAAATAGAGATTTTGTAATAATTGTTTATACGTAAAATGACAATTAAAGACATTTTATATTTTATTTTCAAAATATTTAGTTGATTTTTTTTCAGTGGGTAGACTTTTTTAGAGTTCTATTATTAATTTTAAAAATTAGGAAATTTTATTTAAGATATTTATTTTTATTATTTTTAAAATATTTTGTAAAAAATTAATGCAAGTTTATTAAAAAGTATTTATTTTTTCATTAGAAATAGTATAAATATAAAAGAACAAAATTCATTAGTATATATATTTTTATTAGATTAATTTTAATTAATATATATTTACTTTAAATTTATAATTTTAAATAATTTTATTTTTTTAATAAAAATATTACTATTTGATAAAAAAAATACTATATAAATGATTAATAATATTAATATTTTTATACTATTTTTATTCTAAAAAAATTTAAAAATTTGATAAATAAGATAATTGAAATATAAAAAAATAATTATTTTAAATTTATAAACATAAATTTATAAATTATTAGAAGAAAATATATCTAAACAATTAATATATAGTGTAATAAAAAATAATATTAATATATGTGAAAGAATTAATTAATTTTAAGGGTAAATAAGAAATAAAAAAAAATTAAAATGAAAAAACTAATCTGAAACGCTGGAATATACCATTTTTCAAAATTAGATTTTTGAACTCAGTAAAATAATCAAAAGCGCTAATTTACCAAATGCCAAAATTAGTTGGTTTACCGATCAAACAACTAAAAACTCTTGAAGAACTTATTTCCCAAACACTCTCAAAACCAAACATAGAAAGAGAGCAGTTATTCAGGGAGAATTGGTTGTTTGGTATTCGAAAAAGGTTTTAGTCGGAGCAGGTAGAGGTGGGCAAAATATCCAAATCGAATCGTCGATTTTTTTTGCCCTTGATGAATTTTTGGTTAATCTAATATTTATTTGGTTTGATTCAGTTTCGATTTTCAATATTTTTTCGGTAAAATTTATATTATATTCAAGTTCGATTCGATTCAATTATGAACTTGCACATATTTTTATTTAATTTAAAAGTTACCTATTTTTAATTTTTTTTAATTAGATTCAGTTCGAATTATTTGTATATACTACAAATATTTTTAATTAACCAAAAAACTTAGTTCGACTATAATTTACGAATTGAGTATTTGTTCGATTTAATTCAAATACTATTTATTTATATATTTACAAATATTTGAACCATGTCAGCTGAACTGGCATGGACACGTACTCTTTTCCGATTCATCAAGGGAAAGATGCATTTTTTTTTTTTTAATTTCTATTGTTTTAGTTACAGTTCCATCAACAGTCAATACACAATAGGATATTTTTGTAAATTTACATATTGTTAGATCAGATTCTATACTAAAAATCAATTTAGTTATAACTGAGGATAAGTACTAACAGAAAAGATTTTTTTAAAAAATATTTTTGGAACCATTTGAAATTTTAGGATCATAAGTAATTATCAGCAAAATTTGGAAATTATACGGGAATTTTACCTTTTTTTTGCTTTAAATTATAATATTTTTCATGTATGAACTATTAAAAATGTATTTATTTCTATTACTCTCTTCAATTAATTTTTTAGTATTTTAGAACTCACTCGAAATTCTTTTATCAATATTTATCTTCAATAAACAACTATTTTAATCTATATTTAAAATATATATTTTTATATATATATAATCAATTTATCACTAAATAAAAAACACTTATTCAATCCAATTTAAAAACAAATATTTATTTTTGACATAAAATTTAATAAATAATACTAATATTTTTTAATTATATGATATAATTAAAAATAGTATAAAAACAATTTTATTTTTATTTTTTAGTGTAAAAATAATGATAAAATGATAAAGTAGAAAAATATATACTATATGGGTGTGTTTGTTTGGGGGTTTGGATTTTGGATTGGGATTTGAATAGTAAAAATTTTGAATTTGAATAGTTGTATGATGTGATATAAATAGGTGTTGATGTGATGTTTTGAATGTAAAATTGTTTTTTAGTATAATATAAAAAATGAAAAATAAGTGTTTGATTTGATATTTTGGGGGGAAAAAATTGGATGAATAGTGGAAATCCTCCAAAATCCTTCAAACAAACACACCCTATATATATTTTTAAAATATTAATCAAAATATACATGGTGGTAGACGGAGTATATTTTAATCCGTTAGGGATTTCTGGTCCCGTCCCTGGCTGAAAGTAAAAAGGATTCGAGAAAGCGAGAATTCTATTCGAAACGTCGCCGTCTTCTTGTGATCGCACGAACGCCAAAAATCAGAACGAGGAAGAGCAGGCGCCAATTTTGCAATCAATCAGACTCCTTAAACAATCTCGGAGATTCGCCATGGATTCCGATGGTACATCGATCTTTGCATCCGCTATCTCTCCTTTATTTACCTCAATTTTGTGGAATTTTTCCCCCCCGAAAATTTGATTCGTCCTGAATCCACTCTCCCGAAATCGTTTTGTTAGGGCAACGGACTGCTCCAAACCCTACCGCGATGCTGACTGCTCTCCTGCACAAGAGGGCAAAGATTCAGGAAGAACTCAGGGGCATCGAGAAACAGGTTAGAACAATCGTGCCATTCTCGCCGCGAAGAATTTTCAATTTTTGGTGTTGGATTTCTTCTTACGTCATGTTTTTTTGAATCGGTTCTTCATTATTCCTTAGGTTTATGATATGGAGACGAGTTACTTGCAGGATCCAAGTCAATGTGGCAATGTTCTAAAAGGTTTCGAAGGATTTTTATCTTCCTCGAAGAGCACCGCTCTGTAAAGTTACACTTCTCCAGTTTTCTTCCCTTCCTCTGAATTCATTTATTCTCCACAGAATTTGGAATTATTTTGGCCTCTAGATATTGTTTTTGTTTGTCATAGATTTAGCATTGGATCAGTTTTTCACATTTGCTCAGTTATCTTCGATTCGATTCTTAGTTAATCTGTGCAGCTCTGTTGTCTCTTTTGCAGCTTGAAACGATCCAGGAAGTTTCAGCCGGACGATCGCCTCTTTTCGCTGTCGTCGATCACTTCACCGGCTGTAAGAGTTGAATTTTTAACTTAAGGATCAAACTGATTTTCATTTCATTGAATAATTTGGAATCTGCAGAATTGACATCCATTGTGTTGATGAATTGCAACCTTTCTCTATTTCTTGTTTTCGATCATGAAAAGGATCTGAATTCCGTCATTTGTTTGTGTTTCTTTCGATTTTCTTGGAATTGGTTTGTTAACATTTGCATCAAACTCCTGATGATGATGATGAGGATGATGATGATCACAAGTATTAGAAATCCATTCGTCGTATGACTAATGTTCTAACATTAACATATACTTTGGATGATTCGATTTCAAACTTGATTTCTTGGAATTGGTTTGTTACCATTTGCATCGAACTATTTCTGATGATGATGATGATCACAAGTATTAGAAATCCATTTCTCGTATGACAAATGTTCTAACATTAACATATACTTTGGATAATTCGATTCTAAACTTGATTCTTGAGGTATGTCAGACCGAAGAAGTTGCAAGAGAGGGCGGCGTGTCAGCACATGCACCGTAAGTACTCGTCACTTGTGTTGCTAATCGAAGAATCATAAGTACTTATCGCACAAATATGTTGTTGTAACACAGTGGGAAGCCGAAGAGAGGTAGAGGAGCTCGAGAGGCGAAAAGAAGGCAGTCGAGCGAAGCTGACTTCGACTATGAAGATGATCCCGATGTGATTTGAAGAAGTGCCCGTCAAGTGCATCCATTTTGAACCCGTCTTGTTTCTCCGGGTGAGGATATGCTTTCCCGAATTCGAACTTGCATACGAATGCCTTCGAGATTATTGTTGGTTCGATTTATAACCAATCGATGTTTTGAGACGATGGATGCTCTTAGTGTTAGTAGAAACTTTTGGAATTTTGTAATTCTTGAAAATAATAAAAGTTAGTAAGACTTATAAAAAGATATATTTGGTGAACAATTTTTCAAAAGTTGAATAGTGTCAAAATTTTATTTAGACTGATTGGATTTACTTAAGAATGACAATGGTTAGGGCAAATCTGTATGTATTTGGACTCTACCCGTGATGTACCCGCTAGACTCAAATTTAAAAAAATTCAATATAAATTTGAATCAATTTTAAAAATTTTCAATATAAGCTTGAATTGACCGATTTCCCTAAATAAAAATATATACAACCACCGCCAATACTAAAATAGAAATTAAAAATTAAAAAAATAATAAAATTTATTATTTTAATTAATCAGATAGAGTCTGCTATTGGACCTGACTCGGCCCACATCTAACCCAATACTCAAATAATTGAACCCAATCAGAAATAAAAGAGTAGAGTTCAAGTCGGATTTTGGATATACACGAGTCTATTGACATCCATAGATTTACTTAATAGTTTTGAATTTATCTAGTGTGCAACATGTAGTAAAAATTTCTTCTAGCAAAATATCATTTCAAATCATTATCAAAATGCCAAAAAAAAAAAAACAAAAAACATCTTTTTATGCATCTAAGTTATGGAATTAAATGTATTTTATCTATCTATGCTCAAATAAAAGTATAATGAATAATTTAAATATTGATTATAATTTTTTAATGGGATTGGGATTTGTTTGGGCAAAATGTATGGGCCTTTTTGAAAGTTCAAATTGGACGGGCCCATTAAGCCCAATATATATATATATATATATATATGAGGGTACAAACTGCAAGGAATAAGGTACAACTATTGCTACAAGCGACGAGCGATCATTTCCTGCTGCTGCATCTGAGCTCTGAATCTGGCGATGAATTCTTCAGCCCTTTTGTCGATTCCTTGCAGCTGCGGCGAATTCATTGCGAACGACTCCCACATCTCATCCGCGGCGGTGGTTGAGCTACGATCATCGGCGGTAGGGTCGTCTCCGTCGCCGCTTTCCAGCTGAAGGACTTTCTGATGATGACAGCGGTCTTCTGTTCGGCTATGGCGTGATTTCTCCTCCCTGGATGGCGAGGCTGTAGATGGTGGATCCAACAGTTTCTTAACTATGGGGATCGGCTCTATAAACAGGTGGTCGACGTAAACAGAAGGTGCTCTTTTGTGAATCCGCGTGCGGGATTTAGGCTTGAGTTTGAATTTCTTCGGTTGAATGGAAAGGTACGGCCATCGGTACTTCTTATCGGTTCTAGATTTTGGTAGTTTCTGCACCGCTTTTGATTTGTTGAACTTGATTTGCAATTTGTTTGCGAGTACCTTCCACGCCTTTCTAGGCGGCAGTAATCTCCTCAATTTCAACCAAGACATCGTAAAAACAAATCGATAATAGGAACGAAAACGATAACACTGTGGTGTAGAAGTTGCGTACGAAGTGTTTGTATTTATGCTTACAGGAGAATCATGTCAGATCTTAGGGACAGTAATATTCCAATCGAGTTTAGAATTGATTCGTTCTCAGGCTACTTGTTTTCTGAAATGAAAATTATATATTCATTTTTCACCACTTTACAGCTTGCACAGATTCTGTTGTTGCTTAGAACTTACGTAGTTAAGCCCATGGCCAGTCTGTGTTCTGTCTCCACTATGCTTCAGAAATGGAATCTTAAACTAGTAAGATGGAATTTCTCAAGTGGAATATCTTTTGGTTTTATCCTGTTGTTCTTAGATCAGAAAGGCATAGAATGAACACTTTCAAGATCTGCACCCAAACAACAATAATTCTATAATGAAAGGTATCGAATTCATCGATTTGTTTATCAAAAAAAACATGAATCTGTCATGACTTAGTTTGAGTATATACAGGAACAACTGGACTGCTTTTGTACCTATAGAACACCTTCTTCTTCGCGTATGTCAAATTAACTATAGTTATCACTATCTTCCCTGGTTCTCTAATGTAGAATGAGTTTCTTATGCTCTCCACCATTTTTTTCTCCTGTAGCAAAACCTTGTAGGAGCCGTCATCTTCGGGTATGAACTCTTCTCTGTACGTCACGTCATATCCTACCACCGTCACATCCCATGTCACTGTGATTTCTGCCTGTAATCATTCGTAAATAGCAAATATTAGAAAAATGCCGTAGAATGAGATGGGAAGTTTATGCATAGTCTGATATAGTTATGTATTTGTTCGTACCTCATTGAAAGGTATCGTGATTTGTTCAGTGGAGGTTGCCTTGATGTCTGTTTCAAGAACTTTGTCGTCCATTGAGAATTCGGTGTCGTTTACTCTCTTCAGACCACCGTATTGTATAAGTATGTTCTCTATGGTGGCGTACCTGCAAAATCATGACACCTGATTATGATTTGCAATTTTCAAATTCAGGAAACTCCTGAGGAATCGAAGCTTTACTTGAGAAGGGTTTCTGTCACTTTCGATGGTTTCACGAAGATGAATCTGTTATTGCCTTTTTGCGCAATGTATCTCAAGTTCAACGTGTTGAATGCTAAAAACCATGCCGGGACATTCACAACAAGCTGCATCCATAACACATGTAAGTTAATTTACCATTATATATATATATATATATATAATCGGGAATTCATATTTGATTCGGTGGTTGATTGATCTTACTGTGGTGTGGACAATCCCGGGATAGTGTTCCTTCAGCAATGTAAGCATTCTCTTGTAAGTTAGCCTGATCTCCCTGTTGACATTTCCAGGTGCATTCTTGAAATCAATTATTTGGACAAACGAATCCACCCCGCCCGGACTAAAATCGAGACTCTGTATCCCTTTCTCCACGCACCGAATTCTCCACCGGAAGTAACCCAGGTTCGTGTTCCGATCCCCTATGTTGGCAAATCTCTTCCTCATAACCACCGTGTAGAATAATGGTCGCCCCTCGTTATCTCTACCATTGGTGAACCACAGGCTATCGATCGCAAGCTTGTGATCCTCGTCAACCAAGAAATCTGCGCGCCATTTCAGGGTTTGTTGTAGGGAGCTGAATGCCTTTCGCACCTTGTAGTGCCTGAATTTCAAGAACTTGAGCAGAACCGCGTCGGTCCCATTATGGCCTGTGCTCGGCAGCAACGGGACGCCCCACATTATAATGTCCTTCAATCGGCTATTGTAATCGGCGCCAACATCGTTCTCCCTAACAATAAGTGAATTGGAAAGGATAGCTTCTTCAACTATACGCCGGAATTCAACCAGCGCATCGGTTTTTGATCCCGTCGTCTCAGCTTCATCACGTAAGTTCTCATCTTGATCGTGATTTTCATCCTCGTCGTAGCTTTCCGTATCGCTGACTATTTCTTCTTCTTCAGGCCACTCCTCCACCTCTTCCTCCTCCTCCTCCTTCATCTTATTCGCGGGTTTTTCCGGCGAGGTCGCACCTGCCGGGAACCCAAATTATTATTTTATTATACAATAAGCCAAATTGGCCGATCGGCAAAAAAAATGGGAAAATGGTGTGGGGAGGAGGAAAAGATAATAGAAGAAGGAGTGGTATTGGGTGGGGTTTCCATAATTAGATTTGTCTGAATCTAACCGTTGGGTAAGTTGAATTAGCTGATGAGATATTAAAGGACTTATTTTGGTGAAGGACGTCAATGGTGTTTGGACCATTGGCACTTCTGGCCGAATTTATGGTATGATGCAATTCCAAACTAACTTGGAATGCTCCCGTTCTGGAAATTTTGAGGGTGAGTTATCTCTCCACTATTTTTTTCAGAAAAGTAAAGGTAGTAGAAGTTTTTATTATTATTATTTTTTGATGACGTGGAAATTCCCGGCCACCACTCGAAAGTGCGCATTGGGTAAATCTCGGCCGAACCTAATACTCTGCAAACTAGGTTTAACAGACAAATCATACTAAGCGAACTATATGTGGTAGGTGACCTGAGGGGTCGGAGGTTGGACTTATTATTATTATTTTATGACGTGGGAATGGTGACCGCTCTGGAAAGTGCATTGAGTAGAAGTTTTGGTCAAAGTTAACGTGGTATGATAATCAAGACACCAAGGGTGTGTTTGTTGGGGGCTTTGGATTTTGAATTGGAATTTGAATAGTAAAACTTTTTAATTTTGAATAGTTGTATGATGTGATATAAATAGAAGTTGATGTGATATTTTGAATTTAAAATTAATTTTTAGTATAATATAAAAAATGAAAAATAAGTGATTGATTTAATTTTTTGGATGAATAAAATGGAATAAACAGTGTATTTAAAATTCAATCCTACAAACAAATTGGTTTGAATTCTTATATAGGCGATGGCCGGGTTTTAAAAAAATAAAAATAAAAACAAAAATAAAAATATAATGCTGTTATAATCCCTTTTTAAATTGGAAATTTTCAAATATATATATATATATATATATTATTTTTTCTAAAATACTGAAAAAACGAATATACCTTCCTGAACGGGAATGTATTTGGTTGTATATTTGGATACATGGTGGGTATTTTAAATGATTGTGATGATTATTATTGTGTAATTGTTTATGTAAATTTTTTGGGTTTGTTTGTTTAATGTTTATATAATATAATTGTATCAAAAAAATCATATATATATATATTAATGTGTGTGTGTGAGCAAACAAACATTTAGGCAAGAATTTTAAATTTTTGTTAATTAATAATGTTAAAAGTTGCCAAAGCATCCATGCAAATTTCTTTAGAAAAAAAATTGTGGTGTGTTTCCTTTAAAGATTTTGGTTCTGAATATAATAAAATCTTGCACTATGTGAAATGTAAAATTAAATTTTAATAAAATATAATAAATAAAAAATAAATATTTAATTTAATATTTTTTATTTTTTATTTTTAGAAAAAAAAAAGTTAGAATTATTAAAATCAGATAGTAAACACATCAGTTGTGTTTTCTTGGGCAAGTGTTTTTTATGTTTACTTTAGTATAAGCAAGTGTATGAAAAATATAAAAAATAACAAAATGTGTTAGTAGTAATAATATTTCTTGGGGTTGTCTTTTTTTGTAGACAAACAATCCATCCCCAATTCGAAGCAATACCATCTTTAGGTTGTAACCTGTCGTTTTTATCCAACAGCTGTTAGCAGGTCTGGCCATAAACTGAGGCTGAGAGCTTGGGGAGAGCCAAAGATGATCCAACCCAATAAAGCAAAGGAGTGATCGATCCATAGAAGAAAGCTTAATTCTGAGCTGACAATGGTAGGGTTCTCGACGTGGTTCCGTTATTTCGCAACCAAGCTAGAGTACTCCGTCGCCCTCAGCTGGAAGGTAACCCTCAATTTTTTCATGTTTTCTTGGTTATGGTTATGGATAGAGCTTGCTTAGCTAATTGTGTTTTTGTAATCTTGGAACTTTGGAGTTTCTGCTTTCGCAATTTTGGTTTCTTGATTGCTCTGTGCTCTCTTGATTCTTTTTATAAAAAAAAATAAATTGAAGATTGAATTTTGTGTGGTGTTTCTTGGATGGAGATCTTGGGGAAGAACTACAGGGAGAAACTGATTGGTTGGTGGTTTGGATTTTGAATTGGAATTTGAAGGGTAAAAGTTTTGAATTTGAATAATTATACTAAAAAATTAGATGTTTATGTTTGATTAGATTCGATGGTGAATAGTAGCTTTTGGGTAGAATCCCATAACCGAACACACCAAGAATACGATTGGAATTATGTAAAGGTTACTGAAAAGAGCGGTGGTGAAAAAAGTTTAGGGTGTGTTGTTTAGGTGATTTAATTTTGGGTTTGATTGGAATAGTAAAATCTTGAATTTAAATTATTGTTTAATATGATATAAATAAAAATGGACTTAATGTTTTGAATATAAAAGTAAATTTTTTTTAATATTGTCACATTATAGTTACATATCCCGCAAACGGGATTCCTCAACAAATATAATATAAAAATTATGTATTTGATTTGATATTAAAAAAAAAAAAAGTTATGAATAGTGAAAAGTATTTAATAATATGATATCTTGTTAGTGAAAAAAGTGTATTGGATATGATTTTTTTTTGGTTTGTGTACTTTCTTATTGTTTGAAATATAGTGGAATATCTATTATAAAATCAGTATATGCCTATTCGATGAACATTTAGAAAAATTCTAGGGTGTGTTTGTTTGGGGGTTTGGATTTTGAGTTGGGATTTGAATAGTAAAAATTTTGAATTTGAATAGTTACATGATGTGATATAAATATGCGTTGATGTGATGTTTTGAATGTAAAATTGATTTTTAGTATAATATAAAAAATGAAAAATAGGTGTTTGATCTGATGTTTTGGGGAGGGGGAATGGGATGACCAGTGGATTGAAAATCCAATCCCCAAACAAACACACCCCAAAATCCATATATATTATTTTCATTCCATTTAAGACCATGTCAAATGCTCTATGATTTTAAACTGCTGTTGACTGTTGTGTTAATGCTATTTTAGGATTTAGCTATTTTGTGAATAATAAAATTTGAATTCAATATAATTTTTTAATGTGATCTTTTTTAAGGAATTTCTTTTTTTTTTTTTTTAGCTGAATAATGAATATTAGCATCTTAAATGTGTAGGAATTTGGTACAAAGTTACTCATATTATTATACTTTCACACACTTCATATGTTTTTTCATGTATTTGATTTTTCAGTAGAACATTTTATGCACTTCTCTTAGATAGATCCCAACCACCCCTCATTGCATGGTCGATTTTGCTCGATTTTTTTGTGTACAAGCAGTTGCTTCTAGTGTTGATAATCCATGGAATCCATAAAACATTCAGCTATTGTTACATTTCCTTGTCACAATCTTGATTAGGCTTTTTATCTCATCGATCGGATATAGTGATAGTGTATTTTAATACAATCGCAGACCTACGGGCAAGGCCAAATTGCAGATAATGAAATTTTCAATTCTATAAGGAGAAATTTACTTCAAGGAAGGTTGACATTCTTGCATTGTAACAAAGCAGAAGTTACCGCGCCGATGTCTGGGATGCTCAGCGGAACACTTCTTGTTCGGAAAATCGCAGCTGCTGATCCTAGGTATGGTTCGTCGTACTAAAATTTTATTTAGCAGCTTGATTTCATACCATTTCTGCTTCTCCTAGTTTCTCTGTGCCCATAAGAAAGCCTTTTTTCGAGTATTTTTTTCTGCTGGACAGTAGCTTCGACACATTTTTATTGCCAATGTTAGATTTTTAAGAGTTGCTTACTCCGGTTGTCGATAAATGTGTTGATAGAACACATATGGACAAAATGAAAAATCACGAAATAAAAAAATTCCTGCGCTGTATGAAATAATCAAGGATGTGTTTACTTGTGCTTTAAAATGTTGCGTTGTTTTCGATTTACATTTTTAAGAGAAAAAAAATAGAAATTTGATGCGATGATGTTATTGGTGCTAAGCTTTAAACTGAATTTATATCCCCACACAGTTCAAATTTTTACTTTGGAAAAGAGTATAGTCAAATTATCTGTTCTAGGTCGTGTTCTTCGTGATTGCGAGATATATGACGATAGCTGGCCTTGTTTTGCGACAGGAGAGTTAGGATAGGAGACGTAGTAGTCCTAAAAGACCCCGCCAATCCCAACAATTATCTCGTCCGGAGAGTAGCTGCCGTTGAAGGTCACGAGATGGTGTCCGACAATCCAGATGACGACTCTTTTGTCCTCGCGAGAGACCATTGCTGGGTATTAGCCGACAACAAACGACTAAAGCCCAAGGTAACACAACATAAGAATCAAACTCTTTCATTCTACATTAGTTAGTGAGTTTCATTCAACTTGTCTACGTTCTATGGGAACCAGGAAGCCTACGACAGCCGGACATTTGGCCCTGTCGCTATGTCGTGCATAGTTGGCAGAGCCTTGTACTGTCTGAGAAACGGCGTTGATCATGGACCCGTCCACAACAGGTAACACTCGTCGAAGTTATGTATTATGTGAGCAATTTTTCATTGGGAAAATGCTTTAAAAGATGAAAACATACCTATGTTTCGGATTTTCTTCATACATGTGTATATTGTTTTGAACAATTAGCCAAAAAATATAGTTGATATGTCTTGAATCTAATTTGCCATTTCGCTAAGTTTTCATGGGGGCGAAGTCCCCCTTACCTGGATCCGGGGGCGCGAAGTGGCCCCCGGTCCGATGATATGCAGTATTGGGCTTTGGAGTTGATATTGGACTGAGTCTATCTGGTGTATTCTCTTAGTTTATTTGAATAGACTTAAGAGATATATGAAATCTGTAATTTGTAACGTAGCCTTCTCAATAAATCTGCTCTCCGTTTCTGTCAGTGGACGTAGTCAACACGTTGTTAGTGAACCACGTAAATTTGTATCTTCTTTACGTTTATGTTTATTATTCGATCACTAATCATATTCCGTCACAATAAATATACATAGAAATTTATTATGTAGACTAATATTGGAATTTTATGCATAAATTTTACGAATACAATGGTGGATTATACAATAAAGCATTCGCCTGTTTCTATACATTTATATCAAAATACAAGGGTCGACGCATAGTTAATTTGCGGATTAATCGATATTCATCTATTATTAAATCATTATGTATGTGTTTCTTCAGCATATTTAGCCGGAGGCAGGATTCAGCTGTTCTTGAAGTGGAACTGAACGTCGATGAGATGACCCGAAATCACAAACCATAGAGAAGAGAAGAGAATACCAAAATTTTCGCCAAATTTGTACGTACACTTATTTATTTGTTTCTCCTTTTGTTGTTGTTGTTAGTGTGCTTTCATGTTTGCGCATAGTTAAGGTTGTCGATCGATGACGAGTCGAGTCAGAGTTGAGTCGAGTAGTTCGTTGAGCAGATTGTGTTGGATATATAGATCGATAGAAATACTTGGCATGTGTGACTCAATTATGTATATTGTAGATGATTTTGAAGGTTTTACTTTAATTTACTTAACAGATTTCATTTTTAATATTAATTCGAGTTGAGGCTCACTGAGTTTGAAAGTTTGGCTGGCTTAAAATGTTTGCTTGTGTTTTAATTTGAATTCATTTCACGAAAATATATGATGATATGATCATGATGTGTATATATATATAGAGGCTTTGTTTGGATAGATGTTTTGATTTTGATTTAAATTTTAGTTTAGATATTACTCCCTCCGTGCCAATACAATAGTTTTGTTTACATTTTTGTTCGTCCCAAAATAATAGTCTTATTTTCATAAATAAGAATATCACTGCAAAACTACAATTATTTTTACATTTTTATTACACATTTGTCACTATTTTTTACACTAATACACTCACAACAGAAAAAAAAAAAAAAAAAAATTATCCATATTTTTTATCCAATACCAATATAATATCAATATTATTTAAATGTCGTGCCCAGGATGGAGGGAGTACATATTAATATTTAAATTATTTTTTAACACTTATTGTACTATCATTAGCTTCGACTCATTGTATTTACTATTTTATAAAAATCCATTATAATTTATTTATTTTTATTATTTAGTATTTTATAAATAATATTTATTATTAAGAAATATATTTAAGTTTCAAGATATTAATTATGATAATTTTATAATTTTTATAATAATTTTAAAATATTAGCATTATTTAAATTTGTGGGGTTAGTTATATTTGAAAAATTAAAATTTTAGAAAAATTTAAATAATTAAAAAATATAGACACTATGCTCTGAAATAAATTTGAATTATATTTCTATAAATTATCGATAAAATTAAAATTCCAAGTTGATATTAATTAAATTTTATATTATTTTTATTAAAAATAATTAGTTCTTAGAAAAATTAATAGTGTATTTTCTAATAAAAGTAATAAATCTTGTTTCAATTAAAGCTGATAATCTATAGTCCATAATCACATAATCACTAACACATAATCCATAATCCATAATCACATTATCACAAACACATAATCCACAACATAATTTCAAAATGATTAATCTAATGGATTAATAATCCATATAATCCACCACAGATGTTTAAATTATGGTTTTTTAAATTGATTTAAAATAAAATATTTTGCTTATATATTATTTTGATTTGAAATAATAATAATAAAAAAAATGCCAATAAAGACATCTTCAAAATCTTAAACCTGCCCCTAATCATATACATACACCTTCTAACCCAATTCCCATCCAAATTGTCTATCCCTAACCAATATAATACTCCATCCGTCCTACTTCTCACGTCCATTTTTCTATTTTCGTCCGTTCACTTATTTTGTTATTAGAAAAAAAAAATTATACGCTTTAATTTTATTTTAAAAAATTTAATTTATAATTTTTTTAATTTTAATTATACTAATCAATTATCTTAATCTTAATATGTAATTATTTTTATTATAAAATAATTGTTTTTATTAATACATTTTAAATTATTTACTGATTTCTCTTAAATTTGTGTGTTTACAATAAAGCTGACAAAATATCTGGAAGAAAGTAATAATAATAATAATAATAATGATAATCTGAATTTAGAGCTCTAATGTTGAATCCAATGAAAATGCCGGATCTATTAGGCCCATTTATGAGCCCGGCCCATTAATTAAAGTAAAGTAAAGCAAATAAGATGAAGAAGCGGCGGAAGCTTCTTCTAGGTCACAGATACAACATATGAATGTCGTAGCAGCAACAGCAGCAGGCAGCGCTACATTCATTCATTTGCCAATCCTCATTCCTCTTCCTGCCGTCGTCGGCGTCGTCGTCGTCGTCGTCCTCCTCCTCCTCTTTTCATCTCTCAGGTAAGCTAAGCTAAGCTAAGGTAAGATAAAGGTACCTGTCTCTCTGTTCTCTGTCTGTCTCTGAATTCGTGCATTTTCTGTTCATATCCTGTTCGATTCTTCTGATAATCGTGCATAATTCGTAGTTCACGAATTCCATTCCTCACAATTTCCATCTTCCTACAATCGAATCGATCTGCAGTGGCGAAGGTAAGGCTTCACGATATGAATTGTGCATCATCGCCGGACGGCGGTGTACGCCTTCGAGTTGCTGCTGCAACAACACCACCACTCACCGCCGCACAACCAAATCCTCACCTCCAATTCATCTCCTCTCCTTTCAATTTTAGCAGTAGATGCACTTTCCTTTCCATCTCCATCTCCAACCATAGATCCAGATCGAGATCTGGATCTCCTCTATGTAACTCTACTATTTCTAGCTCTAGCTCTAGCTCTAGTTCCGGAAACTACGACCGGAGGCCGAGCAAGTTCAGCCGCCGGCGCCGGAACATTAACAATCAGAATTACCTGGAGAAGGAATTAGGTTACGAGCAGGAGGAATTCGAGGACTCGGAAACCGCCAACAATGGATCGCTACTTGCTGTGAACAACAAGTTTCAATCCCCCAGCGCTAGGGAGAAGGAGATCGTCGAGCTCTTCCGGAAGGTGCAGGCGCAGCTCCGGGAGAGGGCGGCGATTAAGGAAGAAAGGCGAGTCGAGGAATCCTCCTCACAGGAGAGCAAAGGCAAAGAGACCGACACCGTCGATTCTCTTCTTAAGCTTTTGAGGAAGCACTCGGTTCAGCCGGGGAAGAAAAGCTCCGGGAAGAAGGACATTGCGCCGGTGGATGCAATGCCTGCCAGGCCAAAATCAAGTTTCTCGAGGAGGTCGCCAGTTCCGGTAGTTAAATTGCAGCGAGTTTACCCGCAGCAGATTGATTTTCATGAGAGGAATTCGGAGGAGGATGAGGATGATTATGAAGAAGAGGAGCCGAGGTTGGTTGAGGGTAGTGATTTGAGTGGGATGAAGACGACTGAACTGAGAGCTCTTGCGAAGTCGCTGGGGATGAAAGGATTTTCCAAGTTGAAGAAGAATGAGCTCGTCGAATTGCTAAGTGGGCGAGTGTGATAGGTGTGGATGATATGGCGACGACTCTGAGGTTATGCTTAGTTCTTTGTTTTGTTCAGTTAATATATGCTATGTTTTGTTTGCGCGCCAGCTCACTCGTTTTAACTTAAGTTGGCCCTAAAATTGCACTGAGTTTAAGCGATTACGACTATGTCTAGACGAGCATCGTAGTAGGGTACATACTATCAGTATGATCCATTAGTCTAAGAAGTCATAAAAGAATTTATCACTTCGATCCACGGAACCAACAAAAGAAGTTCTTGAAAATATATTAGTATGCTACTCTTATCAGTTTTCCTCGCCGCATTTCGAGTCATTTTCATGCACTGTTTTTGTGTATTCGGTTAAAATCGGAGATTGAGAGAATTACCTGTGTGCATAGGCAGATCTTGTCTTTGTCATACGATTTCATTTGCTGATGGCGGCGCGGTGTTCCTCCATGTGATTGCTCTTGCTTACATGGGCGGGTTTTCGTCGGGGATCTGATCGCCTTCTGGAATTGGATCTATCAAGGGTAAGTCAAGGAATGATCTGATATGGAAATGATGATCAAATTTTCTATATCTTCTCAAATTAGTCGGAAATTTAATCTCTTTGGAAACCATTTCTAGTAGTCGAAAATGCTCATGGATGGGATCTAGCGAAAATGGAAAGCTGCAAAACAAGAAGGGCATACCTGCCGGCTCATCCGGGTATTCGAGGAGGCAATGCCGCAGCTCAGGTACTTCTACATTTTCCAGATATCCTGCAATCTCTTCATGATCAAAATAATAGGGCACCAGATTAGTTTGAAGTTAAATCCATTTAGAAGCTACATCTCTGTCAATCAAAAATGCTTGTGGATCGGAAAAATTAGAAATCCGTACCTGCCATTGTATCCGAGTACCCAAGGAGGCGATGCCGCAGCTCAGGTATTTGTCCATCTCCCTCGACAATCTCCAGCAATTTTGAAATCTCTTCTTGATCGAAATAGGACACCAGATTGTAAGCATCCAGTAGATGCAAGAACCCTAAAACCTCCAAGGAATGTTCAGGAGTGGCTCTCATCTTCGATTTCCACTCGTATCCAATCTCAGCTGCTCGTTCCTGAATTTCCGGTTTGATTGTCGCCGACATTTTCCTCAGCTGCTGCAGCAGAAGTACGCAGGTTTTACGAACCTCACCCTGCTCGTTATCTGGTCGCAAAGGCGGTGGATAGAAACCGGACAATGCACCCAGAACCAACTTTGCCGGATCCGAGGACAGGTTAAGAACCCTAAAGATTTCATCGCTCATTGATTCGGAATTCTTATGAGTATTGATCAGGTACGCCTGCAAATCTTTCCCGTTCATCTTCAGCATCAACCTCAGTTCCGCAGATTCATCCTTAATTATCCCCTCGTATGTGTTGAGGAGATCGATCAAATTCCGCTGCTTGCCTTCTAATCCTTTCTTGAACCCATCGAGTTCACGCTCCTTGTGCTTGAGTTGGCTCTGTGTCGCCCGATACTCTTTGTAGCACTTGCGCGTGAACTCGCTAACCGAGCCTAATATCTTCTCCCTCCTATCAAGGGCCTCAGTTTTTCTGTCATTCGCCTCTCGTCTTGTAGCAATCTCTCTTTGTTGGAGTACAAGACTCGATTCCCATTTGCGCAAACGTCGTTCTTTCAAGTCGAGCTGATTTTTCCTAGAAGCTGCGTCGTCTTCCTTGTTCTTAACTCGCTCCACCCGTGCCTTCAACTCGTTCTCTTTTGCGTCTAGCTCATCCATTTTCATCTCGACCCAATCGCTAAGAGAATTAATCTGCGCTTCCTTCGCCCTATTTGTGTTGAGCTTACGCTCAACCGAATCCTTCATCTCCTCGACCGTCTTCTTCGACGACTCCAGCTTCTCCAAAAGCTCGCGACCGTTTTTCTCCTTCTTCGCCAACATCTTAATCTTAACCTTCGCTTCCGCGCCGAGCTTTTTGCGCAGCTCCTCGAGTTGGCTCTCTTTTGAATCCAAATCTTGCGTTTTCGCGTCGAACTCCATCCTCATTCTCTCAATTTCATCCATCTTCTTCTTCGCCGATTCCTTCATCAGTTCAGCTTCTTTAGTCGAAGCTGTCGCCGCAGATTCTCGTCGCTCTGCCTCCATCTCAAACTCCTCCTGCATTTTCCTTAAGCTCTCCTCCTTAGACTGTATCTCCTTCGTCTTCTCCTCCACTGTGGCCTGAAACTGCACCTCCTTCTCCCCAAACTCCTCCATCTTCCTCCTTAACCTCTCCTCCTTCGACTGGATCTCCTTCGTCTTCTCCTCTTCCATGATCTGTAACTGCACCTCCTTCTCCCTAAACTCCTCCCACTTTCTCCTCACCATCTCCTCCTTATCCTCAACCGCAGTTATTCTCCCATCCAATGCATCTATAACCACAGTAATCTTACTTTTTCTATCGTCTAAACATTTACGTACCTCTCTCAGATTCCGCTCCTCCGCCTCGATCTTCCTCAGCTTCTTCATCGCTCGATCGCGAATGTTCGCGACGTCGCCGCTGCAATCTAGAAGCAACTGCGCTTCCAACTCCTCCTTCCTCATCTTACCGCACTCGCACATCTCTCCAGTGCTATTTCCCTCTTCTTCCTCCTCCGATTTCCTCTTCCTTCCCCGACGCACTTCAACTGAATCCTCCGCCTCCGCCGTCCTTTCGACCGGCGATTCTCCGCCGAAATTCAGCAACTCAATCTCCGCACAACTTCGTCTCAAATCCTTCGCATCGTCCTCCGCCTTGCACTCCATTACCGATTCGAGAGCAGAAACTCAAATCTCCGCAGGTTTCTAGAGACGACGAGAATCGCAATCCGGCTGCCGCTCCTGCAATCTCAGCGCCCGCCCGCAGAATAACCGCCCGCGAGGTTAGGGTTTCAAAATGTTGCGGAACGCTCTGACACCGCCCTTTTATAGTGCTCCTCTGGCGCTGTTGGATACAGGTAATTTTTTAATTATTATTATTATTATTATTATTATTAGTATTTAAATATTTAGAATATATATATATACTCCCTTGTGTATTATCGGTAAAATATAATTAGTAAGTAATTAAGAAGTATATTAGTAAAAATAATTATAGATTAAGACAAGTAAATAATTTAATTAAAATTAAAAAAAATTAAATTTTAAAATTTAAAATACGATTAAAATATATAATTATATTTCTAAAAATAAAAAGAATTACTTTCCTGTTTAAAATAGTAGCCGTAGTGTGTCTTACAATGCTTACTTTCCAGTTTCCAACATACTGCACCGTACCTAAACCCTAAGCTATTAAAATACTACTACTAAAATATGGATAAATTCTACCAAGCCATGCTATCTTCTTTTTATTTTTTAATATTATATATATATATATATATATTTTGACGTACTACTTTATTTCACTACATATTTGGTGCAATTTGAAAGATGAAAATGCAAGTAGGGGATGAAATTATTAGTAGGATGTTAAAATGAAGTGAATATTTAATTTGTTGTTCTTTGGATATGTTCTTTTTGTGCAATATATGGCGGAGATTGATCTAATCAATACAATGCTGATTCGATTTTGGATATTTGTTAGTTATGTTATTTAATGATCGTAATTACTTTCATGATAACGACAAGATTTATTGTTGGAAAAGTAAGATCTTGTTGACGTTCTTTGTTTGGATCGATTAGGCTATAGCTTGTCGAATTGCCACGAATTAATTCTTGTCGTTAAGAAGGCCAATGCTATAATTGGAATTCCTTACTTTGACGGATAAGGAAGAATGTCACGGGTAATTAATCACGTGTAAAGGAAATACGATTGTGAAAAAAATTAGATTTACTTTTGATCGAGTATGTAAGAGTTTGTTGAATCGCGAAGAATTGGTTATATTTGTTAAGAAGACAAATGTTACTATTGGATCTCTTTACTTCGACCAATGAACTAGAAGTTGAATTGAATCGAATCGAATGTATCATTAATGATTCTAACATACTTAGGAATTTGAAAATAAAAAATGCTATTTATAACCGAATTACATGTGAAAGAACGATAAATCTATATGGATCTTTCTTTTCTGACACATCAGGTGTGTTTGTTTTGGGGATTGGATTTTAAATCCACTGTTCATCCCATTTTTTTCCTCCAAAAATATCAAATCAAACATCTATTTTTTATTTTTTATATTATACTAAAAATCAATTATACATTCAAAACATTACATCAACACCTATTTATATCACATCGTAAAATTATTCAAATTCAAATTTTTTACTATTCAAATCTCAACTCAAAATCCAAACCCCCGAATAAACACACCCCAAGTGAAAGTTTGTTAAGTTGTCGAGACTTAATTAATCTCGTTTGAAGCTCTCTACTAGCTAAGGGCTCGATAATATCATTCAATGATCTCAAATTTTAAAATGAAATGTTGAAATATTTATTGAAAATTTTAGATTAGATTGTTAAATCATTTTTATTGAAATGATAAATTCATTTACTATAAGTGACAATATTATTAAAGGATCCTAGCTTAATTAGGGGCTGGAAATGAAAATTAATATGTGTAACAAAGTTATATTTAAACGATGAAAATGAATTAAATTAGTGGTAGAAAAAATATATAGATAACCGAATTGTACAAAAACAACAAAAAATAACCATTAAAATTGCCAAAAGTTAATTATTTCTCATATAGGCAATTTTTCTAAAAACTCTCATATCATTAGTAATAATTATTCTCATATTCATAAATTGGTTACTTGCTCAATTATTATTATTATCATCATTATTATTATTATTATTATTTAATTTTTTCGATTAGAATTGCAGAATATCAGGTGGCGTTTGGTATAGAGAATGAAATTGTAAAGAAATGAAATTGAGTAGAAAATGAGAATAAATTATGTTGTTTAGTAAGGCAAAGAATTCAGCTATATGAATGGATCAAATAAGAATAAATGATTAACCAGATAAAAAAAAAGTTTTAACGAATGAAAATTCATATAAATTAAATTCGATTTTTGTAAAATTAAAATAGTATAATTTTAAAAATATGTATATATAAAAATTAAATAGTACAAAAAATTAAAAAATATATATACTGCAATATCATTTATTTCCATTTCTCTGTGTATGGAAAAGAGAAATTGAAATGATTTATTTCTGAAGTTCTATTTCGACTACTCAAAACAAATAACAAAAATTAGACCATTTTCATATTGTATATATTTTATTGAAACATAATCTTAAAAATATTTAAAATATTAACAACACTGTTCATATAAAAAAATCATAAAATAATATCATAATTTATTATTAATAATTTATTAAACTACACTAAAATACAGTGTCCTAACCAAATGATTCATCTTTGCCGGGATCGAGGGAGTATAATATAATATAATTTATAAAAATAAAGTCTTTATATAAACCAAATTAAACTAATTTCAATCTAATTGTGGAATTATCCAATTGCTTAGCTTTAATTAGCAAAACAAATATATATTCATTCGATTTTTTTGGTATTACAAATGATAGTTATCTTATAATTTGTTCTAGATAAATAAATTTTATGTAATAACATTTTTTTGGCTATTAAATGATTTAATTTTTTTACATGTAATTTTATTTCTATTTATCTTTTTTTTTTTAATTTATATGATATAAAAATATATATTTATTTTAAAACAAATTACGTCACACTATCTATTTCAGAATCGATGTTTTGTTAATAAATTATTCAAGTTTTAATATATAAATTTATTTTCTTTATTTATATATTACTCTTTCTGTTTACAGATTAATGTTCTATTTTTTTATTTGGAACGTTTAATAATTATTTTTATTTTTTATACACAAAATTTATTCTTTTGTTCTTATTTTATTTACTCTTTTTTTTTTTAGATACAAGATAAATTACAAATTTGTCAATTTATAATAAAAAACTAATTATCTAAAAAAAATATGAATATTAATTAGGACATAGAAAATAGATCGAGGGAATATAAGATTTCTTTTTCTTCATTCTCTGACAAATCAAAAAATATTATTTTATTTTTTCTCCCCCCCCCCTTTTTTTTTTTCAATACGAATCAAACATTTTATTATAATTTTAATTTTTATCTTCTCCCTTTACCTTCCCTGTTGACGAAATAAACACTAGAGGCTAGCCCTGAATTCTAAATAATTCAATGTGTATGTAACATAATATTTATGTATTTGTAATTTATATCTATACAATTATTTAATATAATATTTAGAAAAAAAAAATGTTATTGATAATAGTGAAAATTAGCAATCAATAATAAAAATTGGGTGAAGACTTGATTTTGATTTTTATAACATGAAGATTTGAAAATGTTCTTAAGTTATTGAAGTAAGTACAAGATTATATATATATATATATATATATATAAAAGAAATGTATAAGGTGATGATCTATAAATAATTTCTCAAAATATATGCAATTAAAGTTTTTTGGCTTTTGGTATAGATCAGATATTTATAGGCGTTTGCTTCGTTGGTTATAATTGATTACTATATCCTGATCATAGGTGGTTCGGGTCATATTGTTGTGTATTTACATAATCTGTCGATAATATAATCATCAACTAGAATGTGTCCAACAAAATTGAAAGCAAAAGGCAATATTATTTTTTGAAAATCAAATTTAAAAACACAAACAAACAGGACCCAAGATTAGTGCAAATGAAATCAAAGCAGAACTTGAACTTCTCTGTTTAGATATACTGCTCATTTGTGTCTCTGTTTCTTTGTTCCAATAAAGATCCAATTCTATCAACGACGAGCTCAATTCAGCGACGACGAGTGACAACCGATCTTTCGGCGACTGGAAGCAAGGTTCCAACGACGAACATATTGTGTTCTCCGGCGACTCCAAAGCAACTCGAAAAAGGACGATCAGGAAAACTATTTTGAAGGCTCAGTTTACAACCTAATGACTCACACCTAGGGACTAACCCAACCGCTACGGACAAAATTATGAACCCTAAATGATATCCCCCAGAACTCACCCAGAACACCTAGAGAAGCAACTTACTAGAACAAATCGAACTAGAATGATTGCAATTTCGGCGAAGAAGGAAACCCCCAAATTTACTGAGAAGAACGGCGAAGAAGATGAATCAGAGAGAAAATCAGGAATAAACGCGATACACACTTTACCAAATAAGAAGGGAATAGAGAGTTATAAGGCGCTGGTCTGATCGGGTCCTTAGAATCGGGTCGGGTTAAAGGGTTTTGGGTTGCGGGTTAGACTTGTTTTATGGATTGGGCAAAAAATATCAACACATATGGTAATCGATTCAATTACGTTTAAACGCAGTTAAGAAATTGTTTTCAAAATCATATGCCAAATTGAACCGGAATCTATTCTAGTGGCCTTTCCTTCACCCGTTCCTGAAGACGCTATTTTTCACAAACTAGTTGTCCATCTGTTCTATCTTTAATTGTTCGGCATCGTATTCGTTTTTTGCAAAGGAGTCACCTATTGGACTACCCGATTTCTCTAATTATCGTAGTATTCAATTGTACAATTGAGGAGAACTGATCTAGAGACTAACTGATTTTTATCAATCTACACAATCTAAAGAGTCTTTGTGTGATTTGCAATCATCTAATTTCAACGATTTTTTCGTATATTTTTGTGTTTAACAATATATTTTATACTCAATCTATTCACGCTTATTTGAGTTGAACACAAATTTTAATGAATATAAGGATTATATTGATTAATTATGACATAAATTAGGAATAATTTTTGAAAAGTATATAAATGAGTTAATAAGATTATATTACTAGATTGAGTGTGTAATATTTTTGTAAATAAATATAATATTGAATTATATAAACTTAAAACTATGTAAGAAGTGTCTAATATAAATAAAAAATGCATATTTTAATTTCTACCCCATCTCCAAAAATCGACATTTGACCCTCCAAGGTATGGAAGTTGGTTTTCGTCACTAGACGGAAGGTGTATTAAATTATAAATTTGTATAATAAAAGGATCTAAAAAAGAATATATATATATATATATATAATCCTTCGTCTATTCGTCAAAATTATACAATTTTATGTGACGCAGATAAGAAAAAAAAAAAAAAAAAAAAAAAATTATTTTAAAACCATAACTAGATCATATGTTATATTGGTGTCACAATTTAAAAAAATCCCAAAAATGATTTTCAACTGAAATTGTTGATATAGCAGCATCCGTGATATGTTGAAAATTGTATAGACTACACGTTGAAATCATTTGAGAATCATTTTTGGACCAGAGGATTAGTTCTATAACTAAAAAGTTTTGCCAGAGATAATTTTTAAATATTATCCGCTTTAGCGCTTGAGGACAATTTTTGTAATTTTTTTTTTTTAATTATGAGAGTAATTCAATACATGGTCTAGATATAGTATTAATATAATAAGAGATATTATGTACATAACTAAAATGAGTATATCCAATCACGATTTTGTAGAATTTCGTTGAATTTTTAAAATTTAAGTGTCTTCAATTTAAAATTTTAAAAGTCTTTTATAATATTAAAATATTCAACCATTCATATACATTAAAAGTTTATGAATTTTATTGGATTCTTATTAAAATTTACGAATAAATGAGGATGCGAGAGAATATACGCTCCATATACTTATTTCATTAAAATCCATGTCAAATTTCTATTTTGTACTTCATCCGTCCCGCCACATATGATCCTATTTTCTTTTTGGTACGTCCACAAAAGATGACTCATTTTCCATTTTTGGTGAGTTTATCAATCTTAAATATACTTAACAAATATAAATCAATTTAATTAAACTTCTACCATCTTACACGTAGGACCCAAAACTCTTTTATTTCGATATCTCTCATCAATTAACAAATATTTTTATCTACCTTTAAAACTATTAATTTTTTATAAAACTAATTTATGGTAATGATAAATAAATAAATATATTTTTTTATTCATTTTTATTATATAAAATTTTATTATCTTCAAAATAATATCCATATTGCATATATTTTATTGAGATATAATTTTAAAAATATTTAAAATACCAATAACATTAAATATATACAAAATAATAAAATATTATCATAACTTATTATTAATAACTTAATAACCTACGCTACCTAAAATACGTATATTTTGTGGTCGGATGGAGAATCCAAACAATTTAATTAAGATAATATGTACAAGAGATAATGGTATTGTTGTCTATTTATCTAATAAACTATTTTTATACATTATGTGCTATATTATTCCTTGACGAATACATACAATACAATTTTATTTATTTATTTTTAATTATTATTATAAACAAAAAAACATTGAAAATGATTTTATTACTCCCTCCGTCTCATGTAATATGGGTGTATTACTGTAGACACGAGAATTTAGGTAAAGTATAATTAGTAAGTAATTAAGAAGTGTATTAGTAAAAATAATTACTCCCTCCAAGTATCCATTTGTTTTTTGCATGTAATTTTAGAAATATTAGTATTATATTGAAATATAGTAGGAATAAAATAGAAATGACTAAAATAACCTTATTAGTATGTGTGATATAAATGTAGTGGCATTTATGTAATATATTGTAAATTGTATGAGTATTTGTAATGTTAGGTAGAAAGTACAGTTACTAACAAATGAAATTGATACTTTGTTATGAGACAGACTAAAATGGAAAAATGGATACTTTATTATGAGACGGAGGGAGTATTATTTAGTAAAAATAATTATAGATTAAGATAAGTAAATAGTTTAATTAAAATTTAAAAAATTATAAAATTTAAAATTTAAAATGCGATTAAAGTGCATAATTATATTTTTAAAAATAGAAATGATAAGTTATGTGGGACGGACGAAAATAGAAAATAGGGACAAATTATGTGGGACGGTGGGTGGAAGTATCGTTAATTAATAATGATCACTAAATTTTCATGCAATGGAATCAATACAAACATTGTGGATTATAAAGGTTAAACCAATCAAATTAGAATGACTCAAAAATGGTATAATTATAAATCAATATTTCCTCCTTCAGTAATTTACTATGTTTGATTATACATCAAGACTGAAAAATAATTTCAGTTTGGGTTGGGGATAACACAAGATTTAAGGAATATTGATATTATATTAACAGTGAGTAAAAGGTACGGGTAAAAGATCTTTTTGCCCTTGTGAGTGTATTAGTGTAAAAAGTAGTGACAATTGTGTAATAATAATAAAAAAGTAAGGATAGTTTTATAATGATACGATTATTTATGGAAATGAGACTATTGTTTTGAAAATGACAAAAATGGTAGACATGACTATTGAATTGGGACAGAGAGAGTAATATTTTAATATTAAAATAAAATAATGAAAAAAATAAGTGATGATATTATAAGAAATTTATTAAAAAAATAATAAAATAAATGGACCAAATAGTTACAAATTAATTATTATTTATTAAAATAAATATGATAAAATTGTGAATTGCTAAAATTATTTATTATAAATGAATTTTGAATAATTTTAATGAACGATAAAAAAAAAAAAATAGTGACATAAATCTATCGAATGAAAGAGATAGTATTAATTAGGTCTAGCACTATTAATATATACTTTATCCGTTTCAATTCAAAATACATTTCTTACTATTTTTGCTAATCTCCGCTCAAAAATATTTATTTTTAAATTTTTTAGAAGTAATCATACACTAATAATAAAATATTATTAATTTTTATTTAATTACAAATATATTATTATACATAAAATTACTTTGTACACAAAGTCAAACGACAAAACTGTCAAAATCTCTTATATATTTTTATTAACAAATCAAATACTCTCTTCGTTCCTTAACAATCTATCCATTTTTCTATTTTGGTCCGTCCTTTAACGATCTATATCCATTTTTTTTAATAATTGTACTATCTACGTAACATTACAAATACGCTTCCAATTTACAATATATTACACAAATTTCATTATCTTTATATCATATAACGATAATAGGATTAATTTAGTCTTTTTCCATTTATTATTTTTTAATCCATTATAAATTCTTAAAACGTACTCCCTCCGTATCACCACAATTGACACTATCTCTATTTTTGTCTGTCCCATAACAATTGACATTTTTTCATTTTTGGTAAAAATTATTAAACCAAAACATATTTAACAAATATAAACCAACTTAATTAACTACATAATATACAACATCATAAATGTCGTACGATCCACTCAAAATCTCTTTATTTCTATCTCTCTCCTCATAAAAATAAATATTTTTATCTATATTTAAAACTACACATCTTTTATAAAATTGATTTATGTTAATTATAAATAAACAAAAATATTTTTTAATTTACTTGTATTATAGAAGATTTTATTCTCTACAAAATGATATCTACATTGCATATATTTTTAAATTGTTATATAGTTTTTAGGGTGTGTTTGTTTGGGGGTTTGGATTTTGAGTTGGGATTTGAATAGTAAAAATTTTGAATTTGAATAGTTGTATGATGTGATATAAATAGGTGTTGATGTGATATTTTGAATGTAAAATTGATTTTTAGTATTATATAAAAAATGAAAAATAGGTGTTTGATTTGATGTTTTTGAGAAAAAAAATTGGATAAATAGTGCAAATCCAATCCAATCCTCCAAACAAACACACCTAAATTTACTTCAAAATTATAGATAATACAAAAAATAATATAATAATATCATAATGAATTATTATTAACTAATTAAATATTCTCACCTTAGATATCGTGTCCTTGAACAAAATGTTCAATTCTGGTAGGACAGAGTGAAATATATTCTATTTGATAAAAAAAAAAAAACATATATATTTAAATTAATTAAATTAAACAAATATATATATTTTTTCTATTTTCAGATAAAAAAACACAACCAAGGATTCAAGTTGGCCTTGTGTCATGGACACACATACATGGTGGGGCAAATAGTGACAATAATGACATGCCAACTTTATCATTAATTAATTCTCATTTAATCACAAAATATCGTAGCCACAATAAATAAATAAATAAAAATATATATTCCCAATGTATTGTAGTACTGTACTATATTGTAATTTTATTACCTGTCAATTTTTTTGCAAAAACAATTATATATATGTATATTTATTTAATTAATTATAAACTCCCAACAGATAAAGCGAACTTTTTGGGTGATGCGACATATTGGGATGATGACATTTTTGTAAAACGCGACTTTATTCTTATTTTTTTTTATCATCAACAAGACCGAGGGCAGAACAGTCATTTCACACGTGCTTTTTATCATCAAACAGGGACCGAGGGCAGAACAGTCATTTCACACGTGCACGCATACACATGACGACACCCTCTCTGCAGAAATCTGCAGAGGCATCATTCGTCTTCATCACTTCGTTGTTGACAGACAAAGCAAAAAAGGTCGTCGTGCCTTTACGGAATTCCTCAATCCCTAATCCTTCTTCTAATGATTTCGATAATGGCGACAGATTCTCCCTCATCTCCTTAATTCTACTTTTTCTCTCCCAACCAACAAATTTGCAATGGGCCCCCACTGATTCTTCGTCTTTATTGCGCGGATTCCTTCAGTGTCCCTTGGGGTTTCCGGCTGTTTCTTCTTCTTTCGCAACTGAAGCAAAGCGAGGAGCAGGAGCGCAGGTGATTGCTTGCTGTGTAGAGAATTTTGGGAATTTAATTAGGTTTTTTTGAATTTATTGATCTGTGATTTTGGAGACGGACAGATCAGAGGGATGGGGTTTTGATGTTCGTCAGCGAGATCTGCTTTGTGGCTTCCTTTCTCTCTGGCTCAATTGTCGAGGTAGTTTTGCAATTTGTGGTTGGAATTGTTTTTCTGCTTTCGTTTCGAAGAATATTGGATGCATTTTGCTTGAAATCTGGCTTCATTTTGGTTTCCTTTATTTGACTAGGGCTTCGGTGTTCTTCTTTGCCTGTTTAACAGTTTGTTTGATTTGATTTTGTCACTGATCTCACTTGTAGCTGTTGGAAAATGAAGCTTGTGAAGTTACATTCTTGACAACTGCAAAAGAGTATTGAGTCTAGGGTTTCGTTTCTACATTTTTACAGTCTTTGTGGTGGCAATGCTTTATGTTTTGGATTGTGCAATGATAAGTAATAACCACCATTGTTATTGCCATGATTTATGTTTCAAGATAATTTGTGATTACATGATTTAGGGTTGTTTTAATGTTTTGAAGAGTTTCGTGAAAAGTAAAATATTAGAATAAAAAATATGTATGGGATATGATTTCTTCTTTTTTTTTTTTAAATATATATTAGGTTTTTGTATAATTTTTTAAATAAAAATTAGGTATGTGATAGTGATTTTTTTTTTTAATAGTACTATCAGTGAACAGTGGCAAAAGTAACTTGAAAATATATGTAAACAGATTGTGGGATTTTTGCCCACTAACTTCTTTTCACATAAAGTTAACATTTAATATAATACTCCATTCCTCCTAAACAAGGTGCAATATTTATTTTTGGCGCGGATTTTTAGGTGAGTAGTATTAAGTAGGATAATTTAGAAATTAAGTGATGTGATTGAGAGAGAAATGTATATTTTATTTTTTTATTTGGATGATGTGAGAGGATAAAATGTGGGCTAGGGATTAAGTATGATTAATTATTTCCTATTTTGGAAATGTTGCAGAGTGTTTGGGATATACCAAAAAAAAATGTTGCAGGATGTTTGGGACGGAAAGAGTATTATTTTTTATATTTTTGACACAATTTTTTATATCTCACATGAAAAAAAAAATTTCAAACCAAAACACTAACAAACCCAAAATTTGTGTTTAGGTATATTTCAATAATGTTATGGAGTTTGGAGAGTTTTGAGAATAGTGAAGTAATATTTGATGTAGCCATGTAGGTTTTTAGTGAAATATTTTAAATGGAAAATAGTTATTCGATATGATATTGCTTTAAAGTATAAAAGAACAGTATTGTTGATGAATAGCCCAAATAATTTAAAAACATTTATTTGTGGATTTGATTTTTTGGGTTGGATTTTTGAATAGTAAAAGTTTGGATTTGAAATAGATGTCTGATGTGATATAAATAATGTTTGATGTAATATTTTGAATGTAAAGCTAATTTTTAGTATAATATAAAAATAAAAAATAATTATTTGATCTGATATTTTTGAAGAGAAAAAAAAAAAAAAAACAGAATTAATAGTAATAATCTTATGAGAAATCCACAAAAGAACACCACCGTAAGGATAGTTTGGTTTTGGTTTGAGTTGGAGATTTTTTTTGAATTTTTGTTAAAATAGTATTTGGATGTGATGTTTATGTGAAAAAATAATGTATTTTTATGAAAACCATGCGGGATAAATAAAAGTATTTTATATTTCAAATAAAAGGTGAACACATTATTTGATGTGATGGCATTTTTCAAAATAGTATTGTTGATGACTAGCATCAAGCTAACTTGAAAATATACTTAAGATTTCTTTTTTTGATCGGAAAATATACTAAAGATTTCTATCACCATTGTTCTAGCCAGAAGGTGAGATTGTTAGCTTTGCCTATTTGGAAGATTTAGTGATTGTATTTAATCCAATCTAACAGGGCTATGGATTCGACAACGATAAGATGCCTTGTCAACAGCATTTCTCGATTTGTTCTTCTGGTAACAAGCCGCGTGTCGAATGCTATGCCGGTTGGGAAGGATTACATAGATGTAGGTTCTCTGTTGAAGCATTTGAAGCCGGCTCTCGATGATGTGCTTGATCTTAATGTCCCCCTGGATGAACCTCTCCTTAAAGAATGTGAAGAGCTGGATACAGCCGTCAATGATGCTCGAGAATTTCTTGAGAATTGGTCTCCGAGAATGAGCAAGATACTTTCTGTAACTTCCTGATCGCACGCAACTGCATTTTCAAAATTGTATTTATGCTTCTTGATCGATCCGTTTGGTTGTAATGTCTTTCTGTTCTTCCAGGTTCTTCAGAGTAAACCATTGGTTGTGAAAATTCAGATGTCCACGGTGAGGCTGTCCGGAATTATATGTACGCTACTTGAATCGTCGCCAAATAAATTGGGTCTCTCTAATGCACAGGTAAGGATGCTTTTCTATACACGAACCTTGTTTAGTCAGGTTGATCTTTTCTTTTTGTTTTTATTTCAAGCTTGATTAAAGTGATGAATTCCGAAAATTGATTCAATTCTGTTTAGTTGTGCATCGAAGAATCTCAAGAAATGAAGCTAGGACAAATATCGAAACTCATAGAAGAGATTTTCGAATGCCAAAAAGATGGGGATATTCATGCGGCTGACAATCTTTCGCGTATTGTCGAGTCCTTAAAGTTGAAATCGAGTCAAGAGATCTTGAACGAGAATATTTCAGTCGAGAAGGAAAAACAGAAAGCCGAAGACAGTAAACTAAAAAAGAAATCGGATCAAATCGCTCAAGCTGTAGACCTCATGTCTCGTATCCGTGGATATGTGTCGAAGCTTGAAAAGTTTAGAGCCGTGAAGGGTATTGAGATCCCTTCGTATTTCCTCTGCCCGTTGTCTTTGGAACTCATGTCGGATCCTGTGATTGTTTCTTCGGGCCAAACTTACGAGCGTGCAGCAATCGAGAAGTGGCTGGATTCCGGACTAGAGAGATGCCCCCAAACCGGTAACAAACTCTCCCATAAAAACCTCATCTGCAATTTTACGGTTAAAGCTCTGATAGCAAATTGGTGCCACGAAAACAAGATAGAGCTCGCCAGAGGCAACGGTAATGGTAACGCGAATACAGATAAGATCCGGAGCCCTTCTGAGCGCACAATTTTTGAAGAATCCCGAGCTTCGTGTGAAGTTAGAAATGGCGAGACAGCGAAATTCGATCAATCTTCCCCTGAGCATTCGTATGTACACAGCCGGAGTGAATCAGAGTCGAGCGCTGTTTCGAGCATTGATTTTGTCCCGGGAGCAGAGTCTGAAGTTTCTGGAATATCGAGTAAGCAAGACAGTGTAAACAATAGCTCCCCCGAAACCAATTCTGCGACCGTAAAGAGCAGAATCTCCGGGGCGTCATCGTTTTCCAGGAAACAGTACAGCAGCTCCAAAATGACGACGGGATTGGCAAACAGACAAGCGAATCATTCCCGAGTGCTCTCCTTTTCGACTGATTCGGAATATAATGAGCTGACTTCGACTTCCCATGTCGAAAAGCTTATTGATGGATTGAAGTGTGATTCGGCCGAAGTACAAACAGCCGCAGCGGGTGAGTTACGGCACCTTGCGAAGTACAATAATGAAAACCGGATCATCATCGGGGATTGCGGGGCTATCGCTCCGTTAATCTCGCTTCTGCACTCGGACGTGGAGCTGACTCAAGAACACGCAGTCACGGCGCTCCTCAATCTATCGATTTGTGAATCAATTAAGGTCCGGATTGCCGAGGAAGGTGCGATAGAACAGTTAATCAACGTTTTGCGAACGGGTAATTCAGGCGCGAAAGAGAACGCCGCAGCTGCTCTGTTTAGCATCTCGCTTTTGGACGAGTACAGGATCAAGATCGGCAGATCCGCGGCGGTAAAATCACTGGTCGAGCTCTTGGGATCGGGCACGGTCCGAGGGAAGAAAGACGCTGCGACTGCATTGTTCAACTTGTCGATATTTCACGATAACAAAGCCCGGATAGTTCAAGCCGGAGCTGTAAAGCATTTGGTTGGTTTCTTGGACCCTGCGGCTGAGATGGTCGATAAAGCCGCGGCGCTTCTCGCAAATCTGTCGACAATCCCGGAAGGGTGCTCGGCGATTGCCCGAGAAGGTGGCATTCCGTCGCTTGTCGAGACTCTCGACAACGGATCTCAACGAGGTAAGGAAAATGCAGCGTCGATATTGTTGCAGCTTTGCCTACAGAGCTCGAAGTATTGTCGTAGCGTGTTGCAGGAAGGAGCCGTCCCGCCTCTCGTCGCGCTGTCGCAGTCGGGCACTCCGAGGGCTAAAGAAAAGGTAACGATTTACGACATTGTCAACTAGTTTTTATACGGTCCATCGACGAAAGGAAGGAAATAATGAGCTATGGCGGGTTTTTGTCGATTAATTTTTTGTTGTATCGGGCAGGCGCAGCAGCTGCTCGGCCACTTCCGGAGCCTGCGCGACAGCGCCATTGCGAGAGGGAAATCGTGAGACGGGGAAGTTTCACGACGATGTTTTATTCTGCGGCGAGGTCTCAGATTGGATCTGATCGAGTCTGTTTCGGGTCGGGTTATCGATGCGGTTTGTGAGTATGGGATGAGATGAGATGGGAGAGCATCGGCTGCCGGTTTTGATTCTGGTAAGTTAAGTAAGTAGTCTGTATGTATATTTTAAGTGTTGAATGTATGTATATATATATATATATAGAGAGAGAGAGAGAGAGAGAGAGAGTAGGTTACAATGTTGGCTGAAACTCGAACCTAAGATTTGATGATGCATATTCACTCACGTATTCTTGTCTCATTCTTGACTTTATGTGCTTAAAGTTTATTTTTCAATAGAATAATTCTTTATAAATATTTACAACCTCAAGTAAATATATATTTTTGCGTTATTTAATATTAAAACTAATTTTATATTTGTATAGTTTATTTTAAAATAATAATTATATTTGTTTTATAAGAAATCAATACGATGTATTTTTGTCTTTTTTTTTATTTATAAAAAAAAATAAAAATAGATTTGGATGAGAGAATCCCTTCCTAAAAAATCAACTAATTTAAAAATAGTGACAGATTGATTATTTATAGAGCCCAAAATGAAGGAAAGCAGCCCAAGCCCAATCTTGTAGGTCCAGCTCAAAGAATGCAGTCAAGTCAACACTCAAATTTCAAGACAAGTAGGATAATAAAAGGCAAACAAATTCAGTATAAGAAGGGAACAATTCATCCAATTTTCACTCTATTTTTTCTACTGCTCTTGCTTTGTTAATTTCACTTCATCAATTTCAGTGCAGTGCAATTCTATCAACTTTTATTCAATTTTCAATTTACACTATTTTTTATTCCGTATTTATTGTATTTTAATTAGTAATTATAAGGAAAATTCGGACGTCTTTCTTAAGTAGGCCGAGAAACTTAATTTGATATTCGATTCTGACATACTCAAATCGATTAAGCTGTCGACGTCGATGGGGATACACGCACATGCAAATACCCATAGTGAATTTCTACTATTGTCCCCGTGGAAAAAAAAAATGAGAAAATTGGAATTTGCATAGAATTTCGAAACCTGTATTTGGCCACCAAAGACATGCTCATCGAATAAATGCTTTCTTTCACAAGATGATCGACATATAGATGAAAGTACATATCGGTGATGTTTTTGTAAAATCTCGAGCCTTCGAGGACCACTTGATTGATCCCTGAAAGATATTTATCCGAATGAGGCGACATAACCTAAATAAATACAAAAAAATGCACCATTGGTATCCAGACAAGAAATTTCCTTGGATTTTTAGTCCATCAGAGAGTGATCGAAATTGGAAAAAATAAAGCAAAACTCATCCAAGACCTAGGCCTCCCCACACAACATTAAGAGCTATAAAGTTTAATAGGAAAAGTCAATTTTTCTCGAAAAATTTATTGTTGATGCCACCAGAAAAATGAAAATCTTTTCATCGTTTCTACGTAGAAATAAAAATATTTTTTAAGGAGCGCAGCTCAATAAGAAGCCTTAGATCAAATCAACCAAGTCCTATCTTCGCACCCGTATTAATGATGCTAATGCATAGGAAGGAGTTGAAGCTCTATGTTGCGACTAACGACAACAAGATCGGCTACCTACTAGCTCAAGATGAATTTGGAGGACAAGAGTGGGCAATATATTATCTTAATAAAAATTTAAATGATGCTGAAATGCGATATTCGTCTATCATTATATTATGTATACACTAGTTTACAATATTATCTCATGCCTGTTGAGACGAAAGTCTTGTGCAAAATTGATCTATCACGACATCTACTAAACATGTCAGGCTCTTTAAAGTCATTTACTTAAATGGGTGACGAGGAGAAGTTGACGCGGACGTAATGACATACAATATGAAAGAAAAAGTATGACGTTTCGCTCATCATCTTCTGCAAGACATTACGAACGACCAAAATGAAAATGAGACTCTATTGTCGGAATTGCATTTTTTAGTAGCAAAAGAAATGCCAAAAACACCCTCATAAGAGGAGGTTTCCTGTCGATAATCTGTCAAGTCTTGAATTAAGTTTTCTTCCGTGGTTCATTTTATTATCATCATAATTTAACAATTTTCAACATTTTTCTAATAAATTCGTATATAAATTATTACTCATTATTAATATATCAAAAATTATTTATGTGTTGGTTCATTTAAACTAAAAATTGAAATCAAAACTCTAAAAAACACATGTATATATTTGCGGGGGTTAGACTTCTGACCGTGAAGTCATGGGTTCAAACCCCGACGCTTCAGGTCACATGCCACTCATGGTTCGCCTAGTATGTCTTTCCCGTCGTACCTGATTTGTAGGGAATTTAACCTGATTTGCAGAGTATTAGATTTGGCTGCGGTTTACCAAGTGTGCACTTTCTTGTAGATCTTGTTTGGTTTGAATCTAGATAAACTAAATTACTAGAATTTCGTTTATTCATATATATACAAGTAAAAACACATTAACTTTTTTTTTTATTAATTATTATATAAAAATATTATTATTATTATTTTTTTTTTTTAAAAAAACTCAATTATAAACAAAACAAAGTACAAAAATCAATACATTGCTAGTAACTTCCTTCACACCAAATCCTCACTTAGTAAGGAGCAGTTTTAATATATAAAATATATATATATATATATATTTATGACTTGGGATATAAAATATATATTATTGATATATATACTGCTAGTCTCTCTCTGTTTTAAGTATTTTTAATTGTTTTTAATTTTTAATATTCTAAAACCTTTTTGCAATGATTCTTTACGCTTATAATATTTTTTCTTCATTTTACTATTTTATATACAATTTATAAAACTATTAAAAAAAAAAAAGCAAAATGGTAAAAGAAAAAAGAAAATACTAAGGGTGTGTTTGTTTGGGGGTTTGGATTTTGGATTGGGATTTGAATAGTAAAAATTTTGAATTTGAATAGTTGTATGATGTGATATAAATAGGGTTTGATGTGATGTTTTGAATGTAAAATTGATTTTTAGTATAATATAAAAAATGAAAAATAGGTGTTTGATTTGATGTTTTTGGGGGGAAAAAATTGGATGAATAGTGAAAATCCTTCAAAATCCTTCAAACAAACACACCCTAACAAAATTATACCATCTAACATACCATGTCAAAAATAAGAATATCAAATAAATTGAGGATATTATACAAAATAGCTAAATGCAAATTAAGAGAGGCATGCTTGATTCAATGAAGTATGTATATGTATATATATATATATATATACAAAATGTTGATGGATAACTATTTATTTCAATTTAAATACTACTCCCTCCATCTCATATTTATATATTCATTTGCTTTTTGTACGTAGTTTTAAAAATATTAATATTATATTAAAATGAAATAGAAATAAAGGTAAAATGACTAAATTAACCTTATTAGTATTGTCTGATATAGATGTAATGACATTTGTGTAATATATTGTAAATTGGATATGTATTTGTAATGTTAGGTAGATGGTACAATTACTTAAAAAAAAATAAATACTTTGTTATGAAACGGACCAAAATAAAAAAATAGATAAATTGTTAAATAAAAGTATAATTTTATTTTAATTTGAAACTTGTTAGAATGAAAAGTCCACGAGTGAACTGTTGAGAAGTCTTTCCACACTACAGTGTTTTCCTTAGTATTATTTCCTTTTATTAACCTATCAATCAATAATGTATATCTTGTAGGTTTTTAGGCATCAATATATATATATATATATGTTACATACAAACATCCCTAAGTCCATACATCAATATAATATAATTATATTGGAAAATTGAAATGAACCCATTTATGTATATATATATATATATATGTAGAAAAATATGTATACAATTTCAGCAACGGCTACAGTGTTTAATTTTAAATTTATTTTAAATTTAATATTGTGCTGAAAAATATATCGCGTGGTGTCTGAAAATACATGGTATTATTACATACAACACATTGTATATGTTAATATAATACAATACAATATATGAACTAACAACAATGTTATAGATACATCAACACACAACAATTAATTTTAACATATAACATACTCTTATATATCATACATGTAATTATGAACAAATACTACGTATTTTTATTATATACAATATGTATTGTGTGCAATAAAAATATGTGCTATTTTTATATATTATGGATACTGATGCACTCACAGTGCTGAATTTTTCAAATCAGCATCGTAATCATTTTCCTATAACCTCATTTTGTATATAAAAGAAGGAATTTTAATATGTTGGTTTAATTTAATTTGATTATTAATCAAAGGGAAGTATATAGAGTTTGTTTGTTTAGTGTTTTAGTTTGATGTATATATATATTTATGTAAAGTATAGAAAATTGCATGAGTAATATAAAAAATAATAATATTATTTTATATTTAATATTGATTTTTTTGTAAGATAATAAAATAAAATATATTATATTTATCGGAAATAGTGTCTAAAAAAATGGTGAAAGAACACACCCATAAATGTTATTTCAACTTTTTAAAAGAAATTGTTGTTGATATAGTTTGTTATTAGTTTTTTTATAAGAATAAACAAACAAAGTTGATGTACTCAAATCTAAATAACTTAATAACTGAAAACTAAATTAAATATCTACAATATCTCAATATTCCCTTAAATTCAAATTGTATAACAAAAATCAATTTAAATTTAAAAAGAAAATTGAATACAAACAAACACGAAAAATACAAATGAAAATACCAATAGTTGTTTATCTATCGCTGCCGCCGCAACCCTGCCAAATCTAAAAATAACTAAATTTAATATAAAATTCAATAACTAAAATATTTAAAGTGATTTTTATATTTATTATTTTTGACAAGAGAACTTATATACAATTGCTATTCTTCCAAAGAACATTATAAATTATATAGTAAAAAAAATACAAGTTTAAAAATGGCTAAAACCTAAAAATCCATACAAATTCAAATTATACCTAAGATATTTTTCTCCCTCTATGATACATGTGTTTCAACTTTCAAATAAACTTCACTTAATCAGTCAATTTTTATAAGGTATTACTTAAAATAAATAAATAAAATTCCCTAGTAAAAAATCACTTTATATTTATTCACAAACCTTTAAATGATTACAAGTTGCTATCATACAGCACACAATATTACCGTGTAAAATATATTACAAGAACTAAAAATACGTAACATAGTTCTATATATTTTTATAAAACACGCATTTTAAATATATATAAACAAATAATGCATACTCCTATTTTATAAGACATCACACCAAAAAAATATCAATTTTGTAATAAGGTTTTTTCATCTCTAAATTTATTTTTTTCGTTATTGATGATATTAGAAATAAAATTAGAAAGTGAATTGCGTTAACTACGTGAACTTTATAGACATAATTCTGTTACTAATATACTATTTTTTTTGTAGTGCATGTATTATATGTACTTTTGTTAGACCAATTTACCCAAAGCAACACAAATGTATAAGTTCACAACAAATCAGATTTAAACAGACACATTAATTTAATTACCCTTATATTAACATAAGTTATATGTGTTTTATTAATGTAAATATAAAAGTCAATTATGGCATTAAGTAGGTAATTAGCTTCCAAGATTTTCAAAGAGGTTTATTTATTAATCAATCAAATGTTACAAAGAAAATAAAATAAATAAATAAATACTAATTATTACTCTCTCCGTTCCGCAAGAAGAGAACCGTTTGTTTTTTTTAAGTAGATTTTTTGAATATTAGTATTATATTAGTTTGTCGTAAAAAAACGAAAATGTCCATATTAGTATGGTATATTATAAAAGAGATGGCATTTGTGTAATATATTGTAAATTGTAAGGGTATTTATTATGTTAGATATGTAATATAATTACTAAATTGAAAAATGATGTTTTTATTTTGAAACGGAGAAAAATAAAAAATAGTACTCCCTCCGTCCCAAACAAGGTGCAACATTTGCTTTTCGCACGGGATTTTAGGTGGGTAGTATTAAGTAGGATAATTTAGAAATTAGGTGATATGATGGAGAGAGAAATATATATTTTTTTATTTTTTTATTTGGATAATGTGAGGGAATAAAGTGTGGGGTAGAGATTAAGTATAATTAATTACTTTTATATTTTAGAAATATTGCAGATGTTTGGAATATATCAAAAAAGAAATGTGGCGGTTGTTTGAGATGGAGTAAGTATCAATTTAATAGGACATTATTATTATTACAATTATTTTGTTATTAGTCTGTCTCTTACCCTAGTGTTTGCCTACTCTTTCCATTTCTGCAAAAGCAGTCTCTCTCACTCATCAAATTAAATTTATTTATTTATTTTTTATGTTTCTCTCTCTAGAATGGTAGCAGGAGCAGGATTAACAAACAGTTCACTGAGGTGAGGTCAGTTGTTTCCCCCAATTTTGGGAAGACAAATCCATAAAAATCAACCAAACACATCACAGTCTTTCCCTAAGCTTTCTTTTCTCAGCCACTGTTCATCACCATTTCATAATATACATATATATATATTTAATTAATTAATAAAATAAAATAATAATTAATTATACACAGTCACCATCACAGATCTCATCATCTTTCTTTTTATCATCCATCCATCCATCCATCCATCAGTCTCTTCATCATCATCTTCAGTACCACATATTATTATTATATTATTATTATTATTATTTATTTATTTATTTATATTATGATTCCAAACCCTTTTGTTCTGTCCTCCACCCCTCACAGAAATGGGATTCTCCTCAAATTCCAATAATCAAGAAACCCTCTTTTCTTGATTTTCTCTGTTTGTTAATTACGTTTGATTGGTTGCAGATAGGGTTTCGTATGTTTTAATTTCTGGATCATCGATCGAATCCATCGATTATTGCTGCTCAAATTTTGTAATTTCCTCAAAATCTGAAACCCTAGCTAGACGAATTTTGCTAAAGAATCTTCAATTCGATCTGTTAATGGATACGACGTCGTTCCCAGATATGGAAAGCTCAAATTCCGGCGGTGGCGGCGGCGGTGGTTATGCTTCCGCCTCCGCCGCCGCCTCGTCGTCGTCCTCCTCCGGCGCTTCCGCGTTCAACAATCTCAGCCGCTACGAGAACCAGAAGCGGCGCGACTGGAACACGTTCGGACAGTACCTGAAGAACCACCGGCCGCCGCTGTCCCTCAGCCGCTGCAGCGGCGCTCACGTGCTGGAATTCCTCCGGTACCTCGATCAATTCGGTAATGTCGAGATATTTTAGATATTTGGTTTTAAATTTAATATATTTATTTTTAAATTTTGTTTTATTTATATAAAACTCTCGGCCTTAATAATCTATCTATTTTTTTTCTATTTTGGTATGTCCATAACAAAGTATCTATATTTTTATAATAAATATTCTTTGTAAATACATTAAAAATACTTTACAATTTATAATATACTCTCTCTTTGTTAACTATTTATCTATTTTGTTAGATCATAATATTCAAATATTTTTTTTTACAACTATACTATCTAACTATATATTTTAATATAATATTAATATTTTTAAAATTACTTAAAAAATAAATATAAGACGGAGAGAATAATCACAAATGTTATTACTTTTATATCACACGATATATTTTTAAAATTCTACTTCCTTCGTCCCGGAACTAAATATCCATTTGCTTTTTGTACGTAGTTTTAAAAATATTAGTATTATATTAGGATATAGTAGGAATACAGTAGAAATGACTAAAATAACCTTATTAAGTATGTATAATGACATTTGTGTAATATATTATAAGTTGTAACAATATTTATAATATTAGGTAGACAGTACAGTTACTAAAAAAAGAAATGAATATTTGTTATGAACAGACTAAAATTAAAAGAATTGAAGATTTTGTTATGAATGGAGGGAGTATAAAAAAAACAAACGGATACGTAAATAATAATACAAAAAAAAAAAAAAAACTGTATTGTTTATATATAAATTAATAATGTAATATCATTATGTTTTTTCAAAAATTCTAACAGGTAAGACCAAAGTCCACGCGCTTATCTGCCCCTTCTACGGTCACCCCAACCCGCCGGCGCCCTGCCCCTGCCCGCTCCGGCAGGCCTGGGGCAGCCTCGACGCCCTCATCGGCCGGCTCCGCGCCGCCTTCGAGGAGAACGGCGGCAAGCCGGAGACCAACCCTTTCGGCGCCCGAGCCGTCCGCCTCTACCTCCGCGAGGTCCGGGATCTACAGTCCAAGGCCAGAGGGATTAGCTACGAGAAGAAGAAGAGAAAACGCCCCCCGCCGCCGCACCACGCCGCCGCGCAACCACCGCCGCCGGCAGGTGAAATTTAACTGTCGTCGTCACATGCACAGTATCCACCAAGAATTCCCGACCAAAATTAAATGTCATCTTCGAATTAATGTCAATTTTCACTCTTATCCCAAAAATCATCCATATGTTTTCCCCCAAATTTTATTTATCCATCAATTTAGGGTTTCCTCTTATTTAATCACTTTCGAATTTTTACACAATCAAAACCCCCAGATCTTGTTTTTCCCTGCAATCAAGCTTAATCATACAATCCATTGATGATAAAGTAACTAAACAAATAATCTTACCACGATTTTTTAAAAAAGAAAAGCATTATCAGAAATTAGGGTTCATTGGAGTCAGATTAGGTTTTCAGTTTCTGATATTTCAATTATTTATTTATTTTTTCAGGGTTCAATTTGATGAATAGTTTGCAGTAACGTTGAACAAGAAATTAAATTTACAGCTGATTTTACAGAGGGGTAATCTGTAATGGCAGTGTGAGTTCATGTGGAAGTGTATTCATAGTTAGGTTGCTACAGTGCGATCATCTATGCAAATTAATTAATATTATTATTGAGCTTTATATATATATATAATTAAAATAAATAAATAAATATATAAAATATTTATGAATTGTATGTAGTGGTGTCTTTTCAACCACAGTGTTTGTTGATAATTGGCAGACACATTTTCTCCATATAAGGTTCATAAATAATATAGTCAGAATGTGTCTACACATCTGAATTATTGTTTCAAAATGGAAACTCCTGTGTATTTTTACATCTCAAAAACTTTAAGAGTGTGTTTTTTTTTTTTTTTTTGGTTGAGTTTATATTAAAATAATATTTGATGGAATATTTTGTGAGAGAAAATATATATATTTTTCGAAAAATTGTAGAATTCAAATAGTAAAATTTTGGGAAAATTTGGGTAAAGAAACATACCATTTCTTCTGCTCCTTCCGTCCCAAAAATATAGTTTGAGTTGTATTTTGTACTGAATTTAAGGAATATTGATATTATATTGGTAGTGGGTAAAAAGTACGAATAAAAGATTTTTTTGCTCTCTTATGAGTGTATTAATGTAAAAAATAGTGACAATTGTGTAATAATAATGAATGGGCAAGAGTAGTTTTATAGTGATATGATTATTTATGAAAATGAAATTATTATTTTGGAATGAACAAAAATGATAAATAAGACTATTGTATTAGGACGAATGAAGTATTTGAATTCAGCATTTTTTTTTTAAAAAAAATATAATCACTCCGTCCCGTATCTATCTATCTATCTGTTTGTCTTTTAAATAAAATTTTTAGAAATATTAGTATTATATTGGGATACTGTAAAAATAAAAGTAAAAAGATTAAACTATTATCTTTATGATATAAAGATAATGATATTTGTGTAATATATTATAAATTAGAAGGGTATTTGTAATGTTAGATAAATAATACAGTTACTAAAAATAAATATTTTGTTATGGGACAAATCAAAATAAAAAATTAGATAAATTGTTAAAGGGCAAAATAAATATATTTTTTACAAAAACATTGAATTATATATTATTGTAATATCAAATATAAATCAAATTTTTTCAAATTCCATCAAAAGTAAGAAACACATATTCAATCATCCTTTTTGTATAAAAATGTATATGGCACTTGTCACATATATATATATATATATCAATTCTTGAAATTGTGATATATATATATATATATAATATATTTAGAGAGAGAGAGAGAGAGAGGAGAGAGAAATGGATTGGTAAGAAAAACCTAGTTAGATCCAAGTTTGGGGAAGAGGACAAAGAAGAATAGGCAATGGAACTTTTGTTCAAAATTGACATTTTAGCTTTGGTTATAGATATAAATGTCTTTTTTTATATGTTGTGTTCTTGAGATTTTTTTTTTTAGGCCTTTTTTTTTTTTTTTTTTTACTGTTAAACATTTTCTATTATCTATAAAAATACTATATATATATATTATTTTTTCATCTATTTGAAAGATATAAATTTATTTTTAAACCAAATATAAAAAAACATTAATCATGATTATTGATAGATATTTTATTTTTTTTTAGTGTAAAGAATATTTTGCTTTGTGTTTTAATTCGAATACATAATAATATTAATATAAATAAGTATAAGTTTAAGATTATTTTTAATATAGTGAGATTCATACTTAATTATTAAAAAATATATTAATTTGTTTTTTTATGATTCAGAAATAAATTAATATTTATTTATTCTGCACAATTTTTTAATAAAAATATACTATTTTTTTTCATAAATATCACTGTAAAATACTATTTAAAAAAAATAAATTAATATTATATTTCAAATTAATTTTTTTTACAAATATCATAATAAAAATGATAGAATGTATATACTCCTTGGATTGACAGAGAGAATATTATTTTTATTTTATTTTATGAGTTATTACATCATATTATTATATAAATACAAAATTTTAATAATAATAATAAAAAATCAACTAAACGCACATTTAGTTGATACATGCAAATTTAGGGTAAATAATTAATTCAATTTGGCCGACAAACAGCATATGATTTGTCCTCTTCAGTTTCCTTGTCATTCTCCAGTTCATCTTTGAAAATTTATATAAAAGTTTTATAATATTATCTTATCCGTCACAAAATAATAGTTTTATTTTTATAAATAATAGTATCATTATAAATTTATTTTTACTTTTTTATTATATTACACAATTGTCACTATTTTTTACACGAATACAATCACAAGGATAAAAAAGTATTTTACCCATACTTTTACCTACTACCAATATAATATTAATATTCCTTAAATTCCGTGCCAAATACAATCGAAGCTATAGTTCTAAGACGGAGGGAGTAGAAAAAAATACTCTTTTCTTTTTAAAAGAATTTTTTTAAAGAAATATTTTTTTATTCTTTTTCAAATAATTGTCTTATTTTCTTATTTAATAACTGTGTGTCACTATATAACAAATCTATTCGTAATTAATACTTTAATCTATTTTTTTTCAACCATTCATAAAACAAGGGTAATTTAATCAATTATATTTTAGTATTCCACTTAATTTCTTTTTTTTTTTTTTTTTTGGATGGGGGAGTTAACAATTAAAACAGATAAATAATATATATATAAAAAAAATACTCTCTCCATCCCATAGAAAATTTATTATTTGTGTTTTACATATAGAATTTTAAAAAATAATATTATACTATTAATTTGTAATAAAAGTAAAAAAATATTTTTTTAGTATTATATAATATAAAATTAATAATATTTATATAATATATTATAAATTATAAATATATTTATTATATTAGGGGTGTGTTTGTTTGAGGGATTGGATAGGGGTGTGTTTGTTTGAGGGATTGGATTTTTTTTTCCCTATTCATCCAATTTTTTTTTCAACAAACACATCAAATCAAACACCTAATTTTCATTTTTTATATTATACTAAAAATCAATTTTACATTCAAAACATCACATCAACACCTATTTATATCACATCATACAACTATTCAAATTCAAAATTTTTACTATTCAAATCCTAACTCAAAATCCAAAGCTCCAAACAAACACACCCTAGATATATAATCAAATTACTAAATTAAAAAAATGACACTTTTATTTATTTATTGTTGATATATATATATATATCACAACAAAACAAAGACTGATCAAATCAAGAATCTTCACAAAGGTGAAGGTCAAAAGAAAAAATCAGTGTGTGTTTATGTGACAGGACACTTACTGCTGCTATGGTATGGTCATTTCATCTCTGCAACAAATTTTCTTATTTCAATTATATATATATATATATATTTAAATAAATATATATAAATATATCTGTTAATATTTATTTCATTTATGTAAAATCAACCTAATAGCTAAATTCCAAACCCAAACTAGTACAGTACTGTTAAAAAAAAAAAAAAAGTTTATGCTAGTGTAACTTATTTTATCGGATCTAGTTCGTATGATATTAGGTTCAGTCGGAGCTTTACTCAATGTGTACTTTCGGACAGCTACTGCAACTTTCCTAGTACACAAATAATTTGTTTTTCTTCTTAGTCGATCTTCGAATAGATGTCTTGCTTCTATTTTCAAATAAATTTTCTTATTTTAAATATTTAATAAATATAAGTTAATTTTATTATATTTTTATCATAAAACTTATTTAAATTTTTTTATTTGAATTCAATAAATAATTAAATATTTTTATTTATATTTAAAACTTCTAATTTTTTATAAAACTAGTTTAACTTAATTATATATAAATAAATATAGTTTTTTTATTTATATTATAAATTTTTTTATCATCTACAAAATAATATTTGTATTATATAGATATTATTAAAATATAATACTAAAAATCTTTAAATATATATTCTAATTTTTTTAATCTTATATATTAACTTATATATAATAGTAACATTACTAATTATATAAAAATAATATCATAATTTATTATCAACAGTTTAATAATTTACACTACTTAACTAACCTTGTTCGAAATAGCATATGACTTATTTGTCCGAAACGAAGATAATATACGATACTTCCTCGATACTTCCTCCGTCCACTTAGTAAGTACATATTTACTATTTTTATTGTCTAAACAAAATATATAAATTTTCACTTTTAGGAAATATCAAACTTATACATATTTCAAATATTTTAACATTTATACTTATTTACGTCAATATTGTTACATTAATTTTATATAATATAGGGGTAACAGTAAAATAGTTTTTACATACAAAATTATCTCCAACTATTATTAAAGTACAATATTTATTAATTCAGTGAATATTGTGTTTGTACGGGGGTTTGGATTTTGAGTTGAGATTTAAATAGTAAAAATTTTGAATTTTAACCGTTGTATGATGTGATATAAATGTGTTGATGTGATGGTTTGAATATAAAATTGATTTTTTAGTATAATATAAAAAATAAGAAATAGGTGTTTTGATTTGATATTTTTTGGGAAAAACAAATAGTATGAATAGTATATTTAAAATTCAATTTCCCGAACAAACACATCCTTAAAAAATAGACTGACAAAGTATATGATTACAATTGATTTAGTAATATATCACGAACATCAGATATATGAATTGACAATATATATATAATACTCCTTCAGTCCTACTTACCATACAAATACTTTTTATTTTTATATGTTCCACACATCCTATATCCCGCAACATTTATAAATATAAAACTCTCATCGCACTACTAAAAAAAAAAAATACATTTCTCTCTATCGCACTACCTAATTTTAACTTTATTCTATTTACCTAAATTTGTGTGCCGAAATCAAAGTATTGCATCATATATACGACCACAAATGTTAATACAAAATATGGAGCATAACATATTATATAATTATATATAACATAATATATACTTATTTTCAACACAATATATATATCTCACAATATATATATATATGTAACACAATATATACTATGGGTGTGTTTGTTTGGGGGTTTGGATTTTGAATTAGGATTTGAATAATAAAAATTTTGAATTTTGAATAGTTGTATGATTTGATATAAATAGGTGTTGATGTAATGTTTTGAATGTAAAATTGATTTTTAGTATAATATAAAAAATGAAAAATAGGTGTTTGATTTGACGTTTTTTGGAGAAAAAAATGGAATGACTAGTGGACTGAAAATCTAATCCCCAAACAAACACACCCTTAGTATTGCGATAAAATATTAAGTATGTAGTAACTTTTGTAATATATTATTTATTTTGTAATGAAATACTAATTACTTCAAATTAATGTACTAACTTGATCAAATCAATATTAATTTAACCTAATTAGCACACCGCGCAACACATTGAAATTAATCTCCGATCAAAGGGATACTTCCTCCGTCCGAAGGAATAGAGATATTTGGAATTGACAGGAAAATTAAGAAATAATAGTATTATATTGATAGTGAGATAAAAATGTTTCTAAAAGACCAAAATAACTTTAAACTATTGTTCTGAAATAGACAAAAAAAAAAAATAACAAAATAAAACTACTGTTTTAAAAACAGAGTGATATATATATATATATATATATATATATATAAGGCAACAAATATAAATTGATAGCATATAATAACAATCTAGGCAAAACTCATGCTTTACTAATTCAAACTATATGCTGGCAACCTATATTTCACATACTCGCTATTTATTCCCTAACAATTCTTCCCTAAATCTACAATCTTTCTAAATCCACAAAAACTAAGCATTGAATGGATGAAATATAAAGTGGCGAATCTAGAGATACATACACAGGGAATGTTAGTTCCCTTTCTGGGCAGATCATCAATCACTTGTAAGCAAGCATCACACATGCCAATTTTCCGATCAATCCTCGTCGTCGTCGCTGAGGAGGATGACCATATTTCCAGGCGGCGCTAATCGCCCACCAGACTCCAGCGGCGAGTTCATACCAGTTGCCGCGCATGTGTCAGGATGCCGATGATTGGAACCCGGTGTCATATTATTACCTGCATTGGCGCTGTTAGAATCCGAGGCAACAGTCGGATCGGAAGTCCTCCCATTGCATCGATCACTTGAACTGTATAGGATCGCATCAGGTTGTGGTGCATTGTTCGACTGAGAGTTGATCGCGGAGCAGCCGTGAATTGCTTTCAAGTTTCCTTCCAGAGATTCAACTAGCAGGTTCAGCTCCTCGATTGAATATCTGAAAATGAACTGTTTGGCGCTCCATGGGCAGGAACAGAGCTGCTTCGAATGGCGCAGGCAAGAGAACCTATTTGGCGAACATGGACAGCATACGTAAGAAAGGTATAAGTCATACTTGCAGAAGCAGCACTCCCTTTTAATGGCAGTATCATATTCATCCAATGCCCTCGATTGGGATGGATTGCAGAGGTGATCCCTCCGAATGCCTTCAATCTTAACCCGCACCTAGCCAAAGAAAGAAACAGCTTCGAATGAACTTAATAGACGAAGCATTTCAGAAATGTAGTGGCGCGCTAACAAGAATGTTTAACCGAGAAGTTAAAGATAATACACATATGGAAGTACGATATAATCAACATTATGGCAAAGGCATACCTTCAGTGCTTTGGTTAAGATTCCATCCTTTCCGCAGGCGCTTCTCCACAATTGATTATTGGCGGAGTTGCTTTTCATAACCAAAAATTGCCGTTGTGCATCGGCACATTTCAGGGCTGCTCCCAAAAGCAGCTTATCGTAGGAGATTGATGTTTTCAAGCAATATGCAGAGTAGGCTTCTACGATGTTCTGGCCATGAAGCAACCAGTCAAAAGGCGCAAAACACACGGATTCAGAATAAGTAAATCCAGAACTAAATTCCGAATGGTAAACTCCAGGGAAAATGAGAACAAACTCTGAGGGATTCTGCACACATCGATATACCGGTATTCCCTCAGATGTTAGCACAGAGGGTGAGATTTGAGTTACCTGCAAAGAATGTAACAAAATGATATTATAGCAGTATAGAAAGCAGACAATGTAGCCGACAAAAGAATTAATTAACCTATGGGTGTGATTTACTACAAGGGGCTAGGAATGATTAGTTAATCTAGTGTGTTAACAGGATTACATAATCGCAACTAATCCCATGTAATAAACTTATAACATATAAAAAAATAATTAGCCTCATTACTCACAAGCTCATGGACCAACTTGGGATGTTTCGCCAATCTCGGAAACAACTTTTTGGTGATTTCAACAAACTTGAAATAATATGATCCAGGGACGCCATACCAAACTTTAGGACAACCCTTGTGCAAGTAAGAGATAGAGTACAAGTGATGATTGCTGGTTCTCTGTTCTTCCAGCAAACAAAACAAGCCATGAGAAATTAGACGAGCGATGGTTCAGTATAACTTCACAAAGGAACAAATTGCTTATTCTAACATTCCCATGACTAATGAAGAAATCATACCCAACATTGTGATGAAAAACACATCCCAATGAATGGCCGTGGATTTGAAATGGAAGAACTATTGTCACATTGGAATCTAAGCAGGGAACCAGGCAGCTTGGCTATGTTATTCAAATTCCATCCAGATTCTGCATACTCAGAATACTCATCCGTATCGCTACTTGGAAACCCACTCCACATGTTTTGATTACCCAAATTTGTTCCACAAAGCACCTAAGAAACAATGAGGCAGAATTATGACGAGAACTATTTCAAACTGTGAAAATCTGATATTTCCTTTCCTACCTCGACTTCTTCACTTGGATTGGAAATGATTCGCCAATATTCATTCTCAATTCTTGCAATCAGTGGTTCCTTACCACCCATTTCAAGATTGGCTACTTTTCCATTGTCAGAGAAGTATTGCCGTTTGAATTTGTCAGCATTCTTTTTAAAGCTTGCCAGGGTGAGCTCAGGCCCTTTTGTAAATTCTGATGTCACAAAACTGGAAAGAGCTTCCTCGGAATCTGCAACAGAGTCATTGCAAATCCCAGGATCACCGCCTATTGCAACTTCTGGCATTTTAGTTTCCATCTTCTCATTAAACCATGATAGATTTCTCTTTAAACACAAATTTTGAAGTCCGTCTATCCTTTGAACACAAGTGCTCAATTTTGAAGATTCACGTGCTTTTTTATCTTGAGGAAGGCATGGAGATCTCCATGAAGAAGGGGGAACAATTCGACATATTCCATAATTCTCCACTTTTGGATAGATCTTGGAAATGTATTTCAAGGTGTCTCTAAACTCCTGACATATAATTGTCTCTTTCAGAAAATATCCATATAAGTATATATATATACATTTTCCGAGAAAATAACATGTTAACAACATGCATGGAAATGATAATGAATCCAATCACCAATACCAGTTCAGTGGGGCGGAAAACAGGAGCATCGTCGAGTATTGGCAAGTGTGATTCTTCAGGATGCCATCTGGCAGTAACCTACAATAAAAGTATCGGTTACCTCATGACCAGCAAACATATTGTCAGTAACAACATTTATTTATTATTCAATATTAAGTGCGCAAGTATATAATCTTGTATAACCTTCACGCAGTCATGGCAATTTGCACACCCCCAGGTTACCCCTTTGGGAAGGGAAACTTTCTGAAAATATAACATTAAGCATCAGTTAATATGAAGATGCCAATCTAACAGAAAAATAATTTTGTTAAAACAATGAAAGAGCAAATAAAAGCAGCACTACTAGATGAAAGAGTAGCTAAAAATTCCATAAAATATAAACACTATATAAAAACTTCTCCTTTTATTAATTTCGTGCATGAGCCTAAAAGTCAAGCATTTACAAAGATCGATAAAATTAATGCAGAAGGAACAACAACATTGATGGTTGAACAGAGACACAAACCCTGACGACACCCCTAATACAGTTACTATACTACCGAACAGAAAAAGAAAAATATTAATAACTGAAAAAATAAAAAAGGCTGAAAAGCTAAAAGAACTACCTAATATGCAGCAAGTCAGTTACAATATAACAAGTCGAGCATATGAAACATTTAAGCTGATGAAGTGCTTCATATCATAGCTGGTGGAAAGAGAACTACTTCATATGTACATCAAGCTACAGCTTCCATGTCTATCCAAGGAACATATTCCTTGCTTTAAACCTTTAACTTTATCTGAATGAACATTATATCAGTTGGGAGGATTCTCTAAGCTAATCCATCTTTTAGATTTGCTAGCTTTAATCTAATCCAAAATGGCTTTTTTAGGTCAACCTCCTAGCATCATAGAACACACACACTGCACATGTCTGCTGCTTCAGTCTACAATCTACATATTTGCAAAGGAATTAAAAAAGCAAATGAAGTTGCAAATTCAACAAATTCTCGTTGTCATTAATATTGAAGCAAAGATTAGGACAGTATCAGCTTCAGTGTGAACCTTATGTGGATTACGATCAGACTTTTCTGTAAATGTCTGCGGCTCATCCACTAAGGAGTATGTAGATTTTTTTCTTTCAGACTTGCTAAGTGGAACGCCTATTGTCCCAGGTAACTCCACTTCTGCAGCCAAGGGATGAGCTATTTCTGGATCAGCCACCACCCCCTTCAATGTAAAGGCTGTTAATGACACAAATCCAGGCGGTACAGGCAGAAATTCATTAGCACTGTTTACAGCACGATCCCTCGTTCGCTTTGTCCCCATTACCTCTGAAAAGAACATGAAGTAAATAATAAAATGTTACACTGATCGAATTTCCTAAGCAATGAAGGACATAACCAGTTAGGTATCACTTTAAAAATGATTGATTTATAAGCACCAAAGAACCTGCAGAGATGATCACATACTGATATCAATTTATTTCTGTAAAAACTAATGGGAAGATTAACCATCTAAAGTAAAAAACTAAATAAACAAAGATGCTAATTTGCATTTAAAAGATACTAAAAGGACAGGTTAAAAGGTCGAAAATCTTCATTCAGATTCTCATTGTGCCGACACCCAACCATGATTTAAAATCATTAATTCTTTCACTATGCGGTGATGTTCTACAACACTAACGCGCCTTTAGAAAAAAGCACAATAGGCTAAATGTAATCATCTATAAATCGGATAATCATCCATTTCCATATCACCTTCGGGAAAATCGAAATTTTCCAAAGTGTATAGAACATTAAGCCAGATTCAATTAAGAACGCAATTGATCCCCACCGAAAATGAACTAATAAACACTTTATCCAACCCCACCGCCTAGTGAAACATCGAGTTTCGTAACAAAATCCATGAGGGAGTTTCAATACACAATACGAATTTACGCCGTAACAACGTAAGAAAATGGAAAAACATGATTAAAAGAAACAAAATAGCACTGCGCTAACCCGATTCCAGCAGGAGATCAATATCGCATTTCTCCCCCAATTCTGATTGAACCCTATTTCATAGCACGCCTCTGCCATACAACTTCATGCTTATCTACTGAGTACTCACTTGACCTCTCTGTCCTTTCCCCGTGGAACAATGCGAGTCGACCGCCCGGGATTGAATCGTCACCCAATTTGAACGATGAGTAGGAAGTCGGAAGTGCTGAGCGAAACCTTTTTTTTTTAAAAACGCGACTTTGAGTTATACAAGTTGGCGCCTTTTAAAGTCGTGTTTGAGTCTGTGTTTACAATTATTAGCGAGGGAAATGAAGACGACTTCCCTCGTAAATTTTGATTTAAAATCCCAAAATCGAAGACGCAGGCAGACAGACGCAAAATACCTAACCCTTTTCCTCTCGGCGGCGGCGTATTAAGGTCAGGCGAAGGCAGCGGTGGCGACGAACGGCGGCAGCGGCGGCGGCGGCAGCGGCAGCGTTTTGTTGTTGTAAAAAACCAACACGTACGTGAGTTTTGCACTTCTTTTGAATCCGTTTTCTTATGTGTTCGGCACCCTTTTACGCTTGTGAAATTTTTGGAAAAATTGGAGTAGCTTTGCAATTCTGTGGGAGTAATTGTTATTTGTAATTACTACTGAAATATTGGTCATAATCTTCAAGACCTTAAAAATTGATCCGTACTGCAATCGCGAGGCTCTCTGGAATACATTTTTAATATTTGAATTTGATGGGAACAATCGAGGTTCTGATATTTCTAATGAACCTATGTAGAACATTGGTAGCAGTGGAAGGCTACAGATGTACAATAGGATGCCCATAACTGCGTTTTGCATAGGAATTTATTGTTGGAGTAGAACATTTCCTCAATTATTGTGTCACCAATTCTAATGTTCATAAGATTAATGGGAAGATAAAATATCCATGTAAACGTTGTGTCAATGTTGTGTTTCTTCCCGTAGAGGAGATTAAGTGTCATTTCTACATCTTGCCCGCCATTGAAGGGCGGGCAAGCAACAGAACGGTTCTAAAATAGTGATTGCGTGCAGATGGTGATGGATGTTGTTGGAACAAAGTTTGAGACACATAAGAATGAGGAAGAATCTACACTTGAAGATAAAACTATCTACGAGACACATCAACTTATATTGGACGCCATACATGCTCGGATAGAGGCAAGGCGGCCGGCGCAGCAGCGTGAAGTCGACCCAATACATCCGACCGGGGGTTCAGGTTAGTTGATGATAGTTTGATTTTATTTTGAACCATACAAAATATGAATTTTTCGTTCTACTTACACGTCGAATAGGTGCATCATCTTATGTGACTTCCTTTGAATCCACACCAAAAGATACTTTTAGGTTAGTACCTAAATTGTTTATACTTTGATTCCAATATGTATTTTCACAGTAATTGTATCGGTAATATAAAAAATAATATTTTTTTATGTTAAATGTTGATTTTTGTGAGAGAATAAAATATATATATTAAAATTTTGTTGGAAACAAAATTTGGACAAACAAACCTTTTATGTTAAATTAGTATCACATTGTGAGATCAGCTCCAAATGCGCCATCCATCGGCAATACCCGTATCCAAATCACCGATGATTCAAAAAAGTCGGAGACGGCGAAGAAGAAACGACGATGGGATGAACCTGATGTTGTACCTGAATCCAGCCATAGAAGACGGTCCCGATCATTTTTTGAGACGACCAATAAGATGGTAATCATTTACATTTTTTTTAAAAATATTAACCAAACTATTAGACTATCTATATTACTTTTGACATATATTCATTTGTTTATATATGTAAAAAATTATTTATCTCAAACATATATAATCTACTAAATCGGGCCAAACACTGCCTGACTTTAACATACATGCCCGGTTCACTATCATGCCGAGTTGACACGGTCCGAATTCAGATCGAATTTTTGGATCGCCGTGCATATTTTTTCCAACTCTGTTTATGCTATGATTAGATTGTTTGTTGACAATTTCAGGAGAATTTGAATGCGAACGAGGAGAATTGTATCAATGGGCTAGGAGATTTGGAAGCTTCGGTGTCCATTGATCGGTCGTCCTATAGCAGTGATGGTCGTACTCCGAGACCTTTAGGTGTCGAACAATATATCCAACAATTAGAGACTGAGCTAAAGCTTGCGAAAGATGGTTTACAACGCATGGACGATCGGATGACAAGAATTATGCAGCATCAAGAGAGGATGTTTGACACTAATCTCGCGATCATGGAAGAGATTCGCCGGATCGAAGCCCATTTGGACCGCCGTGGCCCCGATGGCGATGTAAGAGCTCCTCCTATTACTTGATGTATATATTGAATATACTTATATTTATATTTATATTATGCCTTAGAATATTGAGTAAATATTCTCTGGCTAATTAATTTACTCATAGATATTAATGATATATATATATATACAAATATATAATCATACCTTCTTTTTTTTTTATGTTTTTTTACTATATAAAAAAATGATAATTATACCCATCTACATTAAAACTTTGCTCAAAAGTATTAATATGTATTCGATGACGAATTGAGTATTATACATGTTGTTCATTATCTCTTGTATAAGTATTCATCATATTGCATAACTACAATCAATCCAAAGATGTGTGTACAAACAAAAGCTTTACTTTCTTAAAATTAATAAAATAATATATCTCACATACAAAATTAGTATATACTGAATTTTATTTTTTATTTAAAAAAAAAACATCAAAATCAAAACTTTTTAGTATATTTATGTCAATGTAAGAAAAAGAAATAACTCTTTACCAAACCCTAAATTTAAAATTATGAACCCTAACCCTACCTGCAAACAATATCCCCCTAAACCAATTCCCTTTAAACATTCAACAAATCAAACACAAATCTCTCTCTCTCTTTCTCTCTCTCTCTATCCCTCTCTCTCTCTCTCTCTCTCTCTCTCTCTCTGCTTATTATTTTTATTTCTTTCTTTTTCCATAAACCTTACAACCACATGCACATATCCATCACTATACCAACCTACAATCCTTTTTCACAACTTCCATAAATGTCCATAATTCTCCAATGCCTAACTAGCTAACAAATAGATAAATATATATATATGTATATATATATATACTCTTACATACAAATCCAAATCACAATTATTCAAAGGAAGACAGATCCATCATCGTCATCGAAGCCCATGTCATCAAGGCTAGAGGGAACTGCTCCATTCGATCCATCAAAGTCAAACATGAAGCCATAGTCATCTTCACACTTTGCCTCCACCATATTGGTCTTGCTTTGATCGACGTTACCGAGATGAAGTTGATGATCGGTCTGATCCACGGGCAGGTAGGCGGCCGGCTGCCCGATAGAGGTGCTAGGGTTTTGGTTGCCATGGGAGATCAAGGGAGGGGCAGCAATGGGGCAGGGCTGATGATGGTAATTACCACATGAGTTAGTCATGTTTTGATGATGATCAGATTGAGGGTTTAGGGCAGCTGAATCAATTAGGGTTTGTGCAGAGAGATTGTTAGGGAAATTATTAGGGTTGCAGCCATGGAAGCTCTCATTAGGGTTCATCAATTTGCTGCTGTTTTCTGATCCTCTTGATTTGTGGAACACTCTGCAAAGCACCCAGTCTTCCTGTATACAATTTATTTTAATTTAAGTTCCATATATATATATATGTCACAATAATAATAACACTAATTAATGAATTTGTAGTGTTTTCGAATGAAAGAATGTAATGCAGTATACAACTAATTTTATTTTATGTTCCATATATATATATATATATTACAATAATAATAACAATAATGAATGAAATTGTAGTGTTTTGGAATGAAATATAAGTATTGAATGAAATGTTTATATACTACCCATGTCTATGATTAGTATATATATTACCATTTTGGATTGTATAGGATTAATATATTTATTTTCTAATTATTAAATATGGTTTCCACATAATAACAAATACTTGCATTTAATTTAAAATTATCAACATACTACGATCTTATTTTATAATCTATTTATTGTACTTTTCAAGGGCATTTCCAACAATATATTCTTACATGCTACCTATTACACATCAAATACTAACATTCTTTAATTTGTGGGGAAAAAAAAAAACACACACACACACTATATATACAAAATGAATGAAGAAAATATATATTTTAAAAAATAAATTTTTATTTAAAATGAAAAAAATTATTTTTTTTGTCATAAATTGTATAGCACAAAAATAAGTTAAAGAAAATACAAAAACAAGCACACACAAGTTATTGTTTGCTTGTGTTTATAATATTCTTTTGGCACCACGCAAACTACAATAAATAATTTCATTTTTAATATCTAAACTATGTACATATATAAATATACATATATATATATATGACATTTAATTATTTTTTTTTTTCAAAAATCAAATTAAAAATTAAAAAAAAAAAATCTCAAAATGCAAGTAAATACACCAAAACAAAAGTAGGCCCATGAGAACATATAGAAAGATAGGCACCCAATACTTCATTTTTTTTTTTTTTTTTTACAAAATAAAATAAAATAAAATTTGTTTATAAATGTATGTAACAAGAAGTTGCTTTCAATTGATTTTCTCACAAGTTTCCTACGCCATACATATGTATGATTCCCTATGTCCTTACCTCACCCCACCCCATGATCTCACTATTAGTTATATCCCTTTTTTGTATATGAACAAAATTAAATCATCTAAACAATAATGTCAAGAGGAGATCAAATTAAGGATTAATAATTAATTAGGTAATTAAACAAGAAACTAACCTTAGGGGGCACATGAGGATTCTCAAGCCTAAACTCATGCATAATCCAACCCGTTTTGATTCCATTCGGAGCCCTATTTCGATAAAAAACTAGGGTTTTTCTCATTCCCACAATGGCCCGAGTTCTCGGATCCACCACGACTCGATCTTTCCCCGTGGCCTTCCAATAGCCCGAAGTCGTGGCTCGGTTTGTCCTAAATCCCGTCGTGTATTTTCTATCCCGAAAGCTGAAGAAGTACCACTCGTCCGAGTTTAGTTTCGCCACATCTACACATGTAATAAAAATTGGATCTTGTAAAAACAAAAAAAACAATGTGAATGACGTATGAAGAAAAGAAAGAATCGGAGATTGCAAGACTAAATCAGTTACGTGCAAGTTAAGGGATGGATGAATTCATATATAGATATATATATATATAGTTTGGCTAGATGATGTCATGTAGAAGAATATTTTTTTCTTGGGAATTATGTGTACACATTATTGTTATAAATATTATTATTTGATGTGTATTGATTTCATCAATGCCTATTATGTAGATTTAATTGCTTGTGTGACAATTTGTTCAAAAAGTGACAAAAAAGTTGGTTATGAGTCACTAAAGATTCTCTTCAAGACATGTATGTATATATATATATATATATATGTGTATGTACTATGTATTGTGTCTTCACAAAGGGATCAAATTATTGTAATGAAAAGAACTATTGATGTGAATAAATACAATTGATTGTTTACTTTTATTCAATCTATAGTAATAAAAAATAATTAATAGTTTTTTTAATGATAAAAATAGTTAAAATTAAAAATAGTAAATAAATACATCTAGTGTGTGTATTAGGGTGTGGTTGTGTAGATGAGAAAGTTACTTCTATGGTAGGAAGTCTATATCACACCTTCTTGTCTTCATCCACAAGTAGGATGATCTTGAAATTATCATTCTATACTCATATTCACATGTTTTAATTAATTTATACACATGTATATATATATGTATGTATGTATGTATATATAGTATATTTATTTTCAAGAAAAATATTCCATAGCTTGAAAGTTACAAAAATAAATGGAAAAGGCTTCTCAAGTGTTCAAACACATTAAAAGGAAATCAATATGCATCTTTTATGGATAAAAGAATTGTTAAATTAATAAATGTTGTGTAGTTTCTTAAAGCAATAAAAAGGCAAGAGACAGATAAAGATTCATTGAACCCACAATACACATAATATAAATATATATATATATATATATGTAAGTATTGTGTATGTATTTTTTTTATTTTTTTATTTTTTATGTATGTGCAAATAAAAAGTGAAGAAAAAATGGGGTTTTTTGGTTGAAAAAGAAGAAAGGGCTTTCTGTATTTCGTCATAATTTGGGGGAAATTTATGCATTGATAAAGCAAAAAACACATGTAGTGAAGCACATAAGTCAAATCTTGAATTTATTTTCTGTGTATGGATAAGGAAGACGACACCATACTTTACTTGACATCAACACTTGTGAGGAAAGATTTAATTAATTAATTGATGGAAAAAGAATATATTTTTAATTATCCATCCCTATTCTCTTATATATATATAATTGAAAATTCAATTAATTTAACATTTTGTATTACACATGCACCTGAATAATAATTGTTTAGAATAAGCATTGCATTATTACAACATTATTTGATCAAAACTAAGAGAGAGAAGGGGGAGGGGGGGGGGGGGGGGGGGGGGGTAATTTGTAACTTAATTTGGATTAGTTCATTAAACATTTTATTATATATAGGATTTAAATTTCTGGGTTTTGGATAAATGTTAAATAATTTAATCTATATATATATATATATTTTTTCAGCCCCCACCCCCAATCCCCAGCACAGATATATACGTATATATATATGTGTAGATTTAAACCAGCATGCACATGCCATTTCTCACAAAGACATAAACTTTTCACCAAAATAATTGAAAGAACTCAACAATCAACATGGTTACCCACCCCACCCCATCCTACCACCCCATGGGGGTGGGGGTGGGGTGGAGGCTAAGTACATACATACATGCATGGCCGTATCTATATATATATATATATATTAAGAATTAATAAACTAATTAATTAATTAATTAAATGAGGATAATTAAAGTAGAATTGAAGAAGAAGAAGAAGAAGAAGATGAAAGGGTTTTAGTATTAGTAATTACCAGGGAGCTGCCATGGCTCACAGACATGAAGATCGATTTCGACCAAAGTTCCTCGGACAAGCTCTTCATTGGCAATCTTCTTGTAGAGATAATGACACACCAATTCTTCGTCGCTCGGGTAAAACCTGAACCCCGGCGGCAGACTCTCTCCGATGTCTCTCAACCCCATCGATCTTCTTTTCTCTCACTACCTACTAAATCAAAACCACTCTCTCTCTCTCTCTCTCTCTCTATATATATATATATATAATAATATATCCACCACAAAAAACTCACCTGATCATATATATGAAGAACACATATGCACAAAAACCTCTCTTTACCCTCTCTCTCTCTCTCTCTCTCTCTAAAATCTGTCTGTAATTTGGAAGTTTTGGTTGAGATTGAGAAGCTGGAAGGGGAGACGAAAGAAAAGCATTAATCAGGAACATATATATATAGTGATATATGGCTTTATATATATATAAAGAGAGAGAGAGAGAGAGAGAGAGAGAGAGAGAGAGAGAGAGAGAGAGGTAGGGATGATTGACAGGTGACTTGTCCAAGTTGGAATTTTCTTTACATTATATTCTGATTTCTGGCTACTACATTATATATATATATATATATACTTCTGTAGTTAGTTATGGTTACATATATATATATATATGAAATTAAAATATATAATTAATAATACATACAATATATTTTTTCGTTTCAATACAATAGTCTGGTTTATCGTTTTTGTCAATTTCAAAATAATAGTCTCATTTTCATAAATAACTATATCACTATAAAACTATCCTTATTTTTTCATTATTATTATACAATTGCCACTACTTTTTACACTAATATATTTATATGGGCAAAAAAAAAAATTTACTCGTATTTTTTACCACTGCCAATATAAAATAAATATTCCTTAAATCCTATGTCAAACGCAACTCAAACTATAATTTTGAAACAGAGGGAATATATGTTTACGTATCTGTTTATGTGTGCATTTTTATGTATGTATTGTGGGTGCTTTTAGGAAAATCGAAGTCACAAGAAATGTTGTGGGAAAGTTTAATCATTATTATTATATGACAATTAGGAGAAATTAATTAAATCCATTTAACTAATTTAATGAGTATATTCCTTTTATAATTAATTAATAAAATAGAAGAAAGTCTTGCATTTTTTATTATTACAATAGATCTCAAGAAGCCCTCTCTTAACGCTATAATCCATAAACAAATTTTAAAATTGAAGAACTCCAAATACATTTCAGGTTGAATATATCCGGAGAAACGCGGATAGTTATATTATATCTAATATATGAGAAAAATAGGCTTTGATATTATATTTTTAGTAAAAATGTACATAATATCCTGTGTTTTATTAATTGCGTGAAACCCCATTGTGTTAATGTAAAATTTGCACGAAACAACCTCCGTATCTAAAACTGATATTTTGTTATAAATAAAAACTTAAATTATGCAAGTTTTATACAAATAAAAAAGTAAAATATTTTAAATAATTTTTTGAATAAAATAAACAAATAAATAAATAATTGATCAATCATTTATTTTTATAGTTTTTATAAGAATCAAATAACAATTTATTTCAAAAAATTATAAAATAAAGGATTAATAAGTTATTTATTTATTTTATTCAAAATAATTATTTAAGATATTTTTTGTTTTTTATTTGTATTAAATTCGCGTAATTTAAGACTTTATTTAAAATCAAATATTAATTTTTGATATCGAAAGTGTTTCGTGCAAATTATACATTAACACAAGAAGGTTTTACGCAATAAATAAAATATAGGGTATTTTGTGCATTTTTACTAAAACACAAGAGGTATTATATAATTTACTCTAAAAAAATTTCAAACTGTTATTTATTTATCTAAAAACGAGAGTCAACCGACATATATCCTTGCATTTTTTTGGGGTCAAGTGAAATTAATTAAATTATGCATGTGTACTCACAATATATTGCTTAGAATATACTTTTATATATCAAATGTGTACATATAGTCTTTATTTATTGTGGTTTTAACCCGAAATTTCTAACAAATTAATTTAAAAAGAATCACTAATTAAGTATTAAATTAAGTACCAACCACCAAAAATTTTTCAATAATGAAAAAAAAGTTGCTAATGGCTATTGATCAATATACGATAATCGTCGTTATATTTTTATTTTTTTTTTAAAAAAAAATGATTAGTATCGACTGCGTTATCTATTAGGTTTTTGTATCGATCGAATCATGTGATCACTCCGACCTGATAATTAAATGCACTGGATTTGTCTTGTCACTTTGCTAATTATTCTACTAATTAGCCTAATTAAATATGCACTCTTCTTGGAACTTAACTTTAAAAAAAATAAAATAAAATGATAAATAAATAAATTAAATTTGTGGGGTGTCAAATATATTTTTTGTTTTTGAAGAACATACAAAAAATACTTTATCCATAAGAATTAACTTTAGGAGACATATGGTCTATATGTACCTTACGTGTCATTTTATTATGATATTAATTAGCCTAATAATTTTAATTTAATTTAATTTTTTTTATTAGGTATTTGTATATATACATACACATGCATGTCCTTCTGTGAGAGACACAATTTAATGTGCTACACATATATATTTTAGATATATATATATAAATTTATTTTATTTTGTTTTGACAATGTGACGTATTATATTCTAATAATTCAATGGAAAAAAACCCTAAATTTATGTTATATTTTAATTAATTAATCTGTATCCAGAATAATATTTTGGATTTATGCATAATTGTGGACCCCTTGAATTAATGTTTTCCTGATATTCCAAAATTTCACCAGCCATTAATTAAATTCAAGAATATGAAAAAATAAATAAATAAAAAATAAATAAATTTTTTTGTTGTTTTTATTTAATTATAATCAGCTAAAATGAGATAAACACACAAGTCACTGATTTAATATTTGGATAATTTGGATAGTGAAATTACTACTATTGAAATGAGTATTAGTTTGATTAATTAAAATTATAGATTAAATTTAGTCAAATTATAATAATGATCGATATTACGTCGAGGCAGCCAGAAGGTAATAATTTAGGTGATAAATATAACTAATTTATAAATAATTAATGATAAATTAATATATATATAACTATTTTATGCATATAATTACATGCCTAAGTCAAAATAAATAATGAGAATATAGAAGACAAAGCAATGGCTATGTCATCTACATACTATGCATCATATTATATATATGTAAATAATTAGGACATAAATGGGACCCAAATTTGTATCATAGGTTTAAGATTAATGAGAAATTACGACGAAATTGCTCGACAATGTGTGAGTGTGATGGAGACGTATACACTCGATATATATATATATATGATTTATTGAAATAAATTATTTTTTGATCTATTCGGAATTTATTTAATTAATTAAGGTACACCATTATAATGTATTCTACCTAGTAAAGAAACACAATGAAATCAATTCCTTAATCTAATTCATTTCCCATTTAAATTGTTACTATTCCATTCAAAAAAATAAATAAAATTGATAAGATCATGTTTATTATTGATAGGTATAATTTAAGATTATGAAAAAGATTGGTATTTAAGTTTCTTCTTATGATACAAATTAAATTATTAGTATTATTAAGGTATATATATATATATTGATTATTTAATATTTATTGATGATAATACTATAAGAACATATGAGTACATGTGTTGAAGTAACATGGGTTGTGCCTTAGCTAGCTATATTATGAATAGATACCAAGAATTTAAAGGTAATAATGACTTAGATGACTAGCTATATATATATATATATATATAATTAGTGAATTTCCGATAAATTTTCATTAGTCTCGAAATTTTTAAAACTATATTGTCTCGGAATTTCCGAAGCATTTAGTCTCGAAATTTTTAAAACTATATTGTCTCGGAATTTCCGAAGCATTTTGTTTCGGAAATTCTAAGACTATGCCAATTAGACTCGAAATTCTGAGGCTACACAAACAGCCGCGAAAAATAAGTTACGGGGAGTGTTTCCGAGACTGTATCCAAGACTAATGAGAAATAGATTCGAAAACAGTTCATTTTTCAAACCAATTTTTGGAGGCAAAACAAAATATTTTCTCGGTAGTGATAATTAAATTATTTATTTATTTAATAATAATAGTCAAAATGTGTTTAAATTTGTGGGAATGTAAATATAGAAGGATATATATATATATCTTTTTTACTCGAGATTTATCTGGGGTGCGTCCAAAGAAGGTAAAAGGTGCATTAATTTTGTAAAATAATACGTCGAAAAATGTAAATGAAATAAACTCAAATGTATATATATATAAGACTTATATTAACAAATAATATTTGAAATTATTTAAAAATATATGATTTGAATATATATATATATATATTGTTATAAATTGATGTTTAATTTTAAACACACGTGGCATACCTCAACAACTTAAAATTCCTCAATACAAATTTGAAAGGTTTTTGACCAATCTCCAATAATTAATGCAAACATACAAATGATGTAATGATTAAGAATTTCAATTGAATACATGAAAAATCAGTGAGAAAACGAGAATATTGAACAATAATAATAATAATAATAATAATAATAATAATATTAAGATATTGTTTGAAAGTTTAAGTCTTAGTTACCTTACTTAAATAAATTGTGTAACAACTAAAAAGATCAAATTTATTTAGGTGTGTTTAGACATGTTTAGATATATATTATTGGGGTGTTTGGTTGTAATTTCAAATTGAAATTAATATTAGTCAATTCTATACTATTTTGAATTAAATATATATATATTTTAAAAATATTATATAAAATAATATTAAAAAATTCAAATCAATACTCTCTCTCCGTCCCATAACAAAGTATTCATTTTTTCATTATGTCCCGTAGCAAAGTATTCATTTTTCCATTTTAGTCTATCTCGTAACAAAGTATCTATTTAATTATTTTTTAGGTAACTGTACTATCTACCTAACATTACAAATACCCTTACAACTTACAATATATTACACATATGCCATTACCTTTATATCATACAATACTGATAAGGTTATTTTAGTCATTTCTATTTGATTTTTACTACATTTCAATATAATATTAATATTTCTAAAATTTTGTGCAAAAAGTAAACGGATACATAGTTATGAAACAGATTGAGCATTTTATTTCAATAGGGCAGTAGAGTGAGCCAGAGAGAAGCCCTCACCCGAGATAAATATATTAAATATAATATTTTAAATATGTATACAAAATATATTTTTATAGATAAGGTAAATATTTGATATAATTTTTTTGAAAAAAAAAAAAAAAAAAAAAGAGGAATACCAAGAAAACAACATTAAATTAGAAAGTTAGAGAATAATGCAAAAACGATGTTA